TTCTTGCTTTTCCTTGCTCAACTCTGTAATATCGGGATTATATTTGGACACTTTCAGTCGAGCACAAGCTTCCGAATGATTTTTGACAAACATTCAAAATTAGAGATGTACCGATACCACTTTTGTCGCCGATACCGATACCAGCTAAAAAATCCGATACCGATACCGATACGCCGATACTACAAAAAGGCCGATATTACCGATATTCCGATACCGATACTATGTAAATATTACTTAATTAGGTGTGCTGTGTAGGGCAGACGGGTTAAAACAATGGTCTTTGAGCGTTGTTCATAGTACACATTATTTCAGATCGAAAAATGATATATCACACAATATGAAATTAATGTTTGGTGTTTGCTTCAACTGATTAAAATACACTGTACAGTAACGCTAGTAATCTCGGTGTTCAATTAGAAAACTCATAAGCCGGGATGTCAATTTGAATTTAATGTTAATATCGCGACCTTCGAATATCGTTATTCGTGTTTAAGAGAATATCGAATATCACCCACACATTCTAGAGCCGCCGTCCTACGTTCAAATTAAAAGCATTTTTCAAATATTTTATTTCGTGGCTAATCGTAATCGTCGACGCAATAAGTCAAAGCCAACATGAAAGAATATCAATCAGCACCGACCAAAAGAAGGCCTACCTATAACCGTCGAGGATGTTTTTTTACTTTACTATTTTATATTATTATACAATTGCTATCATATATTTGAGACAGTCTAGGACTCTAGGCCCTCTAGGGCTAGGCGGTCATGTCAATATATCTATAAAGAAATTGTGTTGTTAAACAAAAATTAATATCTGCGTAGAGGGATAATTGTGTCGGAATTTAGTTTATCGATGTCGTCGGACTAAATGACACTCGTACTTGACGACAAACAGTCAGAATTTATACCCGTGCCAAAAGTCCATGTGCCGTCAATAAGGACCCCAATTCCACTGTATGATTTAAAACTGGGCGCCTAATTGCTTTTTGTTATGTGCCGTGTTGATATATTTCTTCATAATTACTATGTAATATTAAAAAAATTTAATATAAAAATTTGACAGCGAAAATAGCTAAAAATACGTGAATCATATTCTCTCGCGGGGGTAGGGACATGTATGGCTCATAGCTCACGATCTCTCCAGACAAAAAATAAATTAAAAAGTAGTATTCCAACTTATCTTTTAAAACATTCTGGACCATATCAAAAAGGTAAATATATCGGAAATATCGGCCTTAATCTAACCGATACCGATACATGGCCGATACCGAAAAAATGGCCGATATTGCCGATACCGATACCCGATACCGATACATCGGTACATCTCTATTCACAATTAGATTTGTAGCCAGAAACAATGTGAACACGACAATACTAAAAAGAGAAAATTTATTACATCATATTTCTGTTGGAAATCCAATTTGCTATAAGTAGCTCATTCTGGCAACACAGCGCCGCACACACTTATTCTCTGATTCCGCGTACGCTTCAATTTTTTTAAATTGATTTTATAAAAATAAAATCCAAGGCTAGCATATCAATCAACTGAGATTCAAAATGTATAACATAATTTTAATCTTATAACAATGACATGTTATTCAACTTTTCATTACGTAATAAAGCTAATTAGCTCCGGTTAATTTCATGCATTTTTTCGCTTTCACTTTGGATGAAGTTAACAAAAATGCAATATATTGGATAAAAACGTGTGTGTACGCTACAAATCACTTGGCGTGCCAAGGAAAATTCTCTCGTGCCAGGGGTTGCCGACCCCTGGTCTACAGTTAACAGTTGTGCGAATTCAACCGGACAGTGTGTGAGGGAAACAGTCTTGCCATTAACCCCGCATAAAATTTCGAGTACTGCAAATTCAAACTTCATTGGCTGATGAAGCCGTTAAAAATCAGTAAGTAATAAACGTCATCTATCGTTTACAGTATACAGCAGTATTTTTCTCAAGAGTGTGGAGCGCTGCTGTTTCCCCAATAACTTCCTCGTCAATTTCATGAACCCCCAAAAAGACTCCGTGTGCTTAACTCGAAAGTTTGGTGACATATGTAAAGAATTTATTATCCCGCAGAAATGCAGGATTAAAATAGTTAAAATTAAGTGGATCGAAAACCGGCCAACCTTGACAGCAGTCAGGCATAGAAAAGACGGTGCAATCGGTACACGGGGTCAGATGGGCAAAGATGATTGGAGTCAAAATAATCAAATTTGACTCTTTGGAAATATCAGTTGAAACCATGTTTCTGACTCCACAAGCAGTCCTAACATATTATATAAAAAAATCAAATTCCAGTATCGTCACAAATGTAACCATGGCAACAAAAGAACGGAGAAATAAAAAAAGCACGCCGTTTCTTGATTTCTGTGCACGATAGGTGACACCACTTTTATATGAATACGAGACGAGCGTGTGTATGTATGTTTATTTGCATCAAAATATGTAATAGTATCTTTATAACAAATCAACATTATAACATGTGTGAGACTTTACTCGGCTAGGACAAAATTGTGCGACAAGTAGGTTTTAACGATTTACAAATTTGATAGAAGTTTAGGGCTGCTATACTATAATAGAAAAATAGATGTATATGGAATATCTGAAAAAGGCAAGTAAAACTCATGTCCACAAGTCCATTCGACTTATAAATGCTCTGCTGTAGTATATATGTGAGTTGTGAAATGGATTTATAAAAAGGCCCACCATAACCATATATTAATTTTCAGTTCACAGGGATAGGAATTTATTAAAATAGGATAAGAGGCGGGTCTGCCGCAAGAAATTCTCAGAGGTGTCGCGGAGCTTTTTGGAATTTTAGAAATTAAGCTCATTGTACTACACATAGGCATGCCTGTATGTGAGACTTGAGTATCCAGTATTAGACTCGTAATTGAGCCATCAAAATGTTCTAGCAATTTGCATCTGCATGGCTCTGTGAAATCGGGCTTTCGACCATGACTGAAATTAAAAGCTAAAAAGGGAGCGATGGAACCTGGTTGCAATTGTTTCTTAGAGAGGCACACACATCGCACTAACATTTGCAGAATAATTGCAGTGGTTTCTAAACCTTTAAAAAAATTCCATGCCTGACCCCTTGCAGTTTTAAAAATTATTACCGGCCTCGTGCACTAAAACAAAACATCAAAAATAAAATCAATACGCTTAGCATATGACGAAGTTTGATGAGTGCACTTGTTTTGTTGTAAAACAGTATTTACACGCGGGCAGGCATAACTTCATAAGGCCTACTGTAACTCCATCCTATACCAAAAACGTGCAAAAAGTCAGCTTCAGATAATTAATGTTACATTTTAGTGGAATGGCCCAACCAGGATAATATCTCTTGTCTTAATCCACACCCTTTATCTATAGTGTTAGTCTGGTTCGAACAATGTGTGGCGGTAAAGCTTTCCCTTTTAATTATTTATCGGTACGCGACCCGAGTTTGCTGAGTATGCACAAGTTTGGACAAATGCATTCATTCTTTGGTAAGCGAAGAATTCGTAATAGTATAGTATCGGTTTTGAAACTGGTACGAGTACTGTATGTATGTATGATAATTAGCCTAAAAATTGAATACTATTTATACAATAGAACAAGAGAGCTATGCTCAAATATATGGACACGTAGAGTCACATGATTTTGATGACGTCATAGCGAAAAAAAAAATAATAGCCTTCTGGAGAAAATTTTTATCTTTAACCACTGAAAATTTTAAAGCAATTGGTTCAGTATTCGAAGAGAAAAGCGATTTCTTCAAAACGTGTTGACGGAGACAAATAATAACAATAACAACAAAATTTTGAAACGATCGTTATGTCCACTACGTGTCCAATAATAGATCATAATTATAACAGAAGACTTTGATGGCGTAAAACACAATTGTGAGACAAGTACCTATTCACAAATATGATAGAAGTTCATGACTCCTATGTTTCAAGAAGATATACGTATATATATATAAAATGTCTAAAAAAATCCAAGTAAAACTCTAGTACTGTCCATAAGTGCATTCGACATATAATTGTTTTGCTGCCAAACTTTATCTGAGAACTTTTAATTGATTTGAAGCAGAGTGGACGTGGATGGACGGGGACTTTTTGTGGTCTCTGCCTGGTGAAACAGGTTCAGTTTAAATTATTGAAATACTAGAGGACTGTATATGAATCACCTGTCAGTAAAAATGTGCTAGTGCGCTATTTTTCTCTTTAATTTATCGGATGACTTAAGCTCAAATAGTGGTATTGGTGGACTAAACCCGTGATTTTTTTTAACACGACTTGATATACATTTTATACCGTGTATGTTTTCAGACTCGGACCAGTTATTGTGCAAAACTGCTAAATTTGAATATGCGGCTACTTTTCTGATCATTCATAATGGAAGATTTGATAATCGTATTATGAGTAAATTTTCGATAAATGGTAATTTTTTGATAGATAAAGTCGACACTGTTAGCGCAAACCATCTCGGCGTTCTTACATTGTATTTTACAGATATCGGTTATGTTTTTGAAAATAACAATTGATCTTTTTAACACTATTTGGCTCTATCAGTGAACAATTCAATGATAATCCGACGTTTTTGGCGTATATATCACTCCAATTCAGAATATTAAAATTAATCATATAATATCCCGGTAGTAGTTATGAGGAAAAAAGATTAGCCTACATACTTGATAATGAAATGTATGAATAAAGAGCTGTTTCAAGTCCTAGATTACCTTCTCTTCTTTATAGCAGTATCAAACTCATCAAACATCTCATAATTTTAGACATAGCACATGAAGGTCAGCACTGAATAAGGAACAAAACGGAAAAAATTTAAAAAATGGATATAGTTTATGGTCGAGCAACAACAACATTCAATTTATAGTAGTTATATATAATTTAATTTACAAATTGCATTATATATTTCATTCTCAACTATTGCTCGTAAAAATTGGAAAAGCAAATAGCATAAATGTACAGTGAACATGAATAAAAAAAATTTGATTAGTTCAAACTCTTGGAACCTTTGATATGAAACTTAAAATTTCCAAGTTAATATTTCAAAATAAGCATGAAATTTAGCTGCAATTGGAACCTAATAAAAATCCTTTTTCATTTGACGTGGAAATTATATCACAAATCACAAAATGAAAATCACAAATCACAAATAAACAAATATCCAATAACATACAATAAAACCTGAATGGACTACCTTGTATTTACATATCTGGGTATACCAGTATATTTGAAAAAAATTATAAGAGACATATTCAAAACACATTTATGAATCTGACAACAGATGTAAGATCAGAGGTCAAAGGTTGATTAGAAACAAATTTACACGACAGTATTGTTGTCAAAAATCAGTTCAAAACATGAATCTTTTAAGGTTTTAATTGATTGGAAAGTTTGGATGATAGCTGTAGCGTAAATGTTATAAGGTATTAGGAATTTTGCATATTAAAATGAATGAAACAAAGAATTGAAAAACTAAAAACAAATAAAAGAGTCAGTATTAAAATAAAAGTAATAATATATGATAACTGTATTTTAGAATTCCAATACAGGCTTATAAATTCTAGAAATCTATGTGAACTCTGTTAAATGCACAATTCAACAGTAGCATAAACTAAAAAGAAAACAATCAGCATTATTGATAACATAGATTAAAAATCGGAGTCCTCTAAAGTTGACAATAACATGAAAAAAAAAAATTTCTTCAGTTTTCATTGTAAAATAACACTACAGCAACAGTTAAATGAAAAATGTTATACTCGAGTACAGATTTTGCCGTTATCAAGTACTCGTTATAGGAAGAATAAAATAGAAAAATGCATGTCCACCATTTTGTCATTTTGTATCTAGTGAACATAATGATAGGTTGAACCACTAGAGCAAAAGTTAATAAAGTAAAATGCTCGGATATGCACAGATTTATTCAATAAATTTTCTTGAGCGTTTTTGATTATCAATCAAAATTTCAGTATAATTTATATCATACTTTCTGTAACAAACAGGCACCAAATTTGGTTAGAAATAAATGCTATTGAACATATATTTATTTATATATATATGAATTTTTCGAATCCTAAAGAAACTCATACACATATGTTTCTCAGCAAGACAGTAACGTATAAAAAAGCATCCCATAAGTCTGCAACATTTCCATATACATTTGCAGTCGATGAAAGCAAACAAAGCATTCTTCATTCGGACATTTGATCAGTCCTGTATTTAGAAAAAAAATTTACTTCATTTCTGTTGCTGCAATGATGAGAAAATTTTTATGCTCTTATGTTTAGCGCGTTTTTCTTTTCCAACTGAATTCAAAATAACGAGCTACAGCTGACTCAGAGTATGCTTTATCACCAGATGTAAAGTGCTCTTCAAATCTCTTATAAACATATATAAACAAAGGAGGAAAACGCAAAGCAAAAAAATTATATAAGTGTTTATAATCCGTTTTGAATGGTTCATAAGTTTCCTTGTCGTGATCATGAGTATATCGGTTTCTGATAAATTTTACGAGGTGTGATACCAACTCAGTGTTATAGGAATTGCGAACCAATTTGGTGAGAGAGTCAGAAGTAACATTGTTCGTCTCCAAATCATCAGACGATTTGAACTCCTCGATTTCTTCCTCATTTAATTCTAGTTTATTTTTCCAAGGCAGAAGTTCCTTAAGATCGGAGTTGACGTTCTCATTCAAGTTCACGACATCGTCTGGATATGTGCAACCTTGTTTGTCAGTTTTTGTCAATTCCATGTATTTAACAACATTAGAAAAGAACTCCAGCTTTTGCCGTTCGTTCCAGAAAACTGGATGCTTGATAACATAATCCATTGTGGGACGTTCTCTTTTCTCTGTTTGAAGCATCTTTTCAATAATATCGTGAAAAATTCTACAATCAATTACTCGGTCATCATCAAGGAAGCCAAGTTTTGGGGCATCTCCATTTCTGATATTGTAACTCCAGTCACCTTGATTATTGGAAAAATTTCCTCTTTTGTCATACCCATAAGGATGACAGCCATCGGTCAATAGAAAACAAAACACAAGAGCAAACGAAAAAACGTCTGATTTATCAGAGAATGTTTGCTTTTCTGATTTTTCTTCATCGCCTTGTAGTTCAGGAGACATCCATCCAAAGGTACCAATGTTAGACCTACTTGCGGTATTCGATTTATCAGGTTGTATTTTTTTACACAAACCCAAGTCAGACACAACAATTGTTTCATTTCTAAATAATATGTTACTAGGCTTTATGTCTCGATGAACAATATGCTGATCATGAATGTGTCGTAGTCCACAAGCGATTCCTCTTAATATATTTACTTTCTTCGCTAATCCATCTTTTTCCATGGATACTAAATTTATATTTTTCTCCGACTTTTTCTTGTCTATGATATCGGATAATGTTTGCCTTTTGCACTTTTCTAACACTATGTATACTGCGGTTTTGTTTCCATCTTCGAAATATCCCGAGTCGATGTATGATACTACATTTTCATGATGAGCAATATCCTTTAAGCCTTCGACTTCCCTTTCAGTTTCTTCCTCGTAGTCTTCTATTATTTTCACCACCACTTCATTCCCTTTTGCCGCGTCTAATTTATATCCATAATAAACTTTGTAGCCTTTTTTTAGCGGATGTTTAGGGAAGTAAAATAGATCTTCTTTAATTGATATTCCTTCTGTAAATAGTATGAAAAACAAATATTAAACTAGGCAAATAAGCACACTAAATATCTAAATGTGGATTTGCTTGTGGTGAATTAAACTAGAATGTTGCATTGAACGGGTAATTTTAACTAAGCAACTACAACGCTATGCTATATATTTATTATACAGGAGTCAAAAAAACGGAACCCACAAATTTGTTGAAAACTTTTTCAAAAATAAAATAAATTACTAGATTTTGTTGATGATTCAACTTGCGTTGGTGATGATAGTGCTCAAGAGCTTAAATAACCTATCTTGGACGAAAGTTAGGTTCTAACCGGTATATGTTTCAAATCGCCTGCTAGGCGAGCAGGCGAGCAGACTGGTGTGCGTTGTGGGATTTTTCTGATTTTTGTTGCAGTTCCAGTTTTGAGTTCAACAATTGTTTAGGGAATTTTTTGATACACATTGTCTTTTGAATACCCCAACAGATTAAAATCTGAGGCGTTCAAATTTAATGAATGAGGTGCCCATTCGAAGTCACAGCTTTTGTTGATGAACCTTTTTTTAAAATCGCTCTATCAGTTTAGTCAAATGCGTAATTTAGTACGTGGGGGATGCATTGTCTTGGTAAAACCACTAATTCACTCAATCAAGCTCTCTACGTTGTTCAAACTCGATCCCGTTCTCAGTACTGTCACATTATGTTCCATATACACCGCTTGCCAATCGTCTTCAGAACCATCTGGACCCGTTTTGCAATGTTTGGAAATAGCTTCATGCCTCGCACTATACTGAGTGTAACGTAGTCTGTAAGACTCGTTTTGGGGGTGTTGTACCCAGGTTATCAATATTTTTGCCGTCGACACACCCAGGTAGCAGAAAAAGCACTTAAGAAGAAAACGAAGTGGATGATTAACAATTTTGCGCGGAATATACAAGTCTGTCCCCTGTATCTAGGAGGTGATTTGAAACATATTCTAGAGAGAACATAACTTTTGTGGGAAACGTCCTGGATTCCTAATACTTTTGGGTGCAATCATGCACAAACAGAAATTAACGTGTAGAGACACTCAAAAAAAATTTACTTCATTTCACGGAAGTTATTAGAAATTTGTGCATAGCTTTTAGCTATTCGTGTTACGAAAACGCGTAACATGTGATTAATTTTCCATTTCCTTACCTCAGGGCTACTCAACTGGCGGACCGCGGTCCGCATCCGGACCTTTCGAGTATTCAATTCGGACCGCACCTAATTTGAATCATTAGCCCCACTTTTTAAATTTCCTTTTATAAAATGACTTTTATAGTTTTGAACATATATGAAAATAACTATAACACCATAATAAACAATCTTGATTAGCTAATAATCATTAGTCGGCCTTGGAAGTGCGTGTTTAAGGATTCCGAAACATAATTTATCGAAAGACCGGACCCAAATAATTTTGAAGTTTCGTATGTGGTGTGGATCTTTGGTAAAAAGAGTTGAGTAGCCCTGCCCTACCTTATAGAAGAACTATTGTGTGAGTTATTTGCCAAGCGTGTGTTAGACTCTCAACTGACCAGCCTACTATCATCACAAACATAAATCATTACCTGATATTTTTATATTTTCTTTTAAGTGTTTTGATTCTTTGATATGATCCCATATGAGTTTATTAATGTCTTTTTGTACTGCTTTCAAGCTATTGTTGATGTAATATTTCGATTTTTCCCCAAGGCCATTTTCACATTCCATGCAGAACACCATAACAACTGATTTCTTTCTGCTTGGCGATACCGGATGGTTATAAGATTGATGGTTTTTTATATGATCTGAAAAATATAACATATCATTAATTTTGTTACCATGTTTTTTGTCTACCAGCAACTAATTGGCTTAAGCAAACTGCAATTTCTAACTTCTATTTAAGATTGTATAATTCTGGAGTTAGGTTATTTTAAAAATTCCCTTTTTTTTATTATTATTCTGTACATCTACATGAACAAAACTAAAAACAATTTCCTTGGGCCGGTAATTTTGTTTCTGTCTATTTGAAGTGAAGTAATATTGACCTACAAGAAACTAGCATAATGTCTCAGATGCCTTTTCTTTTGTGGTAAAAGGATTATCAGATACTAAGATGAAATGTTGCAACTTCGACAGTTCATTTCTATTTTAAGTTTTTAGAACAATATAGAAACTCATAAAAACGTGTGAAACCCTCCTAAAACCTACAAAAAAAACTCATAAGAAGCGAGCAAAAACGTACTTAATTTACGCAATGATATCTACTGCATGTCACTCAATGTCGCAATCAATGGTAGCTCAGGTAGGATAGTAAGGTGAGAAATTTGAAACCACTAATAGTATCAGCAGCCATTGTACGTTTATTATGCCTCATGATTGTTTCATATTCGCAGGCACACTATCGAACGGCATTTAATTGTTATAAGGATATATAAAATACTAACCTGTCATTGACTGGTTTGATGCTGATTGTACATCGGCACAGGAATTGGTACTAACGACTTCATCTCGATCAACATGTTCGTTAGGATTTTGAGAAACTTTTCCAGGCACTGTTAAAAGAAAATTTACATGTTATTAAAATTAGTGCAGTGGATTGCATGTATTCTAGCTTAACATTTACAACTTGGAAAATTCTCATTTAATATTATCGTGGCTTTTATGTTATTTAATAAATTGAGCGATATTATGTATTTAAAGAGTTTGAGTTTGATATACAATATGTATATTCAATTTTCAGAGGTCATTTAGTAAATAAAGAATAAATATGTATTCCCTATTATTATGTGTATGGAGTGTGTATTTTTTCAATGATTGAAATTTCAAAATTTCAAGCACGAAGAGGTGAAACATGCGCATTTTGTACTGCTTTTTGTTTACGGATTGCGAGGTACCAATTCAAAAGGTCACAACAACTAGCGTACATTTTACCCATTTACTCTGTTTTCTTGTTACAAATAATGAGCGTTGATATCGGCAAGATGAGTATCACTTCTCATAGTTACTATGGAACTATCTTCAAATAAGGAAAAAGATTTTTTAAACGTAACTTAGGTTTTTCAAAATTGGGATTAACATATTTTTTGCATAGGGCACACGACCAAATGTATTAACTTCATATGCTTTACTTGGTGGGAGGTTACAAAGTTTTTATTATAAAGTAATGGGGTTTGATTTCAATGAACTTTTTTAAAGGAAGAACTCATCTATAAAATACAGACAGCATTAGCTCACTTACATATCGGAATGGGCAATCCATTCCAATTCTATGTTCGAGAATATTTAACTTACAAGTCAAAACTGGCTCAGAAAATGTTTCACTGCTATAATGTTTTAACCCTTCAGTTTCATCATATGATTTGACGCCAACAACATATTCGTGCAGGGGTTTGAGATTTCCTCCTATCACCGTACATTGAGTAGTTACTTCACCGACAACCATAAAGGTACTCTGAGTCTCTGGTAACTCATACACACATATTTCGTATTTACAGTGTGCAGTGTCAGTGGTATCGAGCACAACTGTAAGTTCGCATTTCTCACCAGTCCTCGGAGTAACTTTCACAGTTTTAGGGGGTGGAGGGCCTGAAAAAAAGAAAAAAAAAAGTTACCCGTTTCAAAAAATTATTAATCAATTAGGTATACGATTTCTCAAAAGGCCAAAGGAGTGAAATATAAAAAATAGGTAAAATGAAAATTATAGATAAGATTTAAGCCGTTAAAGAACTATTTTGGCAAATTTTCATTAACAAAGATGGTCATTTTTGTACGACAATTGTTATGTTGCATTTTTCGTAGCACCCAAAGATCTGATAAAATATATTAAAGCGACTTTTTGTCTTTAATCATTGTTGTTGCGTTGATTTTGCCAATGTATGGGCACAACCAAAGATGCCAGCTTCAAAGCTCATTACCAGCAAATAATACAGGGTGTCCACAAAGTCCCATCACAATTTCAATTTTGTTATTAAGTCAGCTCTCAATATATCTTAACCAGGTTTGTTGTTTTTTAATATGTAATTGTTTAAATAATTTAACTCCATTCAATATATCTATGAGAGAAAAAACAATATATGGTATCGATAAATTCCCTTTACAATTGAATTTTTTCAGGACTTTATGACACTCTATATATTAGGTATTCTCTACACTAGGCAATACTACACTAATACCAAACAAAGTGTCTTCTTTGGAGCCTATTTTATATTGAAGATATATCTAATATAAAGATCAATCTAATATAAAGTTTAGCAAATTATTCCCTCACTCATGGTAAATCTTTTGGTGATGCATTTGTTGTCGTATTTTTTATCAAATCCGCAAAACAGTTGTGCTGTGTAAGTATGTCCAGGTTTTCCGTGGTCAAAATAGTAGTAATTCTCAGTTAGTGATATTTCCTGTTTATCAATTTTCAATTTGAAGCAATTAACTCCGGCAGGATTCTCCCATACTAGTTTTACACTCTTTGAAGGCTGTTTGACATCTTTAGTAACTTCAATATCAGTTGGATGAATCCAGCCTGTGGGAAAAATGTCAATTTTGGTTTTGGGTTAGAAATAGTTTGGTATACCTTGCATAGTATGTGACCTTGCATGCGAGTTAAAAAATCCAAAACCCGTCTCCAACAAGAAAAGTCGAACGATCACAAATACATTATCCCAATATAATTTGTAAGTCTATTTATTGAAACATGAATATAAAGATAATAAGGTATTCACTTGTTTTTTGTTTGACTGAAGCCTCACTTGGTCCTTCGCCGGCGGAATTAAATGCCACAACTTTACAACAATAACTACTTCCCGGTAAAAGTTGCTTTTCGGAATTCCAAGAAGATGTTGAACCACTGTATGAATCCATTTCTTGATTTTTATCATCCAAAATTGTTGCTTTGTAATTTATATTTTTCAGCAATAGATCATCCCATTTAACTTTCATTTTGAATTTGAAAATTTCAACTTGTATATTTTGAACTCTTCCTGGGACTGTTAAAGAAAGTATTATATTTTTATACAAGAATATAGTAAAGGAAAATTTTTCACTTAAAACGTGGTAACAAAATACTAAAAGCTAAATTATAACACGCAACTGGAGAAAGTGTTGAGATAACAAAAGACGTAATTTCAACCATTTGTCAATTTGATTCATGTCTTTTCATAAACATACCTAGTAGAACTGCCTGTGGATCTGACCAATCTCCTTTAACGTTTTTATATATATTCCTCACACGAACAAAATATTCCATTCCAGCAGATAATTTATTGTCATAAACGTAAACTGTTTGGTCTGCGTTGAGCCTTATGAAGATTGATTGATCTTCTCTGTTGCTAACTTCAACTTCACGTTCATCACATACATCGCTATAATTTCTAAAATTCATCACTATTTTTGTACCATCGGGTATAAATTGTGGTGGTTGAGGAATAGCAGGTTCTGAATGAATCAAAAAACAATTTATTACATAATATTCAGAAAGAAAATAGTTGAGTTATTATATCTAGATTGAAAAAGAGATAGGATGTTTTCAGATTTTAAGTATATTTGCAACTTATAACTGGTACACTGATTGTGATATATCATCAAATCAGACATTGCAAAATTTAAAATTACCTAGCATTTGATTTGTTTAATAAATACCCAAATAATCCATGTGTACGAGTTAATATTGAATACATACTCGATATAACGTCTTGTAAAGTAACAGATTTTCCAGCAATGTTCTTTGACTGGGGTGAATATACTTCAGCATGAACGCTGACAATGTACTCCGCAGCGGGAAAGTGAGGAGAAAATGACACAAACGATTGATCGTGCACTTTGAAACTCAGTTTATTATCTGCACTCTGTGATTCCTCTTTTAGTTGTGCCGTTACTATAAATTGAGATACTTTACGAGTTGGCTCATTCCAAATTATCTTAATATATTCCCCATCTGTTTCACTTTTCACTCCAGTCAGTGGGAGGGGTGCTAAAATAAATATTTGTATTTATTATAACTAAACTGCCGCAAATACAAATTATGTTAAGAAATAGAAGGACACCTATTCAGGACAGAAGGAGGGCAATGAGGTGTAGACATATACGATTTGATCGGAATAATGATTCATAACGTGCGTCTGAAGCGTGAGGTTAGGTTCTGTTAAACGGAATCGAAAGAAAAACGTAAAATGAACATAAAAAAGCCAAATAATCATAATGTTGGCAGTAAACAAGAAAGAAATTCTTTGCCCAACGTTTCCTGTTATCGGTGCAATTACCACCAATACTCACAGCCTTGTAACGATAATCGTGACTAGCCAGTGCATTATAAAATGTAACACGTAACTTATTATATATGAATGTACTCGTCGAATAGTAAAATAGATTTCATTTCGTTCAAACAAGCCACATGCCACGGTCTTAGGAAATAAATTTGATATTGCTTACAATTCACAAATTCAGAATATGGAGAACTTTTTCGATAGATTGAAACAGGTAAATAAGAGAACGTGCGGTTTAATTTTTTCATCACCTTTGCAGTTGCACCAATGTGTTAATTGTACTCGTTCTTTCCTAATTAACGAAACATCAGATAAATAGTAAATCCTCACCTAGTTGCAGCATAGTTTTATCGGACCATTCACTAAATCGTTCGGACAGATTTTGACAACGAATTTGAAAAAAATATTTTCCTGCCTCATGTTTACAAGAACATTCGTAGATCTCTAGTTTGTCAATTGTAACTTGAGACTCCTCAACATCTTGGCTTGTTTTTACCAAAATTTGGTGACTCATGCAGTCTTCGTGATTACCAAAGTCAATATACACGTCCCTGCAACTGTATCCATTTTCATCTTTACACAACTCCACATTGGGTTTTGCCGGTTTAGAGGAAGCTATAATGTCAGAAAACAATAATAAAAATTGTGTGGATATTAAAAATAACATTTCTATTTTCAACCTTTGGTTTAACTATGTTAAGAGTGAATCGGACTTCACATGTCAATAATGTTAGCTCTGTTTGCAATATTACCTCTGCAACTAATAGTCACAATTAGATCAATATCAATTTTGTTATCTACTTTATTAATATCATAACCCAACCACAAGTATTGGGCATTTCAAAATTGATCAAATATATCCTGACATTGGACCTCAAGTGCTGACATTGCCTACAGAGTTGATTTACATGAAAATTAGAGTCCATTTCTCACTTGTCGTAAAAAAATAGTAAGATCACGTAAACATTAATTCGACAATGCGAGTGCAAGAAAGTGAAAAAAGAAAAAGTTTCCCTAACCTGTTAACACAGCTGATATGGTGCATACTTTTCCCCCCATATTTTCTCCATATTGTGCTTGTAATGCTGCTTTATATTGCGTGTTGGGTTGAAGACCACTAACAACAAAAATATGCCATCGGCCATCAGCAGTCTGCTTTTTAATGCTTGGTCTTTGTTCTTGAGACCAAAGCAAACGAGAAAAAAGATACAGTGAGGTGGTGATGTAAATACAAATTTGGGTCCTAATTTAATTTCATGACTGTACCAAAATACTTTCAGTTTCTATTTTGAATAAAATAAAATAGGGTTTTCCGAAAACAAAACAGAGACAATGAAATGCATTTATTTGGAAAATGTCAATATCATACAAATTGATTCAGTATTCAAAATCATTCAGTGTAAATTTGAATTCATAATGCTTTGTCCCGGTAATGACAGAGACTGATTCAATAAGCAAAGATAAACCAACATACTTTTTGTATCTTCCACATTGTTATTAAACAGCAAACCTTCCAATATAGGCATATCCCTATTACGTTGAACTTTCAATATTTGTATGTTGTAATCACTTGGTTCATCAGGAGCTTGAACAAATTTTATTTCAATGGCTGAAGCAGGTGGTTCTGAGAGTTTCATGATAATATCACTTGGTTTTCCATATTCTGAATAATAAAATATATTAAATAAAATAAAATGCAATTAAAATACTATATATATATATATTACCGTGTTTCCCCTAAAATAAGACCTACCCTGAAAATTAAACCTAGCCTGAATTTTATAAATGATTTTAGTATAAGCCCTACCCTGCAAAAATATTTTTGACATAGTCGATAGCAAGGAATCTGTCATACACGTTTTGAATGATTGATAATCTATGTTTTGTAGGTATTTCGAATAAAAACGTGTTATTTATTAGTGAATGAATATCGGTTTTCAAACTTTGTATATTTGAAAATCTCGTAATTCACTACTTCGTAATTTTGTTATTGATAAAGGAAAAAATAAGACATCACCCGAAAATAAGCTCTAGTGTTATTTTCCGGAAACAATTTGAAATAGGACCTAGTCTTATTTTCGGAACAACACGGTATATATATATTTATATATATTATATATAAATAATTATAAAATTATACTAATTACCCAGGTACAGTCTGGTATGATTCGATCTCGAAATATCAGTAATACAGGTGATGCATTTTCAATTATCTTAAATGTTTAACATACATTTTTGGGAGGTCCAGAAGTATGTGCACCAAGATGGCCCACAACCTGAACATAGTTATGTGTACCAGGTTAAGGTTCCGGTTGTGCGCCATCTTGATACACATACTTCGGGAGCGCCAATATTTGTTTAAAGTGCTTAAACCAAAACATTTGTACCCAATATCATACTAAAACGCATTTTTTATATTATACCTGTCATTGTCAAGCACTTCGTTGAATATTCACCTATTCCTTTCTCATTAATTGCTCTAACTTTAACAGAGTATTTTTTGCCTGAACACAATCCACTAATGTAATATTGTGGGTCAGTAGTTCTTCGTGTAATTTCCATGAACGGCATTTGAGTTGTTATTTTTAATTCATACTGAATTTGTCCAAGTGCTTCAATCATCTTCATCTCATTCCAGATCACACAAAATCCTTGTTCTGTTCTGTCGCTTATTTTGACTCCTTTTACCATGTTTGGATCTGTTTAATGCAGAGAAAATAGGCTAATAGAATGAACCTTACTCATTTAATATTTGTAACACTCAGGTTTCTAAACCTGTATTGCTTTTGGTTGTACAAGAATGAGATCAAGCATTACTACTTCACCCTTGCTTTGCCAAGTATGTGTATGTTAGTATATAGACAAAAGCTCACCCTGATGTCAATTATTTTATGAAAGCATTTTTTGTTATTGATACACACAGGTGAAACTTATCATTTGCTTGTAAAGATCACAACCGTATTCTTACTTGGCTTTGTCTCTATTGTACCACTGGATGAACCAAGACTTCTTTTGCTGTTTTCATCTACTGAAAAAACTTTGAATTCATATTTGGTTCCAGCCATAAGCCCATCAAATAAGTAATTTGTTCCATTAATCGGCTCACTCTCAATTTCCTCACCAAGTTCAGGTACAGCTACAATAATGTATGTTTGGGGTTTTATTGTCGGTTCCTCCCAGTAAATTTCAGCTTGCTTATAAGACTCGCTGTCTTTAGCAAGTTTTGCGGTTACTTGTTTTGGAACTTTGTCTCCACCTGACAATAAAAAAGACATGTTGTATCAGAGGTCGCAACATTTTTCACCTTGTTTGCATTATGTATGTAAATAAGGCTTTAAATAGGAAGTCGCTCTCGAAAAGGACCAAATATATGTAAACGTCTGAAAGTTTCATTTTGGACTTACTCAGTTTCAAATTTGAAACGTTATTTTATCAATACAAGACAGCAATGATATTTCATTTAAGTAGCCATTTATTCATAATTCATTTTATTTGTTAAATCATGAAACAAGGCTATTTTATAAAAGTAAAGATTTAACAACATAACTGAAATAAATATTTGTAATATCTGATTCACCACTATTATACACCAACCTAATATAGTGAGTTCTGAATCATATTTAGATTCCATCATGTTTTTTCCAATAGCATAAATAATGGCTTTGTAGGCATTTCCAAAAAAGGAATTATTGAACTTCCATAAATAATCAGTGTCTGTTAAGTAGGGTGAATCATTAAGAAGTTCATTGTCTTCGTCGCATATAACGACTCGATATTTCTGAGCTCCTCTGGCAATGTTCCATTTTAATATCAATGTATTATCCTCCCACAAATTTTGCTGCAATTCGACTCTTTCAGGATCTGCGAATAAAAGCAATACTTGATTTTTAGTATGCACAAGGACTGAAGTTATGCAAGTTTCTGAAAGAAATATTTTGGTTCAAATATCTATGAAGAAAGATTCATTCTTTTAAAATATAATAGGTTTCCAAAATAAAGGGGAATGTGTTGCGAAGCCTTATTGAGAGCGAACGTTGTCACCTAAAAAAAATTTGAATAATATTACGTGTGTAGATGTGAAGCGATACTGGTGGTGAAATGTAATCCTCATCTCTGTCAATATCTTCAAATACTGTTGAAATGTATGCATCATATTCCCACCCTTTTTCTAGAGTAAATCTAATGTCGTAAGTCATTTCTTTCTCTGAAAATGTTTTTTTCACATTCACAACATAACCATCCTGGCGCTCCAATCGAATATTGAAGTGATAAATTTTGAAATCGTTTCTTCTCTGATTAAATGAAGGTGGTTGCCAAGAAATCTCGCACTCTTCACAATTTTTTTGAGTACTTGTAATCTCGTATTTTATATCTAGTGGTGTGCCTGAAATAAAAAGGATGCATAAAAAACTGACTTTGATACAATTTGGATAGCATGATATACAATATTCACTCACCAAAGGGACCATCAGGATGATTATGAGTGATATTTACTTCTCCTATAAAATGAAATATGCACATGGGTTATAAAACATATAAAAGAAAACTCCTATAGTAAAATGGCAATTTTCTTACCTGGAGCATGTACAGTGCCAATTTTAAAGTTGCCACCTTGCATTTGATTGAATTTCATTGTTGAAAATTCATAATGCGGTTCTAAAACAAAACGATTTATTATTGAAAGTTGATATGTGGATGGCTTAGTAGTTAGTAAGTCAAATAAATAATGCATCTGTCCATGAGTCTTGAAAATGTTGTGAATTTTTATAAAACGTAATTAGTTCGCTCTACAAAATTTTTTAAAGACTTGTAAAAAAAGTATACGTTTCGATATGGGTTTTTATGCAAGATAAAATGATTTAGAATATAATTTTTCTCACCTCCAGAAATACTAACAATATTCGAAAGGCTTCCTTCACTTTCTTCTCCTTCATATACAGCATACACAACGAAAGTATATTCTGTACCTCTACGCAAATGAGTAAAAATGATCTGATCTTCAGAACTGAATACCATTGCCTTTATTCTCCCAGTATTTGGTATCGCCTCAACTCGATATTTTGAAGGGCTTTTGTCATAAATCGGACGGTCAAACTTGATATTCATGCATCGACGAGATATTTGTCGATTCTTTGTTGCTTTAACATTTCTAGGGGCTTTGGGATCACCTTTAAGTAAAAAATAATTATGGTTTCATATAAATATGCTTTAGTATTTTGATATTATTATAGTCAAATATTATTAGAATTAGTCTAATCAGCAATTCGCCTAATTTTATATATATTAGACTTGTAGGATCATTTTGTCAAATTGATGTTGGTAAGAAAAAAATGTGAGGTGAAAACTCGTTAATTATCTAAAAATGACTGGTTTTATCTCTGAATATCTACCGTACACTGGTGATGGAATGTCGGTTTAATTTACCATAATTGATCACCAGTTTTTTTTTCTAAAGTATATTCTTCCCAGCAAAATAAATTACCGATTCGCTGTGGCGTCCAGTCGGTACTCACTGATTGACCAATTTCATCATAAACTGTCACTTTCATCATGCATGATTTCCCCATTCTTAATTCTCCCATCATTTCAGCTCTGTAAACTGATTCGTGGTCAACTTTTTGGTTTGAAATAATGGTTTCTTCCAAATGTTCGTCCATAAGGCAAATAGTGTAATAATTTGCACCCTTGACGGAATTCCAAGAAAATGTCACAATACCTTGTTCCCAAGTACATGAGTGAATCTTCGGTAGTTCTAAATATATTTTAATACATTAAAAAGTATCTACATTTTTAACAGGCTAAACTAAAGTTTGATAATGTCAGAATATCATTTTACAAAGCAATGTTAGTCAAAGACAGCAATTAATCCTTAAATTTGACAGATAATCAACAAGCAGCATTTCTGAATATTATTTTCGTACAGTGAATAATGAATTTCAATTATACTATTTGCTTTGTTAAAATTAATTCTGTGAAAATTTTGCCACCATAAAAATTATAGTAGGTAAAAATGCTATAGGAAAGCATTCAAGGTTTTATGTAAATACTCACCTCTGGTTGTGAAGCAGTTGTTGGACCACACCCTTACTGTATCTTCAAAATTGGCATAATATGCAGATATATTATAAGTATACACTGATCCTGGTTTGAGGCCAGTAAAAGTAAAGGTTGTTTCTTCTGTTTCTATTTTATCGACAATTTGATTATCTTCGATTAGCTGAATGTAATATTTCAATGGAATCTCCACAGGAGCAGTCCATGATGCAGACAATTGTCGATTTGTATCATCGGGAGATGGTTTCAGTTCCACATTTGTTGGAACATAATTTCCACCTGGGATCACATAAATTTGAAATAACGTAACATAGGTACATCGTAAAGAAACTGTTTTTGCTTACTAAATTCCATCTATGATCCTACTTTAATTTGTTTCGTTTGTGAAGTCTTCCCTTAGGTAGTTATTTTCAATTTAGAACCACAATCACCAAGTTGCCGCAGATTTATAACTCATTTTACAAAAAGTGATATCATAGAGTTTTTCATCAATTCAGTGCATTTAAGACTGTATGTATCATTATATATGAGGTCTTGTAATTAGATTCTTAGTCTAGGTTCAAATTGACCAATTTTTACAGGCTTTTACATGGTTTTTAGTTAATATAGGTAACTGGGTTATTTCTAATATTCCCACCTAATACAAACAAACATTGGGTTTAAATGTGTATGTTACAGTGGTTATGGTCTTAACGAAGATACACCGAGATAAACATAGTTTATGAATAATATGTAATGGTTGCCCTCGCGTGTCACGATATGCTGGAATTGAGTTATGTGTAGGGGTAACTATTGGATCCATGAAATATTATTATTTTTATAATCAGTTTTTAAATCACATCAGATTTTCTTAACCCTCCCTTTATCCTCCATCCCTATCTTGTGTAATGACATACCAATTGTGACTTGTTTCTCGGAAGGTACTGATGCTGTATCTAGACATTTCCCAATGAGTTGAAAATTTCGATTTTGCCCGTATCGACAATTTGCAGTCATATTGAAAGTCCACGTATTGGTTGTGGGTGCAAACGACAGATATTTCTTCCTGATTCCGCAGTCAAAAATGTTCAATTCATATGATTTTGCTCCTAGAGCTTCATCCCATTTTGCTATTATTTGGTTGTTTTTCCATTCGATTTTGAGATTTTTTGCTGTGTCAACTCCTGAATGTGTATAATAGAGTCATAATGAGTGGACTTGAAGTTAGTGGATGAGATAGCTTAATGGGTGCATGTTGAGATAAACAATTTGGCATCACTGAATATCATCTTCAACAACATTACAAAGATCATAGCTTATGGAAAACTGAGACATTATTAAATTTTCATATCCTGAAGAATACAGAAATCAAAAATGTAAATGAAAATTTAGAAAAAATACCTGTTGAAAAAAGCTTGAAATTCTCGGCAATTTTTTCTCCTTTTGAATCCAAGTCCATATATCTTGTTGAAATTTGTACTCTGTACTCCTTTCCGTATAAAAGATTTTTATATGAACATTCTGTGATGCTGTATTCCACTTCCAGAAAATCTTGCATTTCCCAGTTATCGTCTGCCGTTCCTACTTTATCTAAGTCTCGCTTAAAAAGTTTGATTGTAGATTTCATTTTTTTGAAATTGACAGCTTCTTGGCCAATGTCACCATTTTCCCATTTGACCAGGAGCAAAAGTGTGTTGTCTTTTGCTGATGCTTTGCAGCTGATATTTATAGGTTTACCTATAATGTAAATATAAAGTTTGAGATTCACTCGTTCATTTAACAAAGAACAGCAAGTGAATTTGATATCTTTCGTTACACCATAGTTCAAACCATATACGAAACAACATGGAACTTAATTAAAAAACGAATAATGGTATATGCTTATAGCATTATTGGCAGTTTAATGAAGTTATATCTTGTTTTTTCTGAAGAAGTTAGACTACGATCCAACATATGCTAACAAATACACTTGCTTATTTGTGGAACGAGATTATGCTATTTATCACTTGAAGCTGCCTCTAAAGCTTTCAGACAATCTGATTTTAGTTTCTAGAGATATAAAAATTTTCTTGTCCGTTTATTATGTATGGTATCTAAATACTCACATAATTGAGTAAAGTTTAAAGTAAAATGTATATTGTTGATGCAAAATTTGACCAATACAATTGTGATATGAAAATGTCCATTTTTAGCATAACTTAATGGTAACAGCAATAATTTGACGCTATGTGATAAAACTTCTGTTTTCTGTTGTCTAGTAATGTTAACTCTAAAAGTTGATTAACATTGAACTACCTTTTTGTCCAATGTTGAAACTTTTGTTTCTTTGCGCTGAAACATTAAAAACACGAGATTATTTCTATTTGTAAAATTCAACAAAACTACCCCTATCAATTAGTTTATTAATTAGATTGTACAATTTTTTCTAAAAAAATGATTTTTGTGTTTTATGCAGGCCATTTTTATAGCAGTTCACCTTTGTGCCAAATATTTTAAACGAAATTATTTTAAAGTCAGCGCGCCTTAAAATACGGTGCACCATATGGTCTGTAAAATATAGTAATTAATTGAAATCATCTGTGTAATTGCCAAAGTCAAATTAAATAATTTTTTCTACTTTTGACAGCTTCAGGAATAGAAGAGTCACTGTAATGAATTCACATTTTATGACTTGATTCTTCCCAATTCCTCTACCTCGTCAAAGTAGATTTATGGGTTTTTCCAACGCGAATGTGTTCAATTCATTCTACTTACTATTAATTCTAACATGATCCAATGTTGTATGTGCTTTGTGAGCATTCTTATACACGGCAGTAATTATACATCTGTAATTGTATCCATTGCGAAGTTCGGAAAATGATACAGAATCTATTATGACTGTTTTTGTAGTGAACGGTTTCTCCTCTTCTAGTAATTGGCATATGTACTCCATAAGTTGACAATGGTTATCTGGCAGATCCCAAGTGATAGTAACTTCCCGATTACTTGGTACCCATCTCAAGCTTATAGGAGCAAGCATTTTATCTGTAAAAATATTACAATATTTGAGCAAAATTACGTTGAATAAATGCTACGGTACAAATGTCACGATTGCAATTCATAGGTGCAAATGTAAGTTGGGGGCAGAGATAATATAACCAATGAGTGCTAATTTTAGTTATGCGACGAAGCCTCATTAAAAAAAATCGTCAATATGTCATTGAAAGGGTACTCCAATAAATATATTATAAATTATCATTTGTTGCACTCTATTTCTAAAGATAATAATTGAAAAAGTTCCTCTTACCATCGCCAGTAGTGACTATATCTGACTTTCTGATCATAATGAAGTCATTTTTGAACCCTTCAAACATCCCAACAACAGTGCAAAAATATTCTGTGTTTTGTTTCAAGCCCCCAAAGACTGCTTCGTTTTTTTTTGTCGTCAGAGAATTGATTTTTGTTTCGCCACAAAATATACGAACAATATATTCAGGTGGTTTTACAATTGGAGGATCCCAACGCAGTCGAACTTGGAAAGGATTTTTATTGCTAGCAATAGCCTCAAAATTAGTCGGTGCAGTATCCATTTCTGTAAGGTGTTAAAAGTAATAACAGAATAAATCGAATAGTTTTTGAAGTATCCCAAGATCGAAACAATACATATTATATTCACGTGTCGAAAACCCACATATTTTTTTTTATTATAAATTATTAAAAATTCATCGTTGCGCAAACATATTTATAGATCTATTACAATATTTAAAGATACTGGGACATGACCCTCTGACGCACTTATCACAGGCACACACTTCACTTTTCTAATATAAAAACGTTTTGGATGAGCACTACTGTTAAATAATGACGTACTATTTTGGAAGAATTGGTCTCTTTTAGGTTTACCATTACCTCCTATCTACGGTTAGGCAATGTAATGGGACCTTTATACTGTAACACAATGACATAACTATCATCACACCAATTTTTAGATTCGATTCATTGCCACCCTGGCACTAATATTTCCCTACAGAAATAAAGCCAACACACTTTACAAATACTTACTATTTGCAGTACTCATTACACTTGATTTAATTTCAGTTCCATGCTTTTGCTTCCTATAAATGCCAATAACAGAACACGAATAGGCTGTGTTTTCTTCCAAGTTTGAGAATAAAGCGTCACATTTTTGCCTTTCTTTTATTGACCTCACTATCACATCGTCCTTGTACAGGTTGATAGTATATGACATAGGAGGACATTTCGGAGGATCCCATTTCAGAGCAATGTGAAATGGATTCCGTTCATCTCTACCGGCCTGCAAATTCCTTACCGAAGTGAAGTCATCTAAAAAATTTAATCTTATGTTCAGCATAAAATAATAGAATTTTGTTGATTTAAATATTCGAAGGCAGATTTACAGTAATGGATAAATCATTGCACTACATTATTATTACATTTATCTTCATGTTGGCATTTCCTTGTTAAATATCTCCGATTTAATATTTACAAATGTCTCTTAAAGTTTCTTCAGAAACATATTAACGTTCTTGGTATTGGATAAACTATGTGTTGCAAAGAATCAAAAAAATATATCATGCTCCAAATTTATGTAAATTAATTTTGTTTATAATACAGTTGGCGTTATTGAACTTGAAAAAAACTCACATTTGGCAGTGTCAATTTCTGTAGAAATAGCAGATATTCCTCTGCAATAGTTCTCAAAAATACCGGTTACCATAAACTGGTACGTTGATCCAATCATTTGTACGCCACAATAAATTTTAAGTTCTCTCTTCCTAAAAATTGACTCTTCATCGTTTAATAATTTTCCATTTTTTATTGTTTGTATCAGATACTTTTTAGGAGCCAGATCTGATTCATGCCACTGCAATCTAATTACAAAGGGATCGTCTGCACTCATCGTCGGATTTTGCAAGTTTGGAATTGTTTTTTTGCCTGTATATATTTCGAAAATAAAGTAGTAGGAAAATAGTACTGCATTTCTTGTTGTTGTTTTTTGCTGGAAAGCAGCAACTTTTAGATAAAGAGATTAAAAGTGTTATTTTACACAATTCAATATACGATTGGATTGTAAGAATGAATTGATTAAGATTTAATCTTGCAATGCCAACGAAATTATGCCGACATTTATTATTAATTTCCTAACTTATATAAAAAAATATTAAATGCCAAGTCACATGTTTTTAAAAACCAAGCAAAAGTTGGTTAATAATGAAAGGTGAGGAATTTCCAAAGAGAATAAATATATTTGAAAGCAATAGATAAGTGAAGATTACAATTTTGATTACCGTGATCTCAAAATTGAAGAATAACTTACATATATCATTAGATAATGGAGTAATTGTACTTGACTTAGCTGAAACTCCATATATTCCTCTTGGGTACAAACATTCCACCTTAATATAGCACAATAGATTGAGATCTATCAATTGAAAGGTTGTGCTAATTTTTTTTACTGTTATAGGGACGTAGATCAATCTGTCATCTTCATAATTGTAAACACTAACTCGATATCTCAAACATTTAATCATAGGCTTCTTCCATTCCACACCAATTTCAAATGGGTCGTCGGATGCAAAATTTGTCTCAATGTCATGAACACATGTGTCTCGACCTGCAAAAATACCAATACCCATTTCATATAAGCTTTGTAAAACATAATACCAATAAGTAATGGAAGTAATTGTTTATCAATTAAAACATTTTGCTGTATTAACTCATACACTTCGCATTCATATTGAACAATTTTAACTCGATAGTGGAATTTTAAATCTGAATTAATATCATGAGAAATAAATATTATTTATGTAGCATGGTAGACTCACTTGTAGGTGTTTTGGAAAATACTTTTTGACTTGGCAGTCCTTCGTGTTTGTCGTACTTCGCAGTTACTATAAAGCCATACTCTTTATCAATCTCCAAATTATCAGCTGAAAAGTTTGTGCGTTTGGAATGATATTGTTTTTGTTCATTTCCAAATATATCAACAAGATATTCTTTTGGTGTTACTTCAGGAGAATTCCAAGTAAGATTAATGCAAAATGGATCCTTAGGATCACCACAAGCTTTCACTCCAGAAACTTCAGTTTTATTACCTAAACATTCAAATAATTCATGTTAAATAAGATCAATGAAAACTTCATACAATTCACACCACATTTATTTTTTTACTGTGCGCAATCTATGTGCAAAAGGTAATTTGCGATTTCATCAGAGCAGCAAACTTATTAATTAAATTCTCATATAAAAATGTGACATCATCATGATTAAAATAATTATTTACTACATATTAATAATAGTATTGTTCACTGAACAAGATGGATTTCTTAATTAAGCAATCAAATTTAATGAACAAAAATATAACGTATTCAGTTTACTTGAAAAATCGGATGCATACCTAATGTTGAATTAGTACAAAATGATTATCTCAGGAGTCAAAGATAATAAAGTATACAGTTTTCAATGTTCTGCAATTTTTAAAGATTTTTTGATATGCCACTTATAGGAACACTTTTTTATACGGCTTGTTTATTCACTATATTCACTACAATATTAACCTATTGTTTAGCATTGCCATTTTAAAACCCTAGAGAAAGTGGGTAAGATAAATTAACTTGGAATTTTAAACCAACGATGGTAATACTAATGTCCAATGCTTCCACCAACGGGCAATCCCTCCACAAATTTACAGTCAAGATATTTTAATACAGAATATTTATCATTTATTTGAATTAATTATTTAAATTAAGCTGACCTGTCAAAACATCGACGTGTTCGGAATTATATGTTCTTCCCACACTTTTGCCATCAGCTGTTGGGGTCACAGTACAATAGTATGTACCACTACCATCAATAGGCTTGAAAATGGCAGAGGATTTTTGTTCAACAGCCCTTATGCGAGGTTGCCATCCTTTTGCTTTATTGTATAACTTGACATCAAATTCTTTGAACTTGGAATCAAGTTCCCATCTCACATGAAGTGTTTCATCGTGATGTTTTATGCTGATCTCGGGGTCGGCAGCTGAAACATCAACATAGAAATAACATAGATAGAACAGATACAAAAAATATATACTGTCAATACTACTACAACTGCCAATACTACAAAAAACAGACTAAAATTTTATCTATAAGTTGTTGAGCATTATGGTATTAAAATCCCGGGGCTCCCGAAGTATGCGAACCAAGATGGCGGACATCGGAATGTAATATGTGTACTAGGTTAGGGTTAGGCCATAATTTTAGGTATAAATACAACGGGAGGCTCTTGGCTAGTCTTCGAACTGATAATAGGACTAAAATAAGGAAAATTGCTACAAAAAACAGACTAAAATTTTATCTATAAGTTGTTGAGCATTATCGTATTAAAATCTCAGCACTAGTTTATTATATTGTTCTGTTTATCTCAGGGTAGGTTAGCATGTATCTATGAATGCATTTTTCACCTTCTAACATGAGGTAATAAAGATTCTGAAATCAGATTAATAGATTTAATATTGAAATAGAAAGTGCAAGGCAACTCATTTTAAAATCATTATGTGAATCAGGGGTGTGCAAACTGTGGCCCGCGGGCCAAATGCGGCCCGCATAGAAAAATTGTCATCTAAAACAGTGCCATTTCGTTGACCTTTGACTGATTCATTATTTATTCAATTTTACTGGATATCGCTCGTTAATATGTGGATGGCGTAAGTAAATGAAAAAACGCTGTTGTTCTACAGCGCTGTTCTCCTTCGTTTCGTTGTTGTTAGTCACTGTTACGAAATAAATAATAGCTTATTTGCTATTAAATACACAATATTTGATAAAAGTGAATTTTATATTCGATACTCTGTTCAAATTGTGCACAAAATAAATGAACGGGTTGCTTACTTAGCGCAGTTGATATGTTGTTGGAAGCTTTTCTGCGACCGATTTCCTTGTTTTCACTGTCTAATGGGATCACTGTGCAATAATAAGTTGAGCCATCGCTTGCTTCCGGAGGAAAAACATGCGATAATTTACTTGTGACCTTTTCCGAAATCTGTTGTTTTTTATCGGCATTAACAATTGCAACGACGTAACTCACGGCGCTCGGTTTTGCCGCCCAATCAACTTTTATTTGTCCGTTCTCAAAAACAGCCTTCATCGAATCAGCATCTGGAAAACAAATAGGAAGAGAATCTTTATATTTACTTTGGCAAACTTGCCTGTCATACCAATAAATAAGGGTAATCATGGTCGAACTGGGAATATTCTGATTCTAACAAAATTTAGTAGTTCTTTACCTAAAAGTCGATGATTGTAGAAAGTATTGTCCGAGATTAGAATGGAATGGAAAACGTAATAAATAACGCACAATAAGGGTGCGTGAGAGGTCTGAGAATTTGATACCAGATATATAATTCGTGATTCCAGTTCTGGCTTAATAATGACAAAAATTATTATGAGTTACTCTAGGAATTAACTCTCTTTTCAAAATTTGTTTTAATTTCAGCAAAATTTTACTAAAAGTTAACATCACATACCAGGTTTATATGGAGAAATATTTGACTCTTGGTAGCTAATTTCCTTTAGGTACTCGTCAAAAGCTACAACTTTGCAGTAGTACATATCGATTGATTCAAGTTGTAATGAAAATTCAAAAGAAGTATATTTGGTGTCCTTTCTGTATTCTACATGGCCGTCATGCTTTCTGACCAAAGACACATCGTATCTCGAAGCAGTTGAGACAAACGGCCATTCCACTCGAACTTTCCGATCTTTGGTAACGAAAACTCGCATGATTTGCACTGAATTTGAAGAAAGATATTGAAAATTTAGCCAATAAAGTTCAATGCATGCTGCATTGTTGCAAAAGTTTTTTATGCCCATGAGGGCGGCCAGGCAAAAGAAGAGTGGCCGGTACCAAAAACTGATTAAAAGATAATAGTTTCTACAGCTAAAGAAAATTGAAGAACATCGTATAAACAACACAGGAAATTTCTATAAATTCTTGGTAATGTTTTCAACCGGGGTTGAATTTATTTTCTAGGTCACCCAAAGCTTGAGTGTAAAACATTATTCAAATGTTAGCGTGACTTGTTTACTGTAAGATTCACGTGACTAAACAAACACATGAATGCCAGCAATTTTTAGATAGTTTATTTTACCCTGGGAGTGCGCAGCTCAAAGAACCATGTCTTTAATATTCAAATTCCAAAGTGAAGATCGGTCCACATAACTTCCAATGTTTTTTAACAATAGCATAATTTTGGATTCTTCCGAACACTGCGATAGCAAACAGTGATACTCTCCAAATTATTCAACTTTACATGTTTTTTTTTTGTTAACAACGATTATCTTTCCTGGGTTACACACAAACATACACACTCGCACTACTACTGAGTTGATTATTCCATGAAAATTATTTTAATCGAAGCAAACATTATGGTAATATGAAAATCTATCAGTCGCATTTGTACTGTGTGAAAATTTCCCTCGCCCTATGCTAATACAAGTTGAAATAAAATTACGTCATGTTTCAGGCTGAATTTTAATGCCGAGGCCCATACCGAAGATTAATTTTAAATAGGGATCACTAAACTTTTTTGACTCCGGGCCAGGTATGACTCAAACTGCGTAGAAACGGGCCGGACATATATTTTTGTCAGTGCAATTCAATAAATTCACCAAAGTTTCGGAAATCCATTCAATATATCCAACAATATAAATTCTACATTTCTGAAGACAACCATCCTGAGGTTAGCTGTTAGCAAAACATTGCTGTATGTAAAGAATATCCAAATTTAAGCAGCACAAAAGTTAATTTGACCTGTGAAATTAAGTATTATGCGAGAGATTACAGTACTATTTGCGCAAAATGCACGTTCAAAGTTTATTTCAGCACAATGAAAGTACACAGAAATAGTTTCGCCGAAAGCACGCGCCACGCTCACAGGCCCACGAGTGTAGTGCATCTTTCGCAGAAAACGATGCGTACCAGTAGAGAATTTTAGCCTATTTTATCACAGCTATTTCCAGACTAATTTCACTATTATTAAACTATAACTTCTTGGAAGGCAAAATGATGATTGACTCATTTGATTCATACCTAACTTTCCGAAACACAACCAAAAACTAACGAATTTCATTCGAAATTGTAAAAACCAGGTATTGTTTACAACCATGATTGAAAATCTGCCTCAATTAGTGTCTGAGCGGAGCTCTGCAAAAAGGCATATTGTTACGTCACTTTTTCGCATCTTGATGATTAGCCAATGTTACAAAATAAACAAGAAAGAAACATTTTGCCATTTTCTCGCGTTATTGCGGGCCGGATAAAAGGACGCCACGGGCCGGATCCGGCTCGCGGATCGTATTTCGGTGACTCCTGATTTAAAAGTTAACGATAGATAGAGCGATAATAACGCAACGCTGTAAAAACCTCACAAAATACGTTTGTGATAAATCTTTTTGGGTACAGTTCTTGGAGGGGGCAAATTTGCCAGAGTGCAAACTTCACTGGTTGCGATTGCCCACGGTTACAAATTCCAATTGATGCAAATTTCGAAGATTAAAAATTTTTGTGAGTAGGCCTACAATTGAGTATGGAAGCAAAATTTTGTGAGTGATTGTTTACGGGTCAAAAGTTATGGCAAATGTCTAAGACAAGCAATTCACGTGAATAACAATGTCCGTGGGTGAAAATTTTTTTATGAATGCGAATGTTCGTGCGTGCAACTATCGATGAGTGCAAATCTGGTCGGTAGAATCCTCTTTGGGTGCAAAGGTCTATGGGTAAAAAATTCATATAAATATGGGTGCAAATTTTCGTAAGTGCAACCTTCTGCGGTTCATATTTTTATGGGTGCAACTTTCGGTGAGTGCAAATGTTTGTGTGTGCTAATTTTGGTGGGTGTAAATTTTTATGGGTGCAAATGTACTGGATACAAAGTTTAATTGGTGCAGATGTTGCTCGAATCAAATGTTAGTGTATGCAAATTTTGCCAGATGAAAATTTTATGGTTGCAAATGTTCGTGGTTGCTAGAGACACACCAGTTATATTATTTCTTGTTTCTGAATAGATAACTTTAAATAATGGTAGAAAGAAATATTAATGGTAATCACCACTAAATAACTTTATACATAGGTATACAAAGAACAATATTCTAACATGTAATTTTTCTGGGGAGAGAGGGCGGACGAAATTTTGGCACTTTAGAATCAAGTATTTCGCATCAGATTTTCAGGCACGCCGGTGGAATTGAAATACCGTGAGATGATGGATTTCAGACGAATGGACTAATTTTTTTTTATAACTACGTTCCAATTACCGTGGTGCTCGAAACTCTACTAACAGATATACAGATATAAAAGTTGAGTATTAATTTAGCACAAACGGCCTTTATTCATTGCACGAAATATTTTCTATATTTTATTGTATAGATCGGGATTTTGACTGCTTCATAGGGGGGAAAGTAAATACGTCGCAGTTGAGTGATAAAAACGCAAATAACAGTCTTATTTACACAGCACGATAAACCAAATCCAGCGGAATTACCCTAAATTTTGTGGGTTCTCAATCTTGAAGTAAACCAAATAAAACGATATATATTTTTTACAAACGCAAAAGAAAGTCATTGGATGTCTGAATTAGAAAACAATATATAAATCATACCATATTCTGTTTCGTTCAAACTCTTTATTTTGCAAAATACACGGGATATATAAAACTAAAAATCTTTGAAATGTTTTTGTCAGAATCATAATTTTACACTAAAATATGTTTCAGGCATTTTGAGTGTTTTATGAATTCGCGGAGCGAATAGATCCCAATCGAAACCATTTCTACTGCTGCTGGTATCGATACTCATGCAGAGCTAATAGAGCGTACTGAAAGCTAGGAGGTAGAAATTGCAATAAAATAGATTCCAATTTGGTCAACACTCGGCTTTGTTCTGATTACTTATCGATCTTAAGATCGGTAAGTATATTGATAGGTAATTGTCTGTATGTCTGTCTGTTAGATGAACGCGATATCTCGCGAATGCGAGGTTGAATCTGCTCCAAATTTTGCATGTGCATTCATCTTATCTCGGACCAGAAACCTATTGAATTTGGGCGAATTATGTCGTATAATTAGCGAGTTATCAATCAATTATTGATATAGTGATCTAGATTTTTGTAAAGCGAGAGAATTTTGAGACCCGCCGAGTGTGTGTGTGCGATGCGCAGTGCGCAAGTTACAAGAGCGGATGAATCGAAACTGCAGTTTCTGTTTTGGGGGATCCCTTAACTATCGATCGATAAGTCTTCGGTTTCCAACCGATATTCTCGTTTTTTTGTTGCTCAGTATTCTGAATTACATAACTCTCGTAATAATGTATGAGAGAAAAGGAGCTTTGTTTACTCAGAAAGGGACTTGACTTGGTACATATCGACTGAACGTTCGATACCATATTTGTTTGCCCCCCACAGATATGAAGTAAAAGTACTTAAACAATAACTCATTAAAATAACAAATATACAGACGTCATAACAAAATTGAAATTGTAAAACAACTTTTTGGACACACTGTATGATTTGTATAAATAAGACAATTTTTACAGTCTTATTTGGGTAATACAGGTTGCAAATTGCACTCTATAGAAACTAAGGATATTTTCTGCCACCCAAGGAAATTTTCTGGAATGAGACTCGGCACCCACTGTCAGTTACACACATGATCATTGGCAATCCTGGATATTTGCACCATCGGATATTTTTACTTGTGGAAATTTTGGTCCACGGATATTTAGATAATTTACCATTGGCATCCAAGAATAATTTCTCAAATTTACATTTGCATTCGCGATTAATTGCATCCATTGACATTGCAACCACGGATATTTCCACACGTGGACACTGGAACACAAGGATATTTGCATTCATGGGCATTGAGAGTTGAGACCATGCATATTTGTACATTGACACCTATTTATATGAGGCACGCACAAGCTATTGAACCATGGGCCTTGCCCCGGTGAACTATTGCAAAATTTACATGGGCCACCTTATGCAATAGCACTCGTCGTCTTTGCCACACACGGAGTATTACATCGTACGAACATGAGCACACTTGCGCACAACACCCACGGGTGATCCCATTCATAGGTATGGGCATCCACATGGATTGATTGATAATGCGTCGATGTTTTCACCCACGGGCCTTGCTACTCATGAATATATTTGTCTATAAGCATGGCACACATGGCTTTGACCCACTAGCAACGCCTGGGCATCATGACGTAGGACATTTGTACGTACATTTTTACCCACTAACATTTGCACAAATGGACATTAGCAACCAAAAATCTTTTTACCCGGGGATATCGGCATACGCAGAAAATTGAATTCATGTACATTAGATATCACGGATACGTGCACCCAGGACATTTGCATTCTATGGACATTAGAAATATCAAATATTTGCACCCAGGACATTTGCAGTACATGACATTGGAAAGCTCGGATATTTGCACCCATGATATTTGCATTCTATGAACATAGTCCGGCAGATAAGGGGCCTTTTTGGGCTCAACCTCGTTTTCAGACATAAAGTTTTTTTTATTTGTGATTATCCATCTTGGGGTTATTGCCCATCATTTCTACATGGGTGTGGAGTTTGCAGCCTTGAGCATTTTTACGGCTCGATATTTGTATTAGTGTTTTCCATTAAATCTGTGCACCATAATGACGCACAACCTGAACCCTAACCTGTTACAATACTATGTTCAGGTTGTGCGCCATCTTGGTGCACAAACAACGGAAGCACCAAATTTACTATGAAATAAAAATCAATAACTTTTAGGTATTTTTTGAACCCAGCTTTGGGTCGCGACCCATATATATATATGGAAATACTGTTGTGACATACGCGTAAAATAAAGAGTACTATTTAAAAATACCCGCTCTTGTTGCAATTAACAATACAAGCCTGCTAATGCAGCAGGCAGTGGTTCAAGTGGATATATACCCGGTGGAGAACAGTCAATTATTTGTTAGCGAGAATTGTTATGCAGCGGGATGATCACGACGATGCAATGAAAGATAATACTATCACGAGAACAAGAATGAGATAATTGCTACATTTTATAGTATATCCCTGGGAAAGAATGTAGTTCATTTTTATTTTCCATGCCAATGCTTTTCAAACTACCAAAGATTTTCAACACTTTTGCTTCTTCTCTTCTATAAAAATACATTGTTATTATATATTCGCATTTCCATCTGTTTGTTCGTGCTCCCAGATAACCGATCAGTGGCCTCAAAGAGGGTCGGGGTCCCCTTTTAGGAATCCCTGTCATAAACTATAAGAGGCTACCGTGCTTCTCTTGCCTGTTGTCATGCTGTCCCTCGAATTCAGCTACAACAAAAAATTCACGAAAACGGGTTTTAGATTTTATGATTTCCTTATTATTCTCGACAATGAATGATATATATGCGGGTGGTAAAATGCCGAGTTATTCCAACAACATGATCATGTTTTGCAACTTACAACCAATATTTTATAAGTAACTTTGCTTGACAGAGCCCCAAGGCCAAGAGATCTGAATACAAATATCAAAAATGGGAGGCCAAAAAAGTTACACTACAACCTAGCCAAATGTGCTGTATTTACGATAGATAACAGGTTTACCAAAAAGCATTACATGAAAAATGGTAAAATGAAGATCAATTTAGCAATATCTACTTAGGATTTGGTGATATGCATCTGTTGATGATTTTATCTGTTTGTTTCGGAAGTTCAATGACAGAATTAATTGTGGTTGTTGGGGATGTTTCAAAAAAAAAGGTTGCATGGAAAAAAGGTTTGGCAAAATGTCAAGGTTTGAGAGTAGTGAAGAAGTAGAAAAAATACTCCCATGTGTTCTTCATTTGATAACCACGCCACAGAACTTCTCCGATAAATATACGCAGCAATTGCGAGAGGCAGAAATGCCAAGATGGGATTTCATCGCATTGCAAACCAATATTAGCGATTCTCAGATATATTCGCGCATTCCCATCTGAACAGCGTGGAAAAGATTATACCTTTCTACACACTTGAAAAACTATGTCAGATGAGCGTCATATTATTGAATATCAGTAAAGGAATAGTGAGTGCAATGGGAAAAGACATAAAAAGCGTAACTTTCAGTAATATGCATCAAATAATCTTATTGTGGAATATATATTTAAAAACAATTCGTCACGCCAACCGCAATCCGAAACTTTTTGTCTCTGGCTGAGCTTAGGTACCAATTGGCACTCATGTAAACTGGTGAGCGGCACGCGATGGAGCAGATAATATGAGTATCTACCCCCCAGCTGTCATTTGAGTAGGTACTGCTGTTTTTATTGCAGATGATACTGATCTTTTTGTATTAAAGATTTACTGGCATCACCGATTTAAGGATGTCAAGTAATGGATATAAATAAACCATTTGAAAACCAACACGCGGTATTACAAAACTTACTTCCAACACGCGGTTTGAATGAATAAAAAAGCTGAAACTAGTATTCTTTAAAACAGCATACAAATTCTATGAAATGAAATCATACACAAAAGCTCGTCCAAAACCTATAGCTCAATAAACAAGTGGAATTTGATGCATGTTCGCAAAAATGTGCGCGTTATCATGTACCACCGAAGCACGCAGGAAAATGTGTGTGATGTACTAGTGATCAAAATGTTTGACTTATCTATGTTGGCATAACAGGTGCACATCTCGGTTTCGCATACGCATACCTTCTATCTCCACAAGGATATATTAATTTGGCCAAAGTCAATGCTGCACCTGAAAGGTTCCGGTTCTTCCAAACGAAAAGACGTTACACATCGTTAGATACCAGTGGATGGTTTTGCATGGCCTTGTTCGGAGTGAGAGACGAGGTCGAATATTCCAATCCATTTCAACTAATAAAATATTTCCTAAGTCTCGAAGCTTTAATCAGGAAAACGAAATGCCCGCAGCAACACAAATGTAGTTTGACGAGCGTAAAAGAAAGTGGCTAGATGCTGTCGATAGATCTTGGCTTATATTGGTGAAATAAACTACCATTAATCTACTAAAAATGAATTTCTGACATTGTAAGGAGATGCAATGTTACTATGTATTCAAAACTAACCCGTGTAGTTATGAAATAATTGTTTTTAACAAAAAGGTGCTCCCGAAGTATTCGTCCAAGATGGCGCACAACCTGAACATTGCATGTGTATCAGGTTAGGATTCAGGTTGTGCGTCATCTTGGTGGGAATACTTAAAATCCATTTAAAAAAAATTGCTCAGCGTTATATACTCCACACCCACCTGGGTATCATTATATATGTCATCGACATTATATCTAAACAATAAAAAAAACTTTATGTCCCAAAACAATGTTAATGCCCGATTCTGCCGGACTAACATTAGGAATCACGGATATTTGCGCCCATGACATTTGCATTTCATGACATTGGAAAACTCGGATATTTGCAAGCAGGACATTTGAATTCCATGACGTTGAAAACATTTGATATTTGCACTCAGGATATTTGCAATTCATTGTAATTGTAATAATTCGTCAATTCCAAATTTGTTGAATTCAAATCGGCTTTAGTATTAAATCAGATATATTCATACTTGAAAATATGTATGAAATTCTAAACAAATTCAACTCACAAATGAGGTCACGCCCTCAGTCTCTTCTGGATAGATTGAATCGAACACACTCTGATGGCAGAATCAGCCCTTTGTGAAATCAAACGACTGAAATTAAAATTAAATTGACTTTAGGTTCTATCGTTTTACAGAGAGATCACCGAATAAAAAGATAAGCCCCTTAGATGGATTGCTTTGTAAATTGCTAGTTTAAAATATGGAAATTTGAATTTCAGGTACATTTTTTATGATCGAATTAAATTTAAAATTTGTGAAAATGTGCATGCAAATTTCAGTGGGTTTGAATGTCTAGGGATGCAAAATTCCTTGCGTGCGAATGTATATAAGTGAAAATTTTGTAAGAGAAAATTTTTGTGGGTGAAAATGCCCATGAATAAAAGTTTAGGTTGGGTAAAATTGGATAGGTAAAAATTTTCGTGGGTGCAAATTTTTGTGAGTGCAAATATTCGTAGGTGTAGAACAGGGGTCACCAACCCGTTGCCCGCTGCCACCAAGTCGACCGTGAAGACCACATGAGCCGCCCGCAGGTCTATTCCAAAATAAGCTCAATAACTGCGCTTATGAGTAATCTACATCATTATATTAATTATTGTAATGATCAATTGGATTTGTATTTGACCTCTGTAATGTAATGGGGCACATTTAATACTGTTCTGATTATGACATCACCCAGATGTCACTTCTACGAACACGCGTTTTTTCTCGCCCGTTGGTCTGTGGAACAACAATAGTATGATTCTAAAGAAAAACAAAAGAACCTACCATTTTCACGATGATTGGGAGGTGGATTTATTTTTACCATCGTTAAAACAGCCTGCGTATGTCTCATTTGCGAGGCGATTGTAGCGACGGCAAAGCGGGGAGATATTTCACATCTTCTCACACAATCTACCACGCTAACTATCCACTGACCAGCGCAGTACGGGCAGAAAAGCTCGAGCCCTAATTAAATCAAACAGCATCCTATTTAATTATTATCCTTTTTCCTAATTTACGAGACCAGTGTTTGGTTCAATCTATCTTTTTGAATCAACATTTTTCGACATGAACTTCACTAAGAACAAACACGGGACACGCCTTACTGATAAAAATCTGCAAGACTCGCTCAGAGTTACAGTGTCAAGGTACACGCCTGAATACAACGCACTGGTGGATAGCCTTAAAGATTTGTTTGATTTTGGTTTGCTCCTAGTTGAAAAATAGATATTCATGATTTGTTAAATTAGTTTATAAATGTAACATTTGACAGTACAACTGTTAAGTTCATTCCATCTTAGGCATATGCAGGGCGTTTGTAAAAAAGCAGCTACATTGTGGTTTCCAAGGATATTATAGTGGTCACTTTAAAATCAATTCAAGAAACACTCAGTTTGAAAATGTAAGTGTCATTGATAGGAATTTATTTGCTACGTTGTGATAATCGTTTAATTTCGTCAAAAATCCTAAAGTATATCAGTGTCTCTACTTGACTAAATACCAGTAATTATCAATAATTAAAGCTTAATCGACCTTTTTAGAGGTGTGCATTAAACTGGTAGCCCTCAGCTTAATCTGTACCCAGAAAGTAGCCCTTGGCTTCGAAAAGGTTGAAAACCACTATAAGGCATTATGAGGTCGTGGTACCACTATAAGGCATTATGCAGGGGTGTGCAGCTTTATTGTAGGTGGGACATATAACCACCTTCAGAAATTTAGCAGGGTCACACTAAATATTCTATTTATGCATGCGGGAAAGGCAAGAAAAGAAAATGCCGCTATTGATTCGCCAGGTTGTGGCCCGCAGGTCGCATGTTGCATACCCACGGAATAGAACAATACTTTACATGTTTGTGCTTGTAAACAGATGATTTTTGAAAGATTAGTTATCCTGGAAGAACAATTTTTACCAAGTTAGTTTTTCGTGGATCGTCCAAGTGTAGAAACTTGTTATGAACGTTTATAGAATTTTAAGCACTTTGGTTATGAAAATAATTTAAATAATGGATATATCACCATTGAAATACTGTAATATGCTTGACTTTAGGCAAACTAGATATCTTATCTAATTTACGATTTAATTAGTGTTTTTCAAAACTTTATTAGATATTAAAATTGCAAATTAATCGATTGCAAAAGAGCTTTAACTATCCCAGGCATTATTTCATATATTGTTGTTCATAGATCAGTACGATGGATGGTTTATACTAGGGAACAAATTAATTATTAACGAGTCTCGTGATGCAAACGCAAATAAAAGTGTCGTCACTTTTAGAGCACATTTGAACCCAGTAAAAGTAACCTAAATTTCAACCTTGAAATAAAACAAATAAAGCGATGTATTTTTTTCAACAAAACGCGCAAAGAGGAGGCATTGAACTGAATGAATCTGAATTGGAAATTGATAAACAATAGCCAATTGAAAGGTATCATGGTAAACGTCACATTTTACATAATAGCACAAAATGTCCCATGGATTCCATTCGAAAACATAATCAGTAGCTTTTATTTACAATTGACTGCTTTTATCAATAAAATAATAATTAAATCGAACATGTATAAAAATGTAGGACGTGGAAATTGAATTAAAATGGATTTCCGATGGGCCATTCCTGGTCATTTGTAATAATCTTGTTACTAATTGCTTGCTTTAATCGTTTTATTTCGAATATACAGAAGCACTCTATATTCCTTATTGCTCCGTACGTATTGTGTGACTAAATGTAATATTTGTAAAACACCGCCAGAAGACTGAGAAGATTAAGTTGATCTAAAATTTTGTCGTTGCACATGAAGATTACAGAATAATAATGTTAGGTCACTAGATGCATTGCCTCATGAGTTGCTCGTTCAAAATTTGAAAAATTTAAAATTTACAGTGCATTTTTTCATGCTTAGATTGAACTTTATATTATACAAGTGATTGTAGCTTTAATTGAGTGTAAATCACCGAATCCAAGAGGGAAATATTACAGAAAAACATTTTTTTGTACCAAAATCACGCTATTGTAAAGCAGGATAACTGACGGAGTATAATTGATGAACAATTCATATATGAACATATTACCGAATAACGAGACAAATAAAAGGACATTTAACCATTCCATGACCTAACCTATATGTATATATCGATATCAAAAATTGTAGCCTATTCCTGCTAGACACAGGCCGTTGGAATCCTCTGCGCAGAATGAAGCAAATAAATTTACCAATTGTTTCGTCGGTTCTATTTCCACAAATGCATATTTTTATATAAATTATCTAGTAAATCTGAAGCAAATCGCAGAGGAGTGGCTCGGCTTTATAAAATGTTACAAATCGATACGCAGATTCCTACAAAGTACCAAACGTATATTTACTTAAATAACCCCGATACACCCATAATAATGGTATGTAAACCGACTTCAAGTTTGGTCTAGTCTCACAAAATTCGAATTGCTCTTTGTCGCGCTGGTAGATATATTTAGAAACACGGCACACCGAATAAATCTTATTCCTACAAAGTACGAAGGTATATTTATTTACTTCGCCCCCGACTCGACAATATTGAATGGAGGTATGCCGACTTGACGGTTCGTCTCGCCTCAAATAATTTGACTACGTTTTCATCGAGTGCGAATGGATTTAATTGACTTACTAAGAGAAGGCGAATATTAAAAATTGAAATAACGACCAAACGCGTTACTCCATCACAATTCCGTGCGCTATGTTTACCATTGAAAAAATAAGCTTGTCATTCAACTACTCATGTAATACTTATTCGCAAATTTAAATATCGCAGGAAGAGAAAATTGTGTGGGAAGATTGGTGATCGATTACAGAGTTCTTCATGAAAGTTCTGTGAAGCTATTTTCTCAATATTTAATATGTATAGAAATTAAGCGACTTGTGCATGGAATAAACATTCTTTAAAAGGATAGAAAAGACATCCCAAAACCAGAAGGTAATGTATTTCAGAATTTGTTGAATTCAAATACCTTGGTATTACTTTAGATATATTAACACATATGTATTCAGATTTCCCTCAAAATTGTACTTACGATTGGGGCCACACACACAACCTGCTCTGGAGGGATTGAACACACCCTGTTGACAAAATCAGCCTCGACTCTTTGTGAAATTCAACAACGACTGAAAGTAAAATAAAGCAATTTAAAAATAGTGAATACACCAGATATATATATAGAATGCATTTAAGAGATTAGACTAGAACAAAAAGAAAAAAATATTTAGATGCACATAATACATAAAATTTTTTAACCAAACTTCCATTTAATTAATAGACCCGCTGAATTGTTGTTGTTTTAATTGACAAAATACCTCGCTTTTTCCGAAAGCAAATGGACATAAGGATTGTGAATTTTCAGTACAAAAATAAATAGCAAGAAGAGTTTAATTAACACTTTTTATTCCGTATTGCTCCGTAAGTATTGTGTGACTAAATGCAATATTTGTAAAACACCGGCAGAAGACTGAGAAGATTAAGTTGACCTAATGTTAGGTCATTAGATGCATTGCCTCATGAATTGCTCGTTTAAATTTGGAAAATTTAAAATTTACAGTGCATTTTTCCATACTTAGATTGAACTTTATATTATACAAGTGATTGTAGCGATAATTGAGTGTAAATCACCGAATCCAAGAGGGAAATATTACAGGAAAACATTTTTTTGTACCAACATCACGCTATTGTAAAGCAGGATAACTGACGGAGTATAATTGATGAACAATTCATAGGTGAACATATTACCGAATAACTAGACAAATAAAAGGACATTTAACTATTCCATGACCTAACCTATGTATATATCGATGTCTTTATAGTTTCACTGGACCCCACCTATAGAGTATAAATAACCCTGGGATCCGTGGCTAACGGTTTGTTGTAATGAACTGCAAACTAGCTTATTCTTTACTGGCATATTGTGATTTATAAAGTATCCGCTTCTAAATTTGGCCTTTTTGATAAAAATGTCGCTAAAATTTAGAAAAGAGACGCACGCTGATGACATAATATTTTATATGCTGTGGTACTTTTCGCCCAACCGTCAGTAAACCAAGGACCAAGCGAGCGAGCAATGGTTTTGCTTACGATAATGTGTATCTGCAGACTATGAAATAATATAAAAAGGGCTTGTACGTAAAGAATATTTATTTCGTTGCGAAATGCATTACAATCGAATTAATTACCTGTTTGGTTAAATGTACACAATAGAAAATTATCGGCTGGGTTCCACTCAACGTCTCTTCCAGAAGCTTGCCTGTGACAAAAATAATAATAGTTCAGAAAAAATTATGCATATGAAGAAATATGAAATCAAGTGTAAGTTAAGAATAAATAAATATGCAAAACATGCTGGAATTCATGGGCAACTACATCCAGGTACATTTGCACCCCGGACATTTGCACTCATTACGATTACATTCATGGACATAGACAGCCACGAAAATTTGCAAGCGTTGACTTCGCAACCGAAGCATTTTCACCCACGTGTCTTGGCAGTCATGAATATTTGTTATCATGGGCATTGGCACTCACAGACATTGACACACACGCGTAATTGCATCCATGGGGATTGGCAATCGCTAACATCTGCATATATGGGCTTTGGCACCCACGAACAACACCAATGGACACCCGGGTGTAGGATATTTGTACGTACATTCGCCGTTTGAACATTTGCATCAATAGGCATTATCAACCACGAATCTTCGTATCCATGGAAATCGTCACACACTGATATTTTTACTCATGAAATTTGCATTCCATGGGTGAAAATGGGGAAACTGAGCCAATTATATCATTATATTGCCAAATTTGCTAAAAGAATGTTATCAAATTTTGTTTCCTTTTTAATTCATTGGCCAATTTCAAGGGGAGGGGACATTTGCACTCGTGACTTTTAGTAATCATGGACCTTTTCACCAACGGGCAATAGCACCCAGAGATATTTGCACGAATGAGACGTCACGCCCTAGGAACTTTAACCCATAACAGACAATTAAACGCATGGTCGTTGGCGTCTGTGGATATACGCACACATGACCATTGGCACCTCAAGAGATTTGCGTTCATTATATTTGCATTCATTTACATTTGTATTCACGGATATTTGCTCACAAAATCATTTGCACACAAGGAAATTGAAACCATGGATATTTGTGCATAGCATCATATAGATCGAACAAAGGCAAACTATGACCCGCGGGGCACAACCGGCATGTTGGGTTATTCAATCTGGCTCGCCTGGCGCTGGCACAACCAAAATAAAACTAAATTTTACGATTGACTGCGATTAAATTTAGTTTTTGCGCAGGGCTTATTGCTTTCCACTTTTGCTTTTGTAACACTGTAAATATTGCTCATAAAATATAACTTTTACGTCACGCTTACATGGTCCGCCAGTCTAGATAGGCAACATTTTTGGCCCCAGGTCCAAAAACCGTGCCCATCCTTGCTATAGATATTGACACAAACACACACGCACACTTACTATTGCATCCATGGACAATCGCACCTATGGGCCTTGCAACGATGGATATTTGCATATATGTGCATTAGCACTCATGTATTTTGGCATACGCGGATAGTTGCATCCATGGGCATCGGTGCCAACAAACATTTCCACACATTAACATTGACACCTAGGACCTTTACACATCCAGACTTTTGCATTCGAAAACATTGTGGTCATGGTCATTAGCGCCTACCGATAGTTGCGCACATGGGCCTTACAACCCATGAACATTTGCTACCAGAGAATTTCTACCCATGGCATTTTGCACACATAAATAATTGCTATCATGGGCATTGGCAATCACGGACATTGGGACACACAATCAATTGATCCATGGGCATTGTCACTCGCGAACATCTGCACAAAAAGCCTTCGGAACACACGAACAACACCCATGTGGATTGAAATGTAGGACAGTTGTACATAGATTTGCCTTCCGGACATTTGAATCCACTGACATTTGCACCTATACACCTCAGCATCCACTTTGTTTTCAAACTATAAATATCGCCACACATGGACATTTGCATCACTTGGTATTTGCACACTTGCGCCAGGACACCCACGAACGATTACATTCATGGGCATAGACAGCCACAGACATTTGCAAGCGTTGACTTTGCATTTTCACCCATGTGTCTTGGCATTCATGAATATTTGTTATCACGGGCATTGGCACTCACGGACATTGCAAATGACCCCCTCATCCCGCATTGTTTACCATTAAAATTACGAAACTCATGCATAAAATGGACTTATCCAAAATTAAACGTTGCAACCAATCGTTAGAAATTCCTACATTCATAATTCAAGTCGGATTGGTATTAGCTTACATATATTGAGACTTAAAAATACAAATGAAATTCGAAAAATGAAACTCACAAATGAGGTCTATAGACTTTAGTCTCTTCCGGAGAGATTGAATTGAACACAGCCTGGTAACAAAATTAGCCTCAACTTTTTGCCAAATTCACCAAGAACTGAATTGAAATAAAGCAAAATAAAAGTTGTAAACATATTAAATAAACCCATATTTATGAAACAGGGAAACTGGGGAAACAAAGTTCGCTTTTGTGTTGTGCATATTAAATGTTTGATTGAAAAACACAACAGCTCTAAGATTCAGATACGCCTTCCATATTGTTACTTTGACAAAAATTAACGCAAACCTTTTTTATGCACATATTATGAAAGCATTCACAGTATTATAAAATATTACATTAATGCAATTGCACTTGAAATTAGCCGCTAATATATTCCAGGTAAACATTGAAAATAATATATTGTCAAATTCGCTAATAAAATTTCAAAAATTTAATTCTCTATTTTACCTCTGAGCCAATTTCAAAAAGAAAAACTATCCCTCTACCGATTTTTTATTTCACGAGAATACTTTGCAATTTCAACATTGTTTTCTTTGGATAAAACTCATGTATAATACCTATTGGTTACTTGATTAGTTTTGACCAAATTAAAAATTTTACCTGCTAGATACAGTCCGTTGGCATCCTCTGCACAGAGTGAAGCCACAAATTGACCAAATGTGTTGTTGTACCAGTTCCACAAATGTATATTTTTATCTAAATTAACTTGTAACTTTAAAGCAAAACACATACGAGTGACTTGGCTCTGTAAAATGTAAGAAACTTATAAGCCTACAAAGTGTATCTTTATTTAACTAGCCCCCGACACACCCTACGAATGGAGGTTTGTCAACGTCACATTTTATCTCGCCTCACAAACTCTGATTGCTCTTTGTTGCACGCGTACAAGATAATTTTAGAAACTAGCAGTTCCCCCATCCTTTAGTTGAAATATGATTATACTTTTAAAAACGAATGAGTACTTTATGGCATGATTTTTCGCTTGACTAATATTGTCCTTCGTCAAACTTAAATAATGTCGACCTCTAACCTATTTTGCAGTTTTCAATTGGCGCCAGTCTGAACATGTCGCTTAAATAAATAGAGGTGTGCCGTCGGCTGGTAAACGAAATATGTACGCTAACTTTATATAACTAGTTTCGTCATACGTTATAAATATTTAAACCGGATCAGATGCTTTTTTGAAGTCATCTGCTACTGAACCCAGCAAAAATAGTGTCACTGACACGATGACTGTGATAGCCTTTCGCGACTCCTCGTCCATTGCAGTTTAAATATTGTTGTTTTTTCCTAATGAATTTTTATAATGAAGTTTTTATTTTTTGCTCAAATGTACAATGTTTTTTGCACGACAAAATTAATATCTGAATCGGAACTTGGCTTGAGCATTATTGGGTATAAACGGAAACAAACTAAACGCAAATTTGAATATTGTAGAAAGGTGCCTTTGGTTGGGAAATAATGTGAAGCTAATGTATGATGTATGATAATGGCACGTCGCTATCTGGGAACTTTCAGAGAAAATTTGTTCAAGCTTAGCGGCGTAGCCCACGTACCCAATTGTTTGCAATGTCTGGAGATAACACTTTCAAAATGAAGGGGGGGGGGGAGTATGTCTTATGAAGTTTTCGTCTCAATTTTGAATATTTACAAACTAAACTATTAAAATCTTAGAGATTTTTTTCTACGGCCTGGTCTATTTTGTTATCAAATAGTTCAAATAGGCAAAATTCCGAATTCTAAAACGAGTGTCGATTCTGCCTATTTACACTCCATAGACCAATTACAGTTGAAAAGAAGTTAAATTTAAGTGAATCATTCAATCAAGGCTAGGGAGCCGCAAATTTGATTTTCTGATTGCAAGGAATTCAAAAATTTTCTTACAGTCCTGTCCACTCTTCCGGATCAACAAACGTCTCCGATTTCCGCCAGAAACGTTCGGTTCATATAATTTTGACATGAGGGGGGTAGAATAAAGTTGCAAAACGCGTTGGTAAACCTCAAACATATGATTTCCTACTTCTCACAATTGGAAGTCTGAATCTCATCCTGGACTCGATTCTAATACAAGGAAAAGCGAACTCTTCGAGATATATAGCATGGATGTTTGATAACTATCCCTCGAAAAAAAAATGAAAAAAGTCCACAGTCCACAGTCATAATTTCTATTTAAATTGCGCAGACTTGTCTCGATAGCGTTTCGCACGCAAGGTGCTTTTACAGGAACATAATTTACGTAATGTTTGCGCATACCTCACAGGAATATGTATATTCAAGAATATTTGTTTTGTCCTCCTCGTTCATAACTTTATAAAGTTTATTGCTCATTCGAGCTCATAAACATTTACTATACCTTTGTCCTTTATATATCCATAAAGTTCAAAGAGTTATATTGCCAGCTCAGTACAGATTCATTTGACAGACAATTTTATGTGGATTGAATCAGATTTTGAAACCCTCAATTTTGGGCTTCAGTATTGAGTTTAAAATCATCCTAATAGTTGAAATAATACACACAAACTTCTAGAAAAATTTTAAAAGAAAAATCGAAAAGCCGGAATTAGGCATGCATTGATTATTCACGAATGTGATAAAAACCACCGGGACCTCCTGAAGTATGCGCACCAAGATGGCGCACAACCTGAACTCAAGTTGTGTACCAGGTTAGGGTTCAGGTTGTGCGACATCTTGGTGCGCATACTTCAGGAGTACCAACCACCGTGATCACACACTATTCCCAGCTGTAGTGGTATATTGTTGAGATAGGATGGCACGAGTCACAAATTACCAAATACTCGAAATGATCCAGATGAAAAGATCCGAATTCGGTTAGCCACAGATGAGAGTCGGCTCGCTTACTAATTCGATTTCGGACTGGGGTGACACGTGACTCGCCGATGTGTGAGGACTTCATCTGCTCTTTATCGCCCCTACTTTAAACTTTTCTCTATACATCGTCCGTGAAAAACGTTTGATTGATTAGTTTTTTCGTGGCATTCGAGTTTGGGCTGGTGTAGTATCAAAATCGTCATAGATTGCCAACAATTTAAGCTTGTATCAGTAAATCTCGCCGTTTTTTTACGATACATGATAATTATCAGTAACGACTCGCCTGCTCTTTCACATTTGATTTTATGCAAAGTTAACCGTGGACTAACAGTACACTTCCAGGAATCCTTAAATAAAAATTCGCAATTCAGGCGCAGATATTGCGTACCTTTCTGTCTATATCGGTATTTGTACGTGTCAGAATCCATGAAATATTACGACGCAGTATATTCGAAGAAAATAAAATGGTAATCGGAGTCATCAACGAAAATTATTTCTTGTATGGTTTAGGTCTGCGATGACTGCCATTTTTACGGTACTATCTTGCTACAGTCCTAGCCCTGCTTTTTGATATTATGTGTCTATTTGCCCCAACATTCTATGTTAGCCTAATATAAGCAAGATATATATATAAATCAATCGAAAAATGAATGTTATATTTTTGTGGTGGGGCAATAATAGCATCGTTTAGTTTTCTCTTGATATTCAGAACATATTAATACTGTTTTATTGATGTTCCTAATCCACACCCTTAGCAGTGTACCGTTGTGCGAATTCTTTCGAATTGCGTACAGAGGTTCAGTTTCAAGGATGAGTATTCTTGCCAATGCTGTAAAGCTCCCAAAAGATTCCGTGCCCCACAAATCAATTGTCTAATGACACAAGTGAAGATTGTGGTTCCCGTACATTTAAACCCACGACAATTGCATCTGCATATATTGCACTTATGGAAAAAAAAATTGTTTTGCGGATACTTGAACCCGTACTAACCCTTACCCATGGGTTTTAGCACCCGCATATAGATGGAACTCGCGGATATACACATGGGTTCAAATGTACGTGGGCTCAAATGTACGGTCACCAAAAATCTTTATTATCCAGCAAAAATGCAGGATAAAACAAAGAGCATCGAAAGTATGGCCAACCTTAACAGCAGTCAGACAGAGAAGTGACCGTGCGATCGTAAAATGAGGTCACGTGAACAGAGGTGCTCAGAGTCAAACAAAAAGAGTAAAATCTCACCCAGGAGAAACTATGCCAGCCGAAACCACCGCTCTGACCTGGTACAAAATTTCAAGATAACATATACAAATTAAGCAATACAAAATTGAACTTTTTCACAGGTGTTCGAAGCATTTTTTTGGCAATATCACACTACAAATAGAAGGTAAGTGTATTCCATACATTTTGTAGAATAGCCTAAGAAATTCAAGGCAAGGGTTCATAAATAAATAATCAATAATCCAGTTTCAAAATGATTTATATCGATCGATTGATATCCGTATTAAACAAATTTTCTAGGTCACTTACTCCCGAAATACTTCAGTCAAGTAGTCAAGATCCGAAATAGGACATTTTTAGTATTTGATTTGGACCGCACTTTCTGAATCATTGGACCCCCGTTGGATACGTGAAGGTTTATTAAAGGATTTTTATAGTTTCAAAAATTATTTTATATATTGCATAAATTTGCATTTGACTTTTGGGTACTCCCGAAGTATGTAAACCAAAATGGCGGACACCGGAACGTAGCATGTGTACCAGGTTAGGCCCTATAAGCATCGTCTTCCTTGTTTATTTCGTAACATTGGCGAATCAGCAAGATGAAAAAAAGTGACGTAATGATGGGCCTTTTCGCATCCGCTCAGATACTTTCGTCACCCTGACAGATTTTCAGTCGTGGTTGTAAACAATACTTCGTTTTTGCGATTTTGAATGCTATTCGTTAGTTTCAGGTTGTGTTTGGGAAATTTAAGTAGGAATCAAATAAGTCAATCATCATTTGCCTCCTTAGGAGTTGTAGTTTTAATAATAGTAATGAAAAGTTAGTCTAGTAATAGCTGTGACAAAATAGGCTAAAATTCTCTACCGGGAGGCAACGTTTTCTGCAAAAGATGCACTCGTGGCGCGTACATTCGATGAAACTGTTTACGTCTTTGTGCTAAAATGAACGTCGAATGTGCATTTTGCGCTAACAGTACTGTAATCCCTCGCTTACCGCTCCAATTTCACAAGTCACACTAATTTTTGTACTGCTTAAATGCGGATATTCATGTAGGTAAGTTACAAAAAAAATAGAGTTCATCCGATTTGAATAAAAACTGCGCCAGTGGATAGATCTGAGTGAAAATAAGAAAACAATACCCAGTTTATAAAAAACGGTCAAGAAATAACGGAGATATCGGAATTTTAGTACCGCACGACAGGCCATTTTTTCCATAAGGATTGTATAACTTTTCTGATAAGAACTGTAATAAATATGAAAAAAAACACATATCAATCACTAATCTTTCGATTTGCGTCACATATATGGACTATTAAGTTCATTTTAGGATTTTATTTTAGCAACAGTCTTGACACTGCCGGAAGATCGTCGCAAATAAACGCTGGAGTTGTGCATGTTAGTTTGACAGTGGTCCATTATGGGTAATAATAAACGATGTTCTGATTGTACAAACTTCATAAAAATTGGTAAGTATCAACTTAGGAAAGAAATACACACGTCCACATAAATTTTATTGGTGTCCATAGACAATATCATCAATTTGTACCACGTATAACTTGAGCGTAATTTTAAAAGCTCCGAATGTTGAGAAATTTATGCGGTAATGAATAAAAATCAAATACCAGATAATATTTGTTTATTTTATCTAAATTATGTCGAAATTTCATGGAATTCCATGCTACAGCAGGCGGTGTGTAGTCGTTTGTATGAGCCGTATTTCGACAAGGCGTAAAGGTACTTAAGCAGACGTGATGCGTACATATTTTGGCGCGAAAAAGCGGATTTCTCAACATTTCTAATTCATGACTGCAACTCAGGATTGTCGTCTAAATATAGAAATCTTGTATATTGTTTTCCTATGATGTTCTCGATCTATAGTCTGCGATATTTATAGAATTTAATATTCAAGTCTTCAGAAATGTAGAATATATATTGTTGAATAAATTGAATGGATTTCCAAATTTTTGTGAATTTATTTATTGTATTGCATTGACAAACATATTTATCCGGCCCGTTTCAACACAGTTTGAGTCATATCCGGCCCACGGTCAAAAAACTTTGGTGACCCCTGGTTTAGCCCAATATATTTACCACATTCCACCAATGATACGCCCGTTAAATAGTCAGTGCCGTGAGCTTCGAATGCACTAGTCTTATTAACATAAGGTCTAATGTGGCCACGAGAGCGTGCTTTTTCATTTCCTTGTTTTGGCCAGATTACGTCTTTGTTTAGATAATTCTTTCCAATTTCGATAATATTATTTTAAATCGAATTGTTGTGGATCGATTTAAGAATTTTATTTTTCCGCGTAGGGACTCAATCCGAAATTTTGGGATTCTGCCAATTTTTAGGATTCAATTATTAACTGAATTAGGTTGTCTCAGTGTATGGTTATGGCAGCCGTGCCGTTGCGTTCGGGTGTCCGCATTGGAGTGCCACGGAATAACGAGATTAAGAACAGACCACTTCCGACGTGGGAATAGCTGGCTAGATAGAGATGGGTGAACAGAGACAACATATTATAATAACCGCAGTTTCAATCCAAACTAGGTACTACCCGTATTTGACCCTAAAATAGGCTGATATGGTTGCCGTAGTCCGTAGGATACGGTATGGGTTCGGTGTTACTCAATTTATTGTTCTTAGTTCAATTATCCGCCTAGCTATTTCCACGTCAGCAGTGAACTGGTGAACCATCTTTTTTTTATAACACAACAAAACAGTAGCGCTTCAGTACCGACAACCCAACGATACGCCATGGCCACCATAGACTGAGACAACTCTTATTAATTCAGCTAATGCTAAAATGTACTTCCTAAATATTGGCAGAATGTCAAAATTTTAGAATGAGTTTCCACGCGGGAATGTTCAAAGTTTTTAAAGATCGCTTCACAAAATCTTATAATAACTCCTTATTACCTCATCGAAAGTAAGACAATGTAGCGAGTTAGCAAGTAAATGGAAAAAACGCAGGTCAAGCCAAACTACAACAAAATACAAATTTATGCTCTGGCGACCACATTCTTCGTGAGATTCGATGGTAAATATTGTTTGTGACACTTTTTATATTCCCGCGTAGCATGGATTTTAAATGACTGCGTTTTTTTCACTTTTCATGATACACTTAAATAAAAATATTATATTTCAGAGACTTGTTGATCTGAAACATTGTATATATCGATTGCACTCTCCAAGCTCAATTCGCGTGCTTCAATATTTATTACAAATAGGCCGGGACTCCATTACTGACATAACGTTCTTTTTGTTACAGGGAATCTTCGGGTAACGACGGTCTCGACTTACGCTGTTTCGAGGTTACGAATAACGTAGACATTCGCGAACTATTACGATTATGAAAAATAATCACTAAGCTTCAGTCACATGGTACACAGTTTCAGTGATACTGTACGCCATTTTGGTTGTTTAAGCCGGTTTTTTCTTAACTTGTTTGATCGTTTTTTAAACTTTTTGCCTTTTGTTATGGGCTCCTAGCGTAGAACAGATGTTTCTGATACAGTACGATATGTATAGAGTAATTTGTGTACTGTACGGTATAATGTTTCAACTTATATTAAAATTGGGGTTACACCGCTTCTCAAGAACGGAACAACATCGTAAATCGAGGACTCCCTGTATTATCTAATGCCCCATCGTTTAAATATATGAGATCCTGGGTTAGCCGCCATTGGCTATATATAGGTTTTTAAATTGTAAAAGTGTAAATCATTGTCCAATGACGAAGAATAGTCAAGATCAAATGCGCCTTTGAGTTATTATGTCGTGCAACGGTTTTCAAAACAAAACTGGCATGGGCTCTTTATCACCAAATAATGATCCAATTTCGCAACTAACTTGTTATTATTATGACTTCAGACAATAAGCAACCTTTTATTTGATTTGACAATTCACTCGTGATAAATATACACATTGGAATTTTAAAAAAGAAAACAAAAGCTTGTCTAAATAGCATTCTTGCAAAATTGTGCAAGTGGGATGAAATTTGAAGAGACATGTATATTTTTGAGCCAGTAAAAATCAATCGCACACAAATTAAAAGAAAGAAAAAGACAGTTTAACTGGTCAAAGGAAGACGCGGTGAATCAGACTGGTTATTAAGCATCGAAACTCGTGTTTGTAATAGATGAAAAAAGGGGCTCCCGAAGTATGCGAACCAAGATGGCGTACATCGGAATGTAATATGTTTACTAGGTTAGGGTTTAGGTATAAATACTACGGGAGGCTCTTAGCTAGTCTTCGAATTGATAATAAGACTAAAATAAGGAAAATTGGAAAGAAATTATCGCCTAACCTGTTACCCATGTTACGTTCCGATGTCCGCCATCTTGGTTCGCATACTTCGGGAGCACCGAAAAAAAAAACTATGTAGGGGTAAGTTGATTACACAGCCAAAAAATATGCCATCGGATTTTCTATCTCAACGAATAAATATAAAAACCCTTTTCTTATATGAAATAGCCCAACTGGTGAATGTCTCGAGGTACTGTTTTTCTCCACCTAATTTGTGTTTGGGCACGAAGTGGGCATATTGTGGTTTCAGTTTAGTCGCAATAATCAAAAATTAATCTCGCAAACACTGCGATCGACTAGGCTAAAATCGTTCGTTTAGTCGAAATTCAATCTGAGACTCATCAGGCTTCTGTTACTTTGGTGCTTCTTCCTTGACTAACTTCTCTCTCTGATTGATTCCTGTTCCGAAACGCACTTATACAACACGGCAGCATCAACCTTTCCCAATCGGGAAACGACACAACATACATGAAAAGGTTTACCAACAGGCTGATGTACATCGCTAAAGGAAGCGTTATCCCGTCTTTCAAAACTGCAGACGCGGCCATGATTACTGACACGGTGTCGGTGATGGAACAAACGAGCCTCGTAATGAACGCTCTCTTTGTGATAGCTTTGATTTTTGCTTGGCTGCTACTGGAACTCCCCACTTGTGGCGCGTTAGCGCTGTGTTTATACAGAGGGAGTACGAAGAGCCATAATAACAAGCATTGCATTAATAGCGAAGTTGATCCGATGACGATCCACATCGCTTGTGGGTTGACAGTAGAAGCAACGATTGAGCAACCAGTGTCAACAACAGCAAATGTGTAAGCAGAAACGTAAATTATGTGCGTACTCAACGGAGATATGATCAAAAGAAAAAGCACAACAAAACTCAAAGTTCTGGTAATCTTCGTAGTGAGATGCTTCATCGCAGGGTCGTTGTAAATAGATCTTTGTCGAAGCCACAAATTCAAGTATATAAATAAAAAATTGTAACTGCCTCCGGTGCCGCGAAATCTTCTCGAAATTGAACAAATTTGTGGAAAATAAATATCAACAAGAATTTTTTCAGTAGCAGGAGTGTTCATCAATGTAAGACATGCAGTTATGAGCAAACATATCTCCATAACCGCTCTGTATCTCTTTGATCCATTTTCCTTGAGGCTCTTCTTTAAATTTTTCAATTTTGATAAATAGATTATCATAGCGATAATAACGTAAACGTTGATAACAAATCCACAACCTGACACAATGACAATCGTCATCCAATTTCGATAATGTTTTTCACTTTTCCACATTGCATTGTTGGCAAGCGGGGTCGCATTTGTGTTAGCCTCCGTAGCGTTGAAATACGAAGTATTCTCCATGATTTTTGAAAAGTGCGCAACAGACAATGATTTCTAAGAAATGTACACTCAACTGACAATTTCCATATAGCATAATGCTTTTGTACTCGGTGAAATGAAAAAATTATTAGCATTATGATTTAATCAATCACTTTTTGGAAACAATTGAACTTTAATCTTGAAGTAACAAGCAGATTACTTCTTGGCATAATTATATTTATTCGTCTTAGTCTTGCATTAAATTTGTGTAATGGGCGTCTTCTCTCGATTACCTTTAATTATTTATTATAAAGAGGTTTGAAGGTGCATGATTATAGAATAGGCTACGTATCGAGAACGAGATGGATATATACAAGAAACACGTGATGTTCGATTTATTATTCCAAAACTAGTTCAACTTACTGCTATACGACGGAAAGAAATCTTAGGTCGACAACACCTTTAATAAACCTTTTTTTTAATATAAACAATGCAGTAAGGGTATCACGTCTTTTATCACATGGTCAAGATGAACTTCCAAACCTTGGTTCAACCTCAAACGTAAATATCCTCTTTTTTTAATATGTAATTGATGACCTACTTTAGACAACTCCAATTGCAATTTCAAGCTCATTTCAAAAATTCTTAGGGCTACGTTAGGAAACACTGGTTAAGAGCACGTAGTTGGGGGGCAAGTTGTTTTCGGAAATCTACCTGACGCTGCCTCAACATGCATGCTAACCATGTATTAAATGTGTAACAACTTGCTGAAGGGATAATTTCAAGATTGCGAAATTGCCAAATCGACAAATACACACCCAGTATGCTCTCCGAGGGGGCCGAATTCAAGGGGTGGTAGATGTTTAGATAGTAGCTATAAAACTACTTATATCTTATAAAGATGTGTTATGTATTTGAATGGCCATCTGTACAGGTATTTACGCTATTTTCTTGGGATTCAAATATATAGTATTTATATATTTAGGTTAGAAAATAAAGTGTGGTGCTATACCTGAAAATCGAGAGAGTTCGTGGGGTTTAAACCTTTTAGTAGGGTAGGAAATAACTGTATTACACCACTCGTCTCACACGCACACATATCTGAAAAAATGAAGATCCAGTTACGATTTACTGAAATATATTTCGAATATCTAATGATACTTGTACAAAAGCATATTCAGTAAAAAAAGACAGACCGAGTTTTTTTTATTCAATTATTTATCAATGAGATAAAGTGATTTATAAGTTTTTTTTTATGAATTATTTCGATTTTGCAAACACGATGCTCAGCAACATTTCAGTGTAAGTTGTGAAGGCTTCCGATAATGCGAGTAGTATTGAACAGCGATTTCTGTGGTTTATGTTTTATTACAAATTGGTCGAATCTTCCTGGCTGTCAGTAACGCCGCGCGTTGTCGCCATTGATCCATCTCCATACAAACTATTTTATGGAATGGGAATGGGTAGTCGTGCAGGTAAATAATATTATCTGGTTGGTGTGATGAATTGGATCTTTGAGATCCGATTATGATAATTAGTATTTAACATGTCAAGGTATTTACAACACACCAAACTAGAGCTACCTGGCGCCTTATGCGGTATTCAGTTATTACTGAATAAATCTACATGCCTTGCTCAGAAAAATAGCCCCTTGTGTTTTTTTTTTGTCGTTGAAAACAGGAATTCCTTGGTTTGAAATATATTTAGCCAGATTGAGTTTTTAGCCAAGCACATGCTGCTTCTGATTAGCAAGGGCCAAGTACTTCGTATTTACATAATATATATAGAGCGAACTATAGTGTGCCCATAAAGTCTTGAAAATTTGAAATTGCAACAGGAATTTATTAATACCAAATATTGTTTTTGCCAACACAGATGTATTAAATGAAGTAAAAATACTGATCAAAACACCAAACCTGGTTAAGATATATTGAGAACTAACTACACAATATAGAAATTTAAAGAAACTTTATGGAAACCCTGTACCTTATCACCAAGGGTTAGGTATTTGACCAGGGTTTGAACCCGAGACATTTGACTTAAAAATAACATAGATAGATCTGCGCTAACAAACAGGGCAGATTATCTCGACCATCTTGTTACAGCGCTCCATGTCTTGACCACAAATCTGGGCAAACCGCTATATGTCCGTATACACCGCAATTGATCAATCGATGTTCCAATGACAATCGTATAAGAAGACCTCATCAAGCTTAGCCTTATCAAAGCCCTAATTTATTATTCCATGCACGCCCACTCTGATTACGTCATAAAGAAAACAAAAGCACAGAAAAAAGATAAAATGACAAAATTTAGTTTCGTGGATTACGAATTTAAATACATTACTCAGCGAATTAGCTCAGGAAGTAACGTGAAAGGCATGGTGTATGGATACGGCCATTGAAGCTATATATTATTAATACAAACTAATGAAATATAGCAATAATTATTGGAAGTTACTACTTGTAATAAACAGGTGAAACTACTATAACCTTTGACCTCATATTTTTTACCTAATGTTGGTTATCCGTCACAGTCATGCCTTGAATACAGGTTTGCCAAAAATAGATTTATAGTTATTTACAATAATACTTTTAACCTACCGTTAGACCATCATGTATGTCACATGCATGTGAATATATCGATATATCAATGTTTATTTATTTATTATATGTTGATACAAAAAACAAGCAAAGAATACTCAACTAAATGGCCACGCACATTGTCATCGATAAAAGATAAAGTCTAAGATGAGCACAGAGTTTACTGAGAAAAACAAACGCACAATCGTAATTTAGCAAAGCTATACAATTATACATGATCATAATAGCAATGCCCGGTGCGTTTCTTGTCACTCGTGTAGCATCCATTCATTTTGGATCCCAGTCGTTTACCTTAAAATATATTGCCTGCACAATGTGATCCGATGTACATCAAGACGTAGCTATTTACTGGAACATTGAAGAAGAGGATTTTTAAAATCAGCGCAAACGCTTTCATTTCAAATAAATTTCATCACAGACTCATTGCCGAGAACATCTAACCTAACCCACATAACTGGTTGCCGTTTTATTTTAATAGGTTTAACAGTTAAGCAGGTACACAAAATGAATATCCTAAAAATTATAAATCCGAACGAGTGAATGTTAGTCATCAAAGATAACCGTATATATATTATGAGTGGGATGCTAGCTAAAAGTATTTTGCGTCCTATGACCGCTGATCATAAACCTTTTTCACAGGTACAAAATTAAGAGTTATTCTGTGGACGGTTGTGCGAGGAGAGGTAATTCTGCATAAGTCTTGCTTACGTTCTATAGGATGAAATTAGGAATACAATATACTGTCGTTGTGTTGATCCTCTTACCTCTGCTGCAAATTGTGTCAGGTAAGTTTTGCACTCGCACTGTTCTAAATAAGAAACTGTTCGTGGTCGGGGTGAAGACGCAAAACAGGTCAGAATAAACTTTTCGCGTCTTCTTCCAAAACACTCAACTATGATTCAACGGTTGAAATAGACTCGTTTCGGCTGATATGATCTACCAACATGTAAGCTTGATTACGCACGACGGAATAGCTCTATTATTCACACATCATGTCAAAAAGTTACATGCTTGCAAGGTCCATGGCAATGAAAAGTTTGAAAACCACTGGTTTTAAACCAGGCTGTGATATTGAGTCGAGGGAAATTTAGAATACTACTTCTACTCCGGATTTAGAATCCGACTCCCCTCCGGTTTGTAAAATCTTCGACTCCGGTCCCTTCCAGAAAAAGAAAACCTCACTCAATTGGCTATTTTGAACGGTGAGATTGACAAAAGTACGAAAAATTATCTAATCACATTTTCAATCTAGGATTATAAGATTGGCTCGGCGGTGTGGCGCATTGTTAAGCGTTAAGAATATACTCACCACCGCATCTCTGATTACCATGCGTGGGTTCTTGTCTTGAAGCCAGCTATTATTGTTTTATAGGCAGAGGAACATGGAACGCCAGCGGTTCATATGAATACTACGTTTCCAAAAACGGAGTTTCTCTATCTTACATCGATTCGATGAATTTTTGCAATGATAATGGTGGACAACTTGCTCTTGTTAAAACTAAAGAGATCCAAGAATTTATACAAACATTAGTGGACGGGAGAGGCGGTGAGACAAATTATTTTAATTTTTTCTAATTTACTAAACAAACAAAAAGTGTTTTTGCAGTTTAATATGAATCGATTTTTCTTATTTTTATCTTTTTTTGTGGAGGAAGGCGGTGCACATGGGTAAATAGCTGAAGTCAACAGCGTTTGGGGTTTGAACCAGGGCTGAGGTGGATAAAGTCATTGAATCAACCTTAGTTAGACTCAAGTCATAATTTATCGAAGACTTGAAGTGACTCGATTCATCTAAAATCCGAATAAAGTGATTCTGACTCGTACGCATCTAACCGCCAGTGTGACGAAACTCTGTGCTTGACTCGATTCGAGATTTAAATGACTTGTTACTCAATTTGACTCGTGGTTAAGGCACTGTTGCCTTACATTTATTTGGATTGATAGAAATCATACCGTTGATGTTTACTGGTGATATGGCAGCAGCGATCACCCGGGCATCTTTTATATAACTTCATAGGACATTAATTCAAAATATTATGTTTTAATGTGCTCGATTGCCTAGCACTTAGAGCAGTAACAAAGACACCGGGCAAAACAGCAAACGATTTAACGCAGCGACAAGAGCTTGGCGGGAAAGGCAATGCGAGAAATTTTATAAATCCAATTCTTGAAAAACGAAAAATATGTGTAGAGAGCGGATATACTTAGGAGCTAGTTAAAGTCGTATAGCATAGTTTTATGTTAGCTTACGTAATAAATTTGAGAGCAACAAGATTCTGTACAACCATTCATTTGTCATATTGGAAAGACCGGAAGCTTGAGACGTCTTTTAGATTGTTAAAGATCTTGGAAACCCATGTTTTCCGCAATTGAAACTCGCTCCCCCCTTTTTGAAAATGGTTTCGGCTTCGCTTCTGGATGCTACAATAAACTTGGGACCAACGCGCCTTTGTGCCCTGCTATTTCTTCATAATGAGTGGACTTGCCTAAGTGGACATGTCATGTATACAAGAAATCGCCCATGTCCGGATATAAATGTGCATGTGTAAACTCACAATACCAACTACACAATAACAACGAAAAATCATAAAATTCGCAAAATAAAATACAACAGCAAGTTTCTCATTAAATATCTATGACCCGCATTCTTTTTTCCACAATAACAAGTTTTTGAGCCAATCGTAAATAAGATCCGGTACTCTTTTATCACGTCGTGCTTAAAATTGCATTTTATACATTCAGAACCGCCCTACGCTTTCTTCATTGGACTCACAGATCCTCATAAAAACCACACATATCTTTGGAGCGATGGGGAAAATGTCACGTATACGAATTGGAGAGACGGCCAACCGAATTCTCGCTCTGAAACTTGTGTTATGATAGGATGGGTTGACTGGTACGACAAAGACCTTCGTTGGCGTGATACAGATTGTGTTCCAACTGATGTTTTACCAAAAGGATATTTATGCCAACGACGAATAGGTAATTTATTGGGTACATTTTGATAAACTTTTTCAAATTTCTCTCTAAACTCTAGACTCTAGACAAGCATTTGGGACGCCACAATGTTTAGGAAAAATAATATTTTACCCCAGCATATCGCCGACCCAATTCGTTTCGTCTTGTGTATAGTGAAGGGTTGATTTCTCACAAAAAGGCTGCAAGTCCAAAATGACTTATTAAGACCCCAAAATAATCCGTGTAGTATCTGCCGAGGCACGCACATAATTAAGTTCTGGGACAGTTCAAGTCAATGCGGTTGGGTAAATAGTATTTCCTTATAGCGAAAGCATTTTCACAAAGCAATACGTGTTTGAAAACATATTTTTTCGAAAAAATATCCGTTGACAAGAAAGATAACTTTACTATGGATAAGGACCAATTCTTTTGACTTGAGTAAACTTCATCATCTTATTTTTCATTTTCATTCAATTTTGCTCTGATTGACTGAACTAGACGATTGTTCAGTTCACTCTTTCTGCTTTTCAAATATAATTGTCAGCTTTTTACCGTTGCACAAACGAGTTGATCCCTGGCTTCTAATACCACGTTGCTTTACTAGGTAATTACTTTAGTCAGTGGAGCTCATGGAGCGAATGTTCTAGAACTCGGAATCGAACATGTATCAAGACAGGTCGAGTTGGACCGAAAAATTGCACTGATTCAGAAATTAAGGTGAGAAATCTTATGAATTATTCCAACATATCTTCGAGCAAAAATCGTGATAGAGTAATAATAAATACGCTTAATAATAAATACGTGAAGGCGGTGCAACAAACATACACCCTTGATTGCCACACAGTTGGTCAAACAGGGGCCCTGCACCCGGAGTTTCGAGTCAATTCCAGTCATGGGCAAACCAAGTCTTGAGCCGACACCAAGCTCTGACGTCGAGCCAGTCATGAAGTTAAGACCCAACGCTTCACGATACTGTGGTTAAGCGCCATATCGAAAAAATTGTTGACGGAGAATCAAGATATTTTCAAAAATCAGATCAGCGGACCTCCCATAGTCAAAAAAGGAATAACTATTACAGGAATACCCTTATTGTAGGCACTCCTATCATGGGTCGCTTTAGATTTGAAATGATTACACAAGCAACAACAACATGAACAACATTAACAAATGTGCAATATCATTCCTACAACCCCGCTTCGTTTATAATAATCATGAATAATCCTACAAATGCAATTTCGATTCAGCATGATTTATGTTCCCTGACGAAAGAGTGTCCTATTACAACAGCAACCGAAACTATCAAATCCCACGCCCGCACGACCACAACGATGATTAGTTCCGTTCCATCAGCTTCAGGTAAGTGAGATTCATGAACCGCATTTCATTATTATTATATATAGACCTTAGCGTACTATTACTTAAATATTTTTGACCAAGACAAATACAGGATCATTGTACAACTTTATCTCATTAAAAATTAAAAGTTTAATACGTTGACCAATAGGTGTATAAAGGAACATATTGATAGATTCAACGATTTCCTGTTTATAGTCTTGTGTCGAGTTAAGTCATGAAACAGTTCAACTAATAATTACAGTTAATTTAAATTCATTTGTGAATTTACAATATCATTATCAATCCAACAAGAGCGAAGGCCAATAAAAAATGCACAAAAGAGCAATGCTAAAATATACAGGGTGTGTCAATAGTAAGTATATACTTTTAATTTTGATTTTCTTTACAAGTACTCATCTTAGAGCGTTAATTTCTTCAGGAAACATAGCATGGATGTGTACTAAAATTCAGGTATTGTTTGCATTATTCAACAACCCACAGAATAACAAGGAGATTACCCCGAGAAATAAGGTAAAAAATTTCGGTTTGGCAAGAAGCATATAAAACAGTAAGGCATTCGGCACTTTTACGACGAAGAATTACAAAATTCGTCAAAAATTTACGAAAACTGGATTTGTAGTTGATGCACAAAGATTAGGAAGACCAAGGAGCGAACGCTCTGAGAAAAACATTCGAAGTTAAAATAATTTCAAATTTTCTGGTAATGAAGAGCTGGGTTTGCCTTACTGATTTACATGCTTCTTGCCAAACAGCAATTTTGCTCCTCATTTCTTGGGTTAATCTCTTGTCGTTCTTTGAGTTGTTGAAAAATGCAAACAATACCTAAATTTTACTAGTTATCCATACCATTTTTTATGAAGAAATGAACGCTCTATGATGAGTATCTGAAGAACAAATCAAAATTAAAAGTGTATATTTACTTGTGATATACCCTGTATATACGGTCCCTGACATCAAGTGACTTACTACTACGGTTCTCTCCGAAAAAAAATGGATAAATATCTAAACCATAGAATAAATTGAAATAAATGATGAAAACCTTATGGCTAGATTTAAAATCAATTGGTCAATATTTGCGGATTTTTTAACAACAACAACATTAACAACAACCACCCAACGACTATAAAAAAAAAATCATCAACAGATATTTAGCAACGCAATTCACAGATCCACTTTTTGTCCAATAATTAGTAATATGTTAAAATTATTGCTTATTTTCTTCAAGATATATCAGAGGCCAATTCAACCGCTTGTTCATGCGGAAGTCAAACCCAAGCTACAAGTAACGAGTTCTTTCTTTTTGACCCAGTAAGTTTTGTCCTAGGATTCATTGCTCCTATGATCCTACTTGTTGTCGCTGTTTGGAAAATGTTGATGGACAGAAACAAGCTATTGCCAGAGTAAGACATTTTTATATACTATATCGTTAACAAAGACAGTTATGTTACAATTATGAACCAGCGTGCAGAAACAATGTCTCAGCTTGAGTGAAAAAAACTTGCATTTGATTCCCAATTCTTGACAATATTCGAAGTTCAAAAGTTTTTTAATACTAGAGTTGATAATAGAATCCGTTGTTGAATCTGGTATTAATGATCATTCCCCAATTTTTAGGCTCTTCCTTGTTGAACCAGCAAAATGCTCAGAACTGGGTAAAATTTAAGAAATTTAAAAAAATTTAAATCAATACTGTCACATACATATCTAACGCAAAAGCGGACTTTGAAAACCACTCTAAATTCAAGAGTCTACTTTCAAACTTTTATATTTTGTAACATTTCGTTATAAAATACTTTCTATTTGCAGGGAACAGTCCAAGATGCCAGTTTCAATACGGATGCATAGATATGAATATATTACCGAAGGACAAAACGGTGAGTCGTCATATTTATACTTGATATGATATTTTTTCAGAATTAGACTCTGGATTATAGTAAAGTTTTTGTTGTTGTCTACTTTGTCTGCATTAAGCCACAACTTACAAGTAAAACTATTTCGTCTTTTTCAATTTATAGGTCATAGAGTGTCCATAAAATCTCAAAAGTTTAAAATTGCAGAGAGAATTTATCGATACCATATGCATTGTTTTGGCTCTCAAAGATGTATAAAATGGATCAAAAATACTCAATCAATTACTGATTGGAAAAACAACAAACCTGCTTAAGTTATATTGAGAACTGACTTAATAACAAAATTAAAACTGTAAAGGAACTTTATGGACATTTTCGGCTCGGCTCAGAGAAGTTGGTTGAGGGGAGGCCACAATGACAGGCGCAACACGCTTTGTTGATGTTGATTGTTCATACATAATAGAATTTGGAATCATAATAACACTCTAGATACCACTGGAAAGATAAACATGAGGGTCACGAGTGCTAAAAGCCTTCGGGAAGGGACCACAAGCCACAAGCCTATCTAAAAAAATAATGAACCTGGAATAAATGAGTGTATTATTATTTCATTGGCAGGAGCAAACAAAACCAATCCTGATAAATTTGAAATCAAAATAGAAGACGTGTGCTACGACGAAACTCTTCAAAACGGCGTTTTAAAAGAAAGTTCTGGCTACGACAGACCAGATGTAATAACAGAACGATCTAAAGCTGAAGAGGCTTATGTCGGCACTACAAGCCCTCTATCTGACGTTCTGAAAGAAAGTGATGGATATGATAAACCTATTGTACCAATCCATAACGGCACTGAGTATCTACGTTCTGATATTCTTGAAGCGAAATACGGATACGAAACTTTATCCGAATATGCGGATAACGCTCAATTAAAGTTGTCAGATGAAGACTACGACGATCCTGAATATGCTGTTATGGAGAATCCGTATCTGAAGCCCATAGTCACAACTTATGATGACAGGGGGTGCCTTGTTCTGAAAAATGATGGATCACAAAATTCAACATCAGACAGATCTAACAAAGATGAAGCGTATGACGACACTGGTTGTTTCCCGTCGAATATCTTGACGGAAGATGTCGCTAAAGCGCAACTTAAGATTGAGTCAGATTATGATGACACTTGGAATCCGTGCCAAATTGTTTCAAATGATAATGACGAATGCGAAAAAAACGACAGGTCTAAGATAGATAAAATGTATGATGATACGGGTTGTCTCAGAACCAAAATTTTGGAGACAAAAACAAAATTTGAAAATTTAACGGAAGATGTCGCTAAAGCGCAAATCAAAACAGAGGCAGAATATGACGACACTGGCAATCCTGGTCATATGGTTTCAAATGATGAAGGATATGGGAACTCGCCGGGGATGATCAGCGCAGATACAAAACCTATCCGCTCTTGTGTTTTAGAATAAAAGGTTATGAATGAAGCGTTGACAAATGCTGATGACGAAGTCGAGATTGAAACGGAAGGTGAATACGACGATAAAGGAATTCCTCGTCCAGATAGCTTGGCACAGAGGGATGGACACGTTGTGGACGTAATGGAACTTTGTGATGATGACACCGGCGTTCTCAACACTAACATATTGCAGAAAAAGTTCGATAAAGTCCATGAAGAAATAGCTCCAATGGTGCCGGCAGAGGGCGAATAAAATAAATCCGACGACGTTGTTTTAAATTTATGTCTTGACTGGCCTACAAATCTATAATGCGTAGTCCAAGAGTTAAGATTTGAAATGCTATTATCAACTAATCATACTGTATTTCTAAAATTAGCCACTCGTTCCAGATTCGTGGATCTGAATAGTGTGTAAATTAAATTAACAATTTAACACGACAATTCACGATTTACGAACCTAGTAAGCTTTACAAGGAGCACTTAATAAATTAATATTCAAGATCGTTCCAGTATGACCACGAACATGGTATAGTTTGTAATTGAACACATTTCCTGATCTCCTTATGTCCATGACTATTTATACTTGTAATTCTTCTTAGACTTAAGTTTATCAAAGAAATATATATGTTGTTTTTCTTGTATAGCAAATATGCCATTGGCAGCATAGAAATGTAAATTTCATTAAAAATAAATTGATTTGATTGACCTGGTTAAGTTTCGAACAACTGAGCCACAGAAAATGTCTCTCACTTATACATTTTACATTTACTTTATTTTTTATCAAAATAATTGAGTATTTAAATGCTTGTATAGGGTTGATCCTGACCAAATGTTTAAATGCATATTCCAATTTATTTGAGAGGTTACTTGTGTCAAGTTACTAACAAATGTGGGTACCAATACTTGAAATTTATTAATAAAGTAATCAATAATCAAAAGTTATATACACCTATTCTGATAAATATAAAGAAGAAATTGGAATTTCAGGGTGAAGGGGAGCGTGAAAAAGCGATACTAATTATTGAAAAAAAAAACATTTTTGAATAGAGCCTAGTTATCAGAAAATGTGCGAATATATACACACTTTTCGAATAGTTTCACGTACAGATTCTACTACTGAGCCAAAGCATAAGAAAACCCATACTTCTAATAGTACTCAGTAAATGCATGTACCTATATAATATTTTGCACTAAGCCTAGTTCTGATAGGACGTGTAATTATATACATACTTTTAAAGTAGTTTCGTGTTCATGACCTACTTATAAGCTATAGTGAAATTAAACCCATACCTCCAATGTCCTCAGTATATGTTCCTACGAATATGAACGGGCCTAGTTCTGAGATAATATGTAAGTAAATAACACTATAGCCTTAACAGAGTCCACATCTGCGCTCGAACAGAAATGAAACTTCTCATAGTACTCAGTATTGCTTCCACTGAGAGTTATTCTGAGCGAATGTGTGGTACAAAATCTTAAATTATTTGAGGGTATTCTTGTACAAAGTCTAGTTTCGAGCCAGAGTTCAAATGAATACCCGTACTTATAATTATACCCTGTATCTGTTCGGAGAAATTTCATGGCTGAATACCCCATATTCTTCGGTAATTTTTTCAGAGCCTTATTCTGAGCGAAAGTGAGGCTTATATTTCATATTTTCAAGTAATTGATTGTAAAAAAAACCAAGTTGAAAATACGCTGATGGAACGTAAATAATAAAATAAATGAAATGTAAATATCCAGAATAAAGCTGGGAAGAACCATAACAGTATCATCGCCTGGGCAATGCCTCGGGGTTAACCAGCACTCAAGATCTGGTTGATTTATTGAAGCGTAATTTCTGAAGCGGTAAATTTCAATAAAGTCACACGAAATTTCATTACATGTCATACTTTTTATTTTCTGCTATCTAACGTTTAAAATAAATGTAACAAAACCTGAACATCTTAATGTTATTGGAACACAGCAGTATTTTACTGACTAGTTTCTCAGGTAGGGTACCTCTCCTGTGAAATATCAAACGTTTTATTTTGAGATCTGTGTTTTAGAATCAACTTATTCCCACGTTTAACATTACTCAGGTAACGCGATAACTTTTGAGGAAATGGTAGTTTCCCAATTTGAGTATTAACGTAACGTCGCGATGGTGCACTCAATCATTTACATTTGTGTACGTTGAAGATCGATTACTATGATCCACATTGAATTAGAGCCGAGTGCCGAGTATAAGATTTACATGTATGGACAGAAGAATGTAGGCTTGAGCATACGTCGGTCCCGATATACTTTCTAATTCACGAATTCTAATTTGCTGATTGCATCTTTATCTGTATTTGATCAAAAAACGAGAATTTTGAATTCATGGTATCATCAGAAAAACTAAATATTGTACCTGTCAATTTGAAAGCATACTTTACTATGTAATTCAAGTCTTGCTGCCAAGTTTGTCTGAGAATGACTGACTTTCGTCAGAAAAAGCATTGTAGAAATATATTTGTGCGTGGAAAGACTGTTAAAATAGTTAGAATAGTTATCCCTGCTACAGCATCCTTGCATTATACTAACACTTTTTAATATAATCTTTAGCAATTATATTTATCTCTAGTAAGCGATGTTAATTGGATAATTTGTACAGTACTCATCGTCATATCAGTAGTTTCACTCTCTCAAAAAAAAAAAAATATATTTTCATTTTAGACATTAGAACCTTGGGTGTCTCTGCTCGATAACCAGCTTCAGTTCCCCATGACTTCTCTTCCCGAGTAAAACTGTGTGATTATCATTTTCTCGTAATTTGTGTTCGATTGATTTATTTACTCGTTAGAAAAAAATAAACTTGACTATAATAGCGAAAAGTCATGGCGCAAGAATGGGGAGTTAATCTCGCCCAGCTTCAAAACGAAAATTTTTTTTATCTTTGATTCAAAACTCTTAGCGTAGAGTGAGTGGGTCACAGACGGCTTTTCCTTTATCCAAATTTAGATAGATCCGACAATAATATGGTTGAGTGTGGATAGATAAGTGAGGGTTAACGAACGGTACCTTCGATATGCAAGTGTATTTATACCAAGTCGGGATATTAACTGAAATTTAAAATATTACTAACACAAGAGTCGCAAGAAGTCACATACGATTTCAAGGCAGTGAGGTTAGCAATTGAATGGTGACATAAGCAAGGTGCCAGCTATTTCATTGGGTTACTTTTATACGAATCAAATACAAAAAAAATAAAATAAGTTCTAATTAACAAATAGCTAATTCAGTCGGGCGAAACTTCGGGTTGAGTGAGATGATGTAAATAAAATAAAAAAAGGAATCAATTTACTCAAGTAGAACAAGTAATAGTTCCATGAAAACAAGTACCATTGGTTGGTCATACATACATTGAATATCGAGTAGCTTAAACTATAGAGAGAGAGGAAAAGAAATATTACACTTCTACAAAAAATAGGTTATTGTTACATTTTTTCTAACAGGACTGATGCGATGCTCACTGGCGTTATCTATATTACGCATAGGTATGCGGTTCTTTTCACGGGTGGACGGTGTTCGCTGGCGAGTTTGGGGGTAGGGCTCCGTGACGTGAGTGATGTGGTGCGAACAAACTATTATAAGAATGAGTCAACGGCCAGACAAAGTTTCAATCTGTTGTAAGGAATGGGCCAAAATGTAAAACCTTGTGCTATATTTGAAGAGACCGTTACACCATGTCAAATCTAACTTTTTTACGTTTCAGTTTCATTTCACAGTGGTACGTGCTTTGGGTTGACTATGCCCGACGCATTACCGCACCTTTTGTGCTTTCTTGGATGTATATAAATTAATAATTGTGTAGAGCAGGGTGTGCGACCTTTAATACAGGAGGGCCAGATATAAATAACTGGGTGAAACCGCGAAACTCACCTTTATTTAACATAGGCTTTCTAGTAAATGCAGGAACAAGAATTTTGGCTATTGATCTTGTGACATGCGTTGTTTGCACAAGCTAGCTGTTAAAGCATTGTAGAGTCAAAGGTATAGATAACAAATTGAAGGTATAGGCTTCGCAAGGCAAATGAATTGGAAATACTAGCACGCACCAAATTAAATTTAAACTAGGTTCGCATGTCGCGCACATCATTCAAAATTGGCACTACTCCGTGGGCCGCAGAATTTTTCATTGAGAGCCGCATTTGGCCCCCCCCCGGACACAGTTTGCATACCCTGGTGTGAAGCATGGCAATGTAATCCTAATATATATATAATATAATCTAAGTCTATTCAACTGCAAAAATTAACTGATTAATTAATATCATAACTATGCCTGATCAGCGGACGAGAATCAATGTTTTGGCGTGTCACTGTTCTGTTTCAAGAATAAATATGAACATCTTGTCCTAATACACCTAGAACCTAATTATTCAAAGCGGACAAAAACCTCTTTGAGACTTTCGAATATGATTATCAATTATTAAAAAGTTTTTCTAATTTCTAGGTTAAACTTTGACATGTACATCTTAGTAGTAGATTTTCAAATATAAAAAAATTGTACTATGTTAATGTGACCATGGATGTACACGACAGACAACATCTTACAAAGCTATATATTTCTAATATTCCCAGACAGTTGTACAGCTATTCAAAATTACGGCAACATTTTGAAAGGTGGGTGCTTTCTCAGTAAAAAGCTGTTTTAGTTGTATGATGGATTTGCAGTTAGCACACTGTACCTAACTCACTTGTGGTTATGTTGTGATAAATTTTGAAGATTGGAGAATACTTGCATTTCTTCAAAAAACTTTAGTCTTCTCTTAGCTGCTTGTCTTGAACCTTGCTTAAATGTGCGAAAATATTATAAAAAGTTCAGTAAAAGTAAAACCAAGAATAGATACATAAAAACTTTCTGAATATAGGTCTTTACAAAGTAATGTAATTATTGTTGAATCAAGTGCTAGAAGCATATATTAGAAATGAGTTTATAAATAGGCTTATTAGTTAAGTTTCTATTCTAAGTTGTTTAAATCATCAAGATTTAAATACTTCTTTTTACCACGATTTTGTTGAAGGTTTGGAAAGGTGAAAACACTCTTTTTAAATGACAATAAAAAGTTTGGACATGTGACATTCTATAATCATGTGAGTTATTTTTTTGTAAGAACAAAAAAACAAAAATGATGAACATTTAATTTTGTCATAAATCATAAAATCCCAAAAAAGTCAAACAGTATGGGTACAGATTTTGATTCCTATTATGCTATTATTGTTGTACAACAAATTTATTGTTTGTATTTTAGTAGTTGCTTGGGAATCTTTCATGAAGGTTTATCCATTTTTTTAAATGGTGTGATTTTGATTTTTATATCACATAATAAAACAATGTTGAAAATATAATCTTTAAATTGTTTTCAAGTTACAATCATTGAACCCAATTAGTAGTGCAATCACAAGCTTGTTTCTAATCCTGTCCTGATGAACGAATCATCATACAGGTGTAAATTAGACTACAGTAAATTATATGCGAATTGTTGATTTTATCTACTGATTCGATTTTTCCAGGAAAATGCCAAAAAAGCATTGGATAGAGCTTCTTACTTTGATGACAATTGGAAACTGGTGATACAATGGTGGGAAAATTACTCTCAAAGAAGACCTAGGAATTCAAGAGAAAATGGTGACAAAAAAATGACAGGAAATGATGAACATTCAAGTTCCATTTCTACTCGAAAATTTTCATCATTGCCTCTTACATCTTCATATAAAGGTGAACAAACACCAGGGAAGGGTATAATATACTGGGACCTTTTTAAACACATTAATGTTAGTGTGTGATTTTTACCAATATTTCTAGACTTTTATATATGATTTAAATGGTATTTCGGATTCTATCTCTTTAGAATAGTGTTTCTCAAACAGTGGGTTGCTTCCCACAAGGGTGGCTTAGACAATTTATGGATGGGGCATGAAGCTAATTAAAAATAAAAATATTTTCTTGATTTGATTTTACCGACCTTATTCGGAATATTTACATTTCTTTATTTTGGATTTTCATGTTCCATCCTTGTATTTTCAACATTTTTTTGAATAGAACATACTTCCGCCTTAATGTCTGTTATTTGTATCTTATTGCTGGCTAGTTATTTTTAAGCTGGGACGCTAGATTTGACAACCTTTTTATTAATCTAAAATCTTGTTTTTTAGTATAATGCACATATCCAAGAGAAATGATTATATAATTGAAGTCCCGAATTTGGATTTAATAAAACTTAATTTTGAATAGTTTATTTAGGCCTTATTCTGATATTTTAAATAAGTTAAAGTGTTTCCCCCATTTTAATAAACTGTGTAAATGTAGGGCATACTATTTGCTTTATATTTTTCACTCAAAAGAGCAGTATGTTTCACTGTTTGCATATGAGCTATCTTAAGCATTCAGTATGTACGGTACTTTATTATTTGTTTTGAATCATAGTATTCTCAAATATTTGATCAGCAATTCGATACAACAGTTTCACAAATCTGTAATGTATGCTTAGGTAATGCAACACCCTTACATGATGGGTTAGAGAAGGCAAATAATGAAGCTGCCTCAAGCATGGCTGGACTAAATATAATATCACCATTGTATTGGAAAAATATTGATATTCTTCCTGCACCTGTTGGAACAAGGTGAAATAATTTTTTTTTATCCATTTATTTTATCATGGACAGTAGTGTATTTTGGGTAATAAATTTCTCAAAACAATATCATTGAACTATACATAATGACACACTGACTATTTTAATCTGCTCCAAGAGCCATAACCTAAATCAATACTCAGTAAATATGAAAAAGATTATTGAAGTATACAAAAAAAATGTATCCGATAAATTAAAACTAATGAAATACCTCCTAATTAATTTCTAAAACAATGCTTTATATCTATTTGAATCCATCATGAGCAGCAGTGAACATATTAAATATTACTTCGCAGAGCTCAAAATGATTGAGCCAATTGATAAATATTTGCTGAATAAAGGTACAATGACAAAGAAAGTTGCATGGCTGGAATATGTCCAATAAAAGAAAAATATTGAATGGAATTTTCCAAATTCAAAAAGTGGAAAAAAACTGATAACATCATTGTATTTGACTTGTCGTTGTAGTAAGGGTAATTGTCACGCTATAATTGTATTATTGTGTTATAACGTATATTCAAATCAAAACGTCCATGTTGTCCATTCACCATGTTGTCTTGCGCGCCTATTTGGGCTAACAGGAAAGCAAGTCTGTACGAGTTTTGACTGTGCTAAATTCATCGAAGTAATCTGGCCATTTGCATCTCCATGGCTCTGTGGAAACGTTTTTTTTTGCTCTGACTGAAACTAAAAGCATAAAAGGGAGCGCAGGGACCTCGTTTCAATTGTTTCCCAAAACAGGCACACACATCGAATCAACATTTGCAGAATAATACTGTTTAAAACTAACTTTATTTTTTACAAGTGTGCCGCAAATTTTTTTTTATTTGCTCAGTGCGCGGCGAGCAAAAAAAGTTTGAGAACCACTGATTTAGGGGATTGATTAATTTTCATTATTTTTATTATGATAGTTCAATAAGAGAACTTCTATTCTATCTTAGTATTTATACTAGATTGATATCAGCTGGGTATTTTTTGACAAAACTTCAAATTGATATCTGCAATTTCAGTTCATCGGTATAACATCCCTCATTATTGCAATTAGTACTCAGCACAAGAGACTGATCTCTGAGTAAATTTATAACAATTTTTAAAATTACCAGAGCTGCTGAGACTATGAAGAATTATAGAATTGTACCTAAAAGTACCTAAAAGTATCTTATTACAACTTTTGTTGATTGTAAGATTCTTCTTCAGTGTGTTTTCACATTTTTGCCACCCCTGATGTGAAGGTCTTTATGCAAGACTTTGTAGGTCATCAAGGCTCCTGACCATTTCGTTCACACTGTGATTAAACTTTAATAGTGGATTGTGAAAAAATAAAAAATAAAATAAAAATAAAAAAAGGAAAATGAATCTGAGTTGTTATCTCCAATGTTATCCAATCCACATGTTCTACAATACATCCACATGTTATCCAATTTATGCATAACGATGAGGACTAAAGCTTAGCGATAAGTTTGACTTATCCAAGTTTACATTTTTTAAATCTGCTATTTCATGTAGATGTCTTCTTGTTAATAACACTGATGAATTTCTGCCTCCTCAAAATATAAAGATGCATTTTGAAAACAAAAGAAGATCTGGCGGTGGACCAGTACAAAGCATTGCAAGATTGGTTGATGGAATATTGGTGGTTTTTAAAAATGAATCAGGTACTGCCTTTTTAATTTTCTTTTGTAAAATTTATGATTTAAATATGTGCTGTGAGTACCTCAGTAGTGGAAGGACTCAAATTGTGGGTCTAAGTCAATCTTTTTCTAAACTCAAAGACAACAAATTGAGACAAAACAACAACCTATCGTGTTGATTAATGTTTCATTGACAAAATTGAAAATTTGTTAGCTTATTGGAAAGTCAGTTGAAATAGGTGTGAATGAAAAAGAAACTATGGTCAAAATTGCGGTTAGGTTAAGTTGACTCATATTTGGCTCATGTTTTGCTGTAGTTCATGAAATCTATTATATTATGATTTGGAACTGACTTGTATTTCAAAACATCAATGATTTGAATCGATTTGTGACTCAGAAGTGCAGTGACTCAACTTGACTATGGATTCAAAAATTATTTGAAATCGGACTTTACCTAGGACTCAGATGCCACTTGACACAATTTGATTCACAGATTGGGCTCAAATGATTTCACTCAACTTTGGTGCACCTCACAATGATATGGATAGTTAGTTAAAAATATTTGAACCATAAAGACAATCAACGGAAAAGGTCAAACTCATTCAAACATTATGAACATTATTTTTAAATCAATATTTATTATTCAAAACTTAGCTGACCAGAAAGATTAAAACTGAAAACATACAGATCTTTAATTCAAATCTGCTATTTTCTTTAGACTGTAAATCAGCTTTATCAAGAAGAGATCATACAATTGATGGAACCCCAATCAAAATTTATCAGAAGTTAATTCCTGGATACTATGAAGATCGTTTTATTGTCTCAGTAAGTAGTAATTTAATGCAACAATATAGAAAATTTGTATATGTGTATATCTCTGTAATAACGAGTGTGTTTTTGATACCAATTTTTATATATCTTATTATATGCTATAAATATTCTACCTATTGAACCTAAAAATAGACCACAAATTCTTGGTATAGTTTCTACCGTATACAAATTTTTTTTATTTCAGATCACTTTTGTTCCTGTAATACTTTTTTTTTTATTTATTTAATTTCCTTGTTCGAACTCTCTTAAAATGTTCACAAATATTTTTATTTTATTCTTGTGTTATTTTTTCAGAATATCCGAGACAACACAATAACTGATACTTTAGAGCTGTATTTGGAAAGTTGTTCAAAAAATGAAACATGTCCTTCAGTTTGTGACAAAACAGATTATGCGGGTGTATTTCAGATTCAATATGGAAAAGAGTTTGGTAAGATGCTCTTCGGTATGGATGAATTTTTATCATTGCAAGAGAGAGGATGGCTGACTAGACAGCTTCATCCTGAATCAAGATGCAAATTCTCATCCAATTATTAGCTAAATTTGAATGAGGCAATGATGGTGTTGTCTGAGAATATTTTAATTTGTAAATCAAACAAAGTAATTTTGGCGATGTGGCTTTAGGAATATGCCCGCTGCCACACCTCAGAATACACTGCGTGGATTTTCAGGCTCAAATACTTTGTGACATAAATTGTGTGCAAGAGGATTGCTGAACTCCTCATCCCCGTAGGCAGTGGTGGGATTCAAACCGGTTTGCTGATCCAAAATTCGGTAAGAACCGGTGCGAACCGGCTCAATCCCACCACTGCCCGTAGGGTGGTTTATGTAACCGCTCGCTGGTCAGTTACGACTTCCTCCATCATCAAGTCCAGGGCTTCCCAAACTTTTGAGCTCGCGACCCTTTTTAATTTATTAAAATTTTCCGCGGCCCTTGTTCGCGTTAATATTGCATTTTTGATGTTTTATTGACACAGCTAATTCTCAAATTTTAATAGGCCTACTCAATTACAAAAACAAGCACATATTTATTCAGAGTAACATTACTCAATTATTCAGCGTAAAGGGTGCGAATACTTTTTGCTGCATAACAAGTTCAGCCTTGGCTCAATGTTTGTTTATGTAAGCCTAAATGATGAATTAGGATGTCTGGCCACCGACGGCATGGTCCTTATCTGGAATTGTTCACTCTTATTGATCAAACTTAGCATAAGACAGCGGTTTGTGTGGCGCCAAATTATCATGGGATAAACTCATGGCGCACCTACACAAAAAAGATGCTGCCTGATAATAAAACACAATTTTGTCATTCGTAATATGTACTTAAATATCTCTGCCTGGTTTTTTTTTTAAATGCTGAAAAAATCACTCATGTTCAGCAAATGAATAAACTGCAGCCTACGAAATTGCAGCATGTATGGTTTACCTCTTTTGTTACGTAACAATATACCCGTCGTAACAGAGCGTACACAACATAGAACAGTAAAATGAATTTGATTCGTATACTCATCATTTGCAACAATGAGAAACAATAAAACATTTAGAAAAAATAAAATATGTAATATCTTTTGAGGCGTACTTAGCAAATCGCCTTCGGGAACTGCTAGCTTAACGACTATTAAAGCCGGCATGGTTATGCAAGCACACGCAAATCGGGTATTACGGTCAGAATATGCATTGTTATGCAAGCGCGATGATTCTACTGTGTTTCCCCGAAAATAAAACCAAGCCTGTATTTCAGAAGTGATTTTAATAAGCGCTCCTCTTTGAAAAAGACTTAGTCGATGGCGCACATTTTTTTTACCTAATCCCGTGGAAGTGCGTCGTTTCAATTTTGCTAGTACGTCTCAAAATTTCGTGATTCGTGAACCTTTCAAACAACCCATATCTTCTACTTTTACAGAAAAAAGGGTAGAATATATCGATCTTACCTGTGATGGTGTTACAATAAAAAAGTTAGATTCTGAAAATTCAGTTTTCTGTAGATAAAGATTTTTTTGTTGTTTGTTCAAAAAGCGTTGCGGACTCCTATCCCCTTTGCGATTTCGTTTTCATGTAAAGCAGACTTTTCTACCAAGGCCCATTAAATATGATTTCACTGACTGTCGTTATGTTTTGTTTGTTCCTTTATATGAAACTCTTTGCAAAAAAGTCTTTTATTGAAAGGTATCAATACGTATTTTCACGGGTAGTCGTAACTTGACCATATTTCTGGAGGGTGTCACAATACAATGAATTTCGAGAACCTAGTCGATAGCAAGAAATTTCTACTCTTTCTACTTTTGGAATGGTTAATAATCCATTTCTAGCAGTTATTTTAAATGAAGACGTGCTATTTATAGGTAATGGAAATCGGTATTCATATTTGGCATAATAAAAAATCTCGTTATTCTCTACATCCTCCCAAAATAAGCCCTAGTGTTATTTTCGAAATAAAATTGAAGACAATGTCTTATTTACACAGTATTATGATGTGTTCATTAGGAATCGTGAAATTTTTGTTTTACATTATTTTCAATAATTGTATTTCGAATCAAGAGTCTGGGAAAGTACAATAGATATAGTACTTTGTGTAAAATCGGTGCTCTCTTTGCGGCCCCAAAGTTCGTTTTGCGGCCCCCTTCAAGGCAGTGGCCCCTAGTTTGAGAAGCCCTGATCAAGTTCATGCATCTCTAAATAACCAACTGGCTAATTAATCCGACCGGGATTGGTAAGCGAATGAAAGACCGTGGTTTGCCATATGATTAAGCCATTTTATCACCTTTCCTCTCCCCTGACATAGATGTGTAAATCCTATCCAATAGTTCAGAAATCAGAACTTTGAGTACTGATCCAAGAAATCATAATTATATGGCATTTCCCTATTTATCTAAAACAGAAATGGTAACAAAACTGTTATTAGTTCGATTGTGCAACAATTATGTAGCGATCTAGTGCTATACAGGGTGTCCAAAAAGTTTCGCCTGATTATAAAGTCCCTATAATCAAATGTTATTTTTTTTAAATATAAAAAAGATTAAGAGTCAGCCGGTATCTAATTGGATGTTATAGATGTTGATGTTATAGTCCCCATTTATTATACGACAAAATTTATTCAATAAAAAGGTCCTTGCATAAATTTTTTTTAATTAATTAAATAAATAAATCTTAGATGTTAGTTTATTTTCAAAGCTCTTGTCAACATACATAATTAAAGCAAAACCATATCGTTGAATATCTAAATTTTCAGGCACATCAGAGACAGCAGATTTATTGAAGAACATTAATTCAAAGCCACTTGAAGGACAAAATTTGAAGGTAAAAAGTCTTAAAGATATTTATGAACAAGCTTAAGACTTTAAAATATAATTTTTATAAACAAAATGGATTTAATAACTATTCTCTTGATTAGGAACTATTATTATTTGCCTTTCTAATGCATAATTTGCTCTATAAAGTCACACCTGTTAATTATTTGCCGTATGCGCTCAGCCATGGATAAACTGAGCGAAGAACAATAGGCCTAATGTATATATATGATGACTGCAAATACAATTATTCTGAGTAATGCAATAGGTAAATAATGTTCAGTGTCTTATTCAGATAATAACCATGCTATCCCAGGGTGAATTTTTTGCTTAAACGGGATTTAACAATTGGGCTTCACAATGTTGGCATCACAGATTGAAATTCTTCTTTTCAGCCCTTTCAGCTCATTAACTCACACAGGGTGCAGCAAATTGGGTAGGCACTAGGCCAGGGTGGTCCAAACCCAGGCCTGTGGGCCACAAGTGGCCCGCCGACTCATTATCTGTGGCCCCCGTCGCAATATTCGGGGAAACAAAAAATCAAATTTTGTGTTGTTTCGTCATAGAAATAAACAAGAAAAATATTCTGCCATATTGTTACTTGGGGGAAATTGTAGACTGGCTTCCTTTTCTTGTCGGGAATATATGCTAACAAAATAGGCTTACTAAATATCGAATGAGGAACCCCTTAGCCTAGGTTGGTTATGTCTGATAACTAAATATTAATGTAATGACCGATCAATATATTTACTGCCGGGTGTTTTTTTGCAACCAGCCTAAACAGTATTACAAAAAATGCTGCCTATATGTCAAAAAATTCAGTAATTACCTCTTCGTACCTCACATTTGGTAATCAATCAATCTGCAGTTATTTGTAAGTTATTTTGTAAACATGAGTTTGAAAAGAAAGCTGACTAATTCAAACTGATTTTTGACTGGATATGGGTGGGGAAATACCATAATGCTTGTTTAATGTGTCTGCAAGTTGTGTTGGTGGCAATCTTAAAGGACAGTTTCGCTTTATGATACTTTTTCCCTTTTGAATAGTTTGAAGTCTTAAGCTAGATATAGTATAGTAAGATTATTGCATGTTTTAGTGAATTTTCTTGGTGTGTTTTGCGTTTCTTAGCTTGATAAATATTGATCAATGTGTTTAAACAATAAAAGTGTTCGTTTTCTATTGCACTGTTTACCTATTCTTGTAATTATTGTGGCCCGCGAATAATATAAAAATAATAATGTGTCCCACGAGGCCGACAACCTGGGACCACCCTGCACTAGGCAGTTCCAAACAGAAATGAATTTTGTCATTTTACAAATAATTTCTCATTTTCATCAAGTGTCAGTGGATATAAAAAAAATCGAATCTTATCTTAAAAATAGTGATGCCTCAGTGTCTGCTTGTGGAAATAATAAAAATCTTTTGTTTTAGGCATCCAGATTACTTCGAACTGATTGTTTGAAAGTATCAAATCTTCATCCAGATATATCTAATCATGTGATTCAACTATTTTTTGAAAATAAAAAACGTTCAAGTGGCGGAACTGTTACAAAAGTTGATCGATTGCAGAATCATCTTGCATTAGTTTATTTCGCATCTTTTGAAGGTGGGTTCTCAATATTAATATGCCTATCCAGTTATGGATAGAACACAAAGACAGTACAGATTAAACTTGGTTTAGTTGGGTGAGAAAAAAGAAACTAGTCATTTGTTCTAAATGCAACTTTGACGGTAATGGAAGCCATAATTGTTCAGAAGTTCCATAAACCACATTGGCAAAATAAGTTCTTATTCATCTCAATACACACGGTAATTTTATACTTCTCATTTGGTTGCCAGTCCAGGTTGAGTAATACAAAGATTACCAGTTAGTTGTTTCATTTAACTTATAGGCTAAAGTGAAAAAGTATTACTGTCTAGCTCGGGCATGGGGAAACTACAGCCCGCGGTCCAAATCCTGCCCGTTGGGTAATTCAATCTTGCCTGCCTGATGCTGCCACAACTGAACTAAAACCAAATTTTGATGTTTTAGCTAAAAAATATCTCAATGAATTTGTTGAGATTGCGATTAAATTACACAGTTGGTTGTATAATCAGCTGTATAGTGGGTAGAAATCTCAAATGATTTCACTATCTTTTTTGTCGTATATATACTATATACCATAAGTTAAATGTCTTTTATTTATTTGTTTTGTACCCATGAAGGTATCATGTAATATTTTATGAATTCCCATTCTTTTACTTTTCAGATGCAGAGAATGTAGCTGAAAGATTTAAAGGGTCGAGTTCTGAGCCAGCCTTGATTCAAAAACAAAAAGTAAATGTGAAACTCTACTTTCACTGTTTTGAAAATATTCATGAAAGAAGAAATTCAGCAGTGAGATGTGAGAATACTTCACAAACTCCAAACAGAAATAAGAGTGAACAGACAAAAGAAAGTAAGTGAGATACCTGAGATAAGGTATAAAGATAAGATAGGATCTTTATGTCAGGGATAAAGGGAAGTTAATAAGACGGCCTAATTATTTGGAACATCACGGTCTCTCATTTGGTTACCAGTCTATGTTGGTTATGGATTATAACCAGTTACCAGTCTATGTTGGTTATGAATTAGTTAGCCAGTTATTTGTTTCACATGCTTGATGGTGAAGGAAGCTGACCAGCGGTTATGTAAACCACCGTCTATCAATATTCTTGCACATAAATATTCCCTACAAGATTCAAATTTGCAAATTCATTCAGGGTAATCACCCACCGGTCCATACTTTTTCATTACATATTTTGTTACTTTGAAAATATTTATCTTACATAAAAATTCCTCTCTCTGGAAAATTTCTGCTCTAACTAACTTATTATGTCCATTGTTTGTTTATTCATTAATGTATTTATAAAACAACTATCTTTTTTTCAGAAACAGAGCACCGCCGACCTTTATTGTCACCCTTCTATCGGAACATTGGCACAGATGATCTGAATATACAATTTATATGCAGCACTCCAGTGCATAGAAAAAAATTTGAGGAGAGATGCAAAGAGTTTGCATCCGTTCAAATTTCATGGAAAGGAAATCTTGTGAAGAAAATAACATTCAAGCCAAAGGTCATTATAATTTTTCAAAAAGTTACATGATAATACAATGAAATGCAAAATCTTTTTATAAAAAAGATGAGAAGGAAGATAATTGCCATGGTTCATGATTTAAATTTTGTAGAGAGTCATATACAAGATAATTCGTGATGCCCATTGTTTAATCCATTTGGAATAACTAACTGATTGAATATCTATACCCAAATTAAAACTTTAAATTTTTATTTTGCCATATAGAGTTATCTATTTTATGAATCACTATCATACCCATAAAATAAGCAATACCACATGAAAGTACAACTTAATTAATGAGAAACATGGATCTAAAAATGATCAAAAAACAAACCATCAGAAATGTTCACATGGTGATTCTATTCTCCTCTCTTTTATGAAAAATTGAATTAAAGAATAGAAATAAATATTTTTTACTTCAGAATCAAACTGGAACGCATAAAGATTTTAATTTAAAGTGCCAAAATGAAATTTCAAACTTCGTCCTCAACTATACAAGTTTTATCAAAGAATTTGATGAAGACATTCTTGAAAGGGGTAGGAATATGAAAGTTTGTCCAGAAGTCTCAAAGTCATTTACAGCACATAAGGAAGAATCTGATGTGAAAATAAGGTATTGCATATATAAAGCAGCATTTAATCCTTTAAAATCCAATATCCAGACCTATTTACTTCTCACAGAAAGATTTTTCTTATCGATGATAATAGTCGCCTGTGGCAAAGACATTCCAATGCTATCATAAAACAGGGCTTTTACTTTTTAAAACAGCAAATATGAAATATCAGTTGTTGTCTAGGTGGATTAAAAACAGACTGGAAGTTACTGGGCTAAAACAAGCATCATCACAGATGTTGAAACACATTACAAAAAGTTTGTCTTTTTCTTCTGTGAAGATGCAAATTAAAGCAGACCAATATGAGTAAGTCCATGCATCTATATCAATTACTGTTAAACAAAGTCCCATGTCTGTACTTGTCATTTTTCTTCCCCACAGAATAAGTTTTAAAACTCTAATTTTCTTTATAGGCTGATAATTTTATCAAATAACAGTATCAAAAACAATAATTGAATTAGTAATTTGAGTCCGTAGTTATTTACTAGAATTTTTTGTAGAATTCGAATCTACAGAGTATTTTTTTTCGAACATTTTTAGTATGGCAGTTGCTCTTAAAAATGTTCCATATAAAATGAAATAGATTTTGACGGCAATAATATAGAGTTGGGTATGTTCAGGACTTCATTTTTGTTCGGCAATTAAATTTTGTCAGATGGTCTTTGCCACTTTTCATTTATTATGGATCAAAATTTTGATCTTAGCTCTTGGCAAAGCTGTAATCACTTGAAACTACTATTAATACTCTTTATACTTTATGCCAAAGTCCTGGGACTTGGCTTTATATACAATAATGTATAAAAATAGATGCAAACTATCTCCATTGCTAGCTTTGCTATTCCCAAGCCCAATCAACAGATAATTAAGCTGTTTTGTATTCTGTCTATATAGATATAGTATTAGTAAATTATACTAAATATAATATAAAATAAATATTCTGAATAAATATGAAGTATTCACCCATTCATGAATAATTTCTATAGTAAATATCGAATTCAACAGCATGCCTAATCTGAATTCTTATTTTCTCATGAATTGTATTTTCTTCCTAATTTTTGACTACTTGTTTTTAGGATTTTGAATGACTGCAAAATATTGGATGAAGTCAGTCTCACACACAAGACTGTTCATATGAGTAATGAACCTGAAACAAAAACAATATCAATATCTGGACCTGAACTAGATGTAGCAAATTTCCAGACTAAGACTTTTATTACACTAAATGTATGTTTAAAGTATTTATTCAAAACATTATCCAATTGTAAATTGTTTTGATCGTATATACTCAGAACAAGCTTCAAACATAGAGATACTTATTGATAGCACAAGCTGGTTGGTATATTGTGCTAATCGTTACAAATACATTTGCCAACACACTTGTGATCACCCAGCCCGAGTTCGCAGGTTTGAATTGTGTGGGGTATAGTTATGTGTGATAGGATTGCTTGAAACCTGGCTGCTGGAGGGGCAATGGCTGGAATTCCAGGAATAGTTTTACACATAATTATCCCGCACAAGATTTGAACCTGCAAAGCCTCACAGGGTGCAATGGCAAGCCTGTTTTTAACACCTATTGCATGCATTGTAAGTTTCTTTTGCACAATGATTTTCAATACATAATATAGTAATGTTTTAATATGTTTAGATGATGGAGAAAGTACGACTGGAACTTTTAAACATCCAGTTGAGATCTTTTTTGATACAATCTATACAAGACCGTTCAAATGTTATTTCTGTTATTCAAGAAAACTTCAAGCAGGCTGATATAAAAGGCAGTATTTATATCCTACAAATTTTTTTTCACAAACTTATTTGTAATAAAATAGAACACTATTTAAATATGTAGTTTGGGAAGTGAATGGAAAAAAGTGATTACCAACTATCGGTCATGTTAATTACCAAAAAACGAAGAATAGTTCAGTGCCTAGTGGTGTTATAGATAAAAAAACATCATAAATCCCTCAACAATTACTGGTACTTCATGCTCGGTTGTAATAAATTGGGTGGTCAGTGCATGATTTCAATAGCTCAACTTGTAGGAAAATGGCTAATTCCTTTTAAGTAACTTCTTGTCTTGTGTTCATACTGATTGTGGCTTCTTCTAACATTTAATTTATAACCTTTCTCTCTTCAGATTCAGACATTTACCTAGTTTTGTTTGGCATGAAACTAGGAAACAAAATGTAGCAATTGTTGTGTTCAGCAGCAGCTGATGTTATGTACTGAATCAGAATAAATATGCGAATACTAATACTTATCTTATCATTTCCAATTTTCACAGCGACTTTACAGACATATGAAGGTGAAGTTTTTGTCATAGCAAAGACACTTGTAGATTGTCAAAATGCAGAAAACATCGTGAGACGTCTTTTGATATTATCAATAGTTACAGTAGAAGATTGGTCAATTGTCACATCAAGTGCTTGGCTAGACTTCAAGAAGTCTCTGAAATTAAAGAATTTGGAACTAATAGAAGAGGTAATCTATTTTTTGATGTTTGCAGAGTTACCGTATGTGTCACAGATGTGAGATTCATTACTTGTTTAGCATTGTGATGTTTTTCAATTGCTTATTGGCATTTACAAATGTATCCTTATTCTAGGAAATGCCTAGGTATTTCCAGTACCTGATTAGCCATCTTTTTGGAGTGGGCTTACTGAATATTAAAAGGCTAATATAAATTATATTGCATAATGCCATGTCTTTTGCCTGCGAGTAAGAAACTACTATGACCTATGCATAATTTAAGATGGAAAAAGTGTCAGTAGGTGGGTAGATGTAGAAGAAATGCTTTATCCCAAGTCCAGCTTGTTGTGTGTAATTGTGTCACCATGTGGAAATCCATATGTCTATATTTTCAGGAAACTTAGGGGTCAGCTAAAACCTCACTATATTTCTTTCATAACTACATATTTAAAGTTTAAACATTGATTTCGTTTAACAAAAATAATGCTGAGTGAATTGTTTCAAAATAAATACTCAACTTAAGTTTGAGGAGTGTAAGATTTTATAATTCATTTACCAGAAGATATGTTTGTTTCAGCAAACCCTAAAAAGAATATCATTGTGCGGCTTTAGCAATCAAGTTGCAGAGATAGAGCAGAAAATTGAAAAATATATTGAAAAAAACAGGACAATGTCTAGATTATATCCCATGAAATATGGAAAGGCAAAATTCATTCTTGAGAAAACTGCATATTTAACAAATATTATGGGCATTTCTTGCTGTGTAAGCAATTATAATGGCGGAGGTATATTAATAAAAGGATTGAGCAAATCTGTTGAGAATGGTAAGTTATTTTTGAAGTTTGACCCAATGCAGAAGTTTTTTTATGTCATCAAAAGTATTGTTTTGATGCATGCTTTAAAGTGTGTTAATTTAACAATAATATATGAAATAAGATATTATTTTCATATTAATCATGTTGGAGAGGAAAGTCCATAAGATGACTTAATCATATGGTGTACTACGGCCTATCGTCTGCTTACCACTCAATGTCAAGTACGGAGATAGGTATCCAGTTATTTGTTTGTTTTTGACTTGATGGTGGAGGAAGTCATAACCAACCAACATTGGCAGGAACCACCCTACGTCAACGGGTAGTCTAGCAATCCTCTCGGACTTAGCACATGAGACTTAAACCAACGAACATTGCAGAGTAATAGCATATTCCAAACGCTTAGCAAGATGTGCCGGCGCCGCCGTGTTCATTTTACAACAAGATGACAAGTAGTTTTGACTTTCATTTGTTGATATTTCAATACAAATCGAATCCTTTGATATTGTATTATATATTATTGCTTTGATTTTACAGCAATAGAGAACATCAGACAAGCACTAAAAACTGTCATTGAAACAAAGGAGACTTTTTCTGAATACAAAGTTTGGGAATATTTCAATGAAACAGAAGGAAAATCTTTTATTTCAGAAACAGAAAACTTTTGCCAATGCGTCATTTTGACCTCATTTAACAAGGAAGACAAGAGAACTAATGTGAGTAAAAGATAATTATTACAAATTTATTTTTCTTCAGTATATGTATGAAACTTCTTTTTACTTGTCTTGATTTTTGAATGTGGATACCTGAAAATGACACAAATGTACCGGTAATTACTGTTTCTCCCTATCCTATATATAATCTTGATACAATTTAGTATTATATTTGTTACGAATTGCGGAAAATACATGTTTGGATTTTAGAGATTAGATATTTGAAAAAAATTTCAAATATTACTATGAACTATCTCTCAATCATCCAGTGCAGGGATGGGCAACTTCTCTAGTCGGCGGGCCCGATGTTGGAAAATGAAGTCCTCGGCGGGCCGGATTATTACAAAAAATACTTCGGTATCCAATCTTTGTTAAATGATCGACACTCTCTGTCAACTTTACGTTTCTTGGGATATTTCATGGTTAATAAAACTTAATATAAAATCTAATTTTTAAACTATTTAGAATCTTAATATAAATATAACTGATAACAGTAGATGGGAATGATTACAACGCTCTCTGCTTTGACCTTATACTGTTTGTTTATTAAGTGTGATAACGCAATTGTTTGTTCAAGAAGGCTTTGTTCTCGCAATTGTTTATTTCACCAGCTCGCACTGACAGTGCGGTGAGAGTAGAGCGATCGGCAACTTTTAGGAATGATGCGTCGGACCACATTACAGAGTGTGGTTGGATACAGTCAGCAGGCCGGACAAAATCCCATCGTGGGCCGTATGTTGCCCACCCCTGATCCAGTGCCAATAGGTCATAATGACATGGTATCTTGGAACTTCCCATCCCCGATAAAACAATGTATTTTTCATTATATCATAATCTGTGTATGATTGATTTTTTTAATAGTTGGAAAACTTTTATAATAAACTTTTCGATGATGAAGACCACTCAATGCGGCAGTTGTTTCAGTTTTAGGATTTATTTTTAGAGAAAAGAAATACAAGTTAAAATTTACTTAAATGTATTGTATTATGCCTATATCTTCAGAGTACAGACTTATGCAGAACAACATCACCAAGATTTCTGCAGTGCAAAGTTACTCTGGTGGAAGGCGACATAACAGATCAAAGGGTTAGTTTAAATGAATAATAAAATAATAGGTACCCATTGAGAGGAAAATAAATCATAATCACATGCCATATTGTTGATATTTATTCTAGAATTTGTGTTTCATTTCATTGTTTTCTAGATTATACCACAATGAGTGTCGTAATAGATATCATATCAGATATTTTCAATATCCAAAATGCATAGAAATGATTACCAGCTCAGAACTAATTTAAAAGTATCACAAGTATTGATTATTGATACATTAGCTGTTGACTACACTCCTGTCCTTTACACCAGTGGTTTCCAAACTGTGGGTGGCGACCCCGGGCAGGGTCACTTGAAGATTTTACGGGGTCGCCTGACTTTCACTGAACATACAATACGTTGGTAGCAAATATATGACTCAAGTGTTTTTGGATTCACTTGGCTTATTTCACTGTATCGAATTGAAATACTGTTGTTGCTCTGTCCATTGTGTGTCGCCACACTAAGATTCCAAAGGTAAATGTACTCATTGAGATCCAGTAAAAAGTGTAATGATCCAGTATCTTAACGTAATCATATTGGCGTCAACACTTGAAATGAGAATCGGAATATATCGTTTACTGGAAATGCGTAGTTATATCTAGTTGAACCTAGTGGGTATTATGCTGGGCTTGACATGTTGGCTGCATTGCAAAATAGAGATTTTGTGTTTGAAGTTTGTTCAAAATATGGAAACTTGAAATATGTTAGGTTTGCCGCAAAATATCACCTGGATTATAAAGGAAGTCATTCTTTCTAAGCACAAATATTAAATTTGTTCAATATTTTCTTTGATATAAAACAAAATTTAGGAACTGTAATGGAAAATTTTGAGAAAAAAATCATATTTTTAGGCCAGCGAAATTTGGGTGTATGCCACAGCTCCGGAATATCTTATTAAAATGAATGGATCCGCTATATCAAAGGCACTATCAAGGGCAATGCGTCTGGATGAGTCGATGTTTGCTGAAGTAATACTATGAATGTTTTTGTAGTTTTCTTCTAGTACATATTTATTTGTGTGAACAATAATATGTATGTGCATTTTCTCATGAGATATATTGAGTTTCAGAAATATCTGTTTAAAAAAGTAGAGAGAATAAATTATTTTTAAGCAAGTTAGTTGCTCAAGGGGAATTGCTTCATGCATACAGGCATGCTCATTGTAATATTCAATATTTGATAGGATTGGTGGACATGTATCTGATACAATGAACAAAGCTTAGGTATTTCTATATTCAATCTTGGTATGCTATTTTGTTTTACTTGTCTAAATTTTTTTTTGTTATGGCAAATTCAAAAAATCATCAATATCTGACAAAATTTAAAGTCGAATGTAAATTTTATTAAATATCAGTTGTTTTGTTCCAGCCCTATTTTGCTGGAGATGTCCTGGAGACAACGGGAGGATGTTGGGATGCAGAAATTTATCATGCTTTGATAACATATTATGATGAAAAAACTGCCAAAGATCTTATTCAAAAGATTGTTATGGAATGCTTGCAAAACGCAAATTATTCTGAATACAGGTGTGCGATATATTTGCCTACTACTTTTCCAATTTAAATTTGTATAAAAACAATAATTATTTTCAAAGCATGAAATGTCCATTTCGTTAACGGCAGTTTTTTTTGTAAATTCAGCCTCATTATCGCCTGTGTTTGTGTTTAAAATTTCAAATCATGATTATAAAACTATTTTTCCTCCTCCTCACCTTGACCAAATAAAATTTCATTTAGTGGAAATTTGATAATCTTACAATTTATTTTACAGTTCTATATGCTTCACTGCAATCGGAACGGGAGGTTATGGATACCCTGCTTCATCAGTTGCAAACTGGATGAAGGAGACATTCATGAAATTTTATGGACAATATCTGAGAAATATTTTTATTGTCCTTTTTCCCAAAAATACTGAAGTTATAAAGGTAACTGGTACTATATTGGTACAGTGTTGGGGACTCAAAGCAAAATTTAAGTCTATGAAATAGCAAAAAGATTCAGTGAAATATGGTTGACTGCATATATTAATGTTGTATTAGCTAGAAACAAGAAATTTACTATCTTGTTTCAGCACTGGAATGAAAATGCTGAAAGTCCTGGTGTCGATGTGAATTATTATCTATTTTACTGTTGTTTATGAAATCTACTATGACCCAGAATCAAACCGCATCTCAAAACAGAGATCACCTTGATTTGTGGCTTGGTAAAGCAGTGACTCGAATGGATTTGTTAACCAAGTACAGGACTTGCTAAAACTGAGACTTGACTCGAGACTTGGATAATGTTTTACTGGCTTTTTTTAAATTTATTTATTTGATGTTAGGTTCTGAGCCCACGAATAAAAGTGGAATCAGTACTGATAAAATGGTACTCTTGTAGTGTGTGTACCAAGTTAGACCTTAGTTTTTTTCCAATTTTTTTTATTTTAGTTCTATTACAATGTCGAGGACTGTCTGTGTTGGCCAAGTGAATATGCACCATATTAATACACACACTTCTAAAGTGCCAATAAAATAGTAGCAGTTGAACTTGTTTGTTGTAATAACTAACCACTATCTGGCTAATTATAATTTAAAACATATTATATGCCAGGTGTAATATAGATGTCGACAATGTATCTTGACATCGATAAATATGGATTCACCCGGGCATTCATTGTAGTTATTTGCTGAAGGTTTTATAATGTTATCTTGGACATGTTCTGAATGCAAACTATTGAAATTTTTAATAATTCGTAAATGGTATACATGAACTGTAAATAATTGAAAATCTGATATTGTTTCAGGCATTCAAAGATGTGTTCAGCACACCGTTTGAAATTCTGACAGAATACAAAGAAAATCTGAATAGTAAGCAATGCTCTGCTACAAAAATAGGATCAATCATGGTGTCAGTCTACTGTGGTGAAGCTGCAAATGAACGTAGTGACATTGTAGCATCAGGTTTGACAAAATATGTTCTACACAAATTTTTAATGGGGTGTTCCTATTCTAAAATACTTTAGATTAGTCTTACATTAATATGATTAGGTCCACCTCTTCCATCGATAGGCTTCACTAAACAGACCAACATGACTAACCCATTGTCAATTTTTTTTTTCTATCAATTTAGTGCACAAGCTAGAGTCATTTAAGCTACCCTGCAAAAAGTGGATTGAAATACATCAACAAAAGACTTCTGAAGAAGTTCGAAACAAAATGTTGTCTTTGTTGAAGTTGACATCAGATCAAAACTTTTCATCTATTTCTGTGTGTGGACTTTGTAGCGAATATTATAGTGAGATTATATTCATATAAAGGACAATTTTGACAGCTTAACAATATGTTGAAGCATGGCCTCTCGTCCGATTATCAGTCCATGTCGGGTATGGGATTAGTTAGCTAGGAGTTCATCGAAATAAATTTTACCTGAACTTACCGTAGTTTAGATTATGAAATTTCTTGATGTACTTTGCTGAAATTACAGATAATGATGAGGATGATGCATCAGCAATTAGAGTTGCCATTGAAACATTTGCTAAACTTTACACTCAAACATCAGTTACCTACATCAACCTCGTTACAGCTCATAAACAGGGGTTAAAAACTTTAAAAGATGGGATTTTCATGAAAACGAGTGAAGTAATCTCTGATATACCAGGTGATAAACATATTTTTTTGACATTGTACAATAAGGAGTTAGTCTTAGTAGTAGAGACATAATAATTGTAATTATTTGTGGTAGTGTTTAGAAATCTTCTGACAGCCTGGAGGGCCTAAATGATAAGTTTCTTTTTAATGGTATGTTAACAGTTGTATATTGCTGAAAAAATGTCATATTAGTGGGGAACTTTTGTCTTTTAATGTGACATGTTAAGTACTTTCTAATGCTTCAAGCTCACAAAATTTTCAATTTGAGAATGATTCAATTTTCATCAAGGAAAAGGAATTGCATAATATTGTTTGGAGTTTTTTGTTTCAGATCTCGGCATTCCAAATTGGTTGTTGCCTGTTCCATTAAAATATACCTTTGATGTCTATATTTATTCTAATTCAAGTGAAAACAATGTGAAGGTAAATAACAATAATCTAGTTCGATCATAACATAGGCTACTGTACAAAAAAATATATGGTCACTGAGTGCTGCATATGACGGCTGATCAGATATAGCTTCCATCACCATCCATTCCATGCTTCTGTATCATTTAACGGGTGTGTAGATTAAAAAAATAAAAGCTTGATAAAGATCATTTTGTTTTTAATTAAGTGTACTACTATACATAACAGGCTTATGCTATGCTCAGAAGCAAAGTATCCAAGGAAATAATTAAAGATGACACCATTTGTCGCCTGACATCATGGGAAAGAAAAAGGATTCAAGAAATTGAGAAAGATTTAAAAATAACAATTTCTTACTCAAATTCATCACAATATTTATATGGCAAGTAAGTTGAACTTTTTCCAAATTTGCCGGTGATTCTCAAACTTTTTTAGTTTGTGTTAACTAAAAAGTAGGACTGTATGACAGCTAATTCAAAAGCTGTTTGTGCTGGTCTGGCCACAAAGCTATGTATCCATTCTTAATGTAATATTCTTTATATTTGCTCTTATACTTCTGTTAATCTGGTGCGTTCAATTTGGGTTGAGGTAATTCAAAAATAAAGAATATTACATATTACTTATTAAACAATTAAAGCGACTCGAGTCAACCAAATGGAACAAATTAGACTATTCGGACTTTGACTTGTAACTCAAACTTGACTCAGTGATTGACTCCACTTCAGACTCATTTCAAGACTCCAATAACCCACGCTCAACTTAATATGTGAGTCAGGGATCAGGGACTTCTACCCAACACTGGTTTACGCAGTCTTTGGTTAACCATTATCTATCAAAGACAGCTAAAACTGGTGGTAGAGTAGTCACACAAACAAGATGGCAGCGTTGTAGAGGGAAGCTCTATTTGACTCTGACTAATGAGGCATCAATAAGGCATCCTGTGAATTCAAGTTGACAAAAATATAAACCTAAAAAACTTTAGTGTTTGCTGGTTTTTCTGTCCAAAGTACAAAATTCCATCTCTTATGAGCAACAATTTTGAGATTCCAGCTTTGATAGACAGATAGTTCATTTAAAAACCCCAAAATAAAAATAACAACAAAATGAAAACGTAGAATTAATTGGAATGAATAAAACCTCTGAAACGTTTGAAACATGAAAAATATCATGCGCCCTCTCACCAAGCAATGTGACCGACCACCTGGGTATTCTTTGCAGGAGCGGTATATTTGAGTGATAGTTTTATGCATGAACAGATAGTGGTTGTAAGTAATGTATTCCAGGGCATGTCAGGTTTAAAATAGGTAATGATTAGAAATGTACTTATAAAATTGTATTTATGACAAAATCAGTGCATCGCAAATAAGCTTTTCTTTCATAACACACTAAACCTTTCTTGACAATCATTCCAAACATGTCGCTTATCGCACAGAAAAGATCAAATCACAGTTGAAGGACTGAAAACTGATGTAAGCAGAGCTCATGATTCAATAAAGAGTATTTTGCAAGATTTTGTCGCCGCAGAAACATGCGCAACTTTTGTTAAGTGGCAAAAACTATCTTCTCACTCAAGCAAGACTCAATGGACTGATCTACCACTGCATGCAAATTATGCGGTAGAAAAAGCTTATAAGGTGAGTAAATGAATTAAATATAAGATGAATAGATTTTGAGTGAACTGTTAAAATTCAAATTCTTAATTTGAACAATAATAAGGTCTTAGTCTCAAAGCATCAGTTTGATGATTCCTATACAGCAGAACTATTACATTCTTGTATAACGAGTTATATGTTACATATTAATATACACCGTTTTTAGTAATCGAATTAAGAATTCAACTAACATGAATAATTCCTGGGCTGCAAATAAAAGTGCCAAGTTCACGGCATCTTGAGAATATGGTGTAATAAATGGTGATTATTATGTTCAGTGCTTTTCTAGTTGACTTTCCGGACTGAGGGCTTGTTTTTCGTGCTTCTGTCGCACCCCCGAAAAAAATCAATTTTATCGCTGATACATGGACATATTTTAAGGGATCTCCAACTGATTTAACTATTGCCCAAACCAAACATATATTGTCATATATTATTCTTTTTCTCTTTAAGGAATGGGTCACTAGAAGCAAATCCAATTATGCAAATAGCATCACTACCTCTTCAATATTTGTTCATACAATACAAGATCTATATCAAATTGATTTTGAAAAAGTTGAAGCCGACCCAAGTGGTCTGAAATCTACTGGAATAAGAAGAAAAATTATTGAACAAGCAAAATCACACATGGGTAAGAATGAAAAGTGACACCTGTATCAGATTTACATAGATTCCAAAACTTCTTTTTTTTCTCAATTTTGTGAAACTAGAATCATGCTTTGGAAAGATAAACTCAAGTGTAATTTAATGTAATGGCCAAATTATCAGGCCTACCATATGAAAGGAATTGTATACTAAGTTCTTCAACAGCAAAAGAAAATTATTAACAGTGAGAGCTTTGAATCTCTACTAAATTTGAAATTTTGAATGTTCTTAATGAGTATATTGTGCCCCCCTCATTATTCTCAATAAGAAAGCTCTATTGACTTTGACGGGTGTGTTCAAGATGAGACATAACTTTGTAATAGAATTAAAAACACACTTAGGGTTAGTTGACCACTTGTTTCAAAGGCATAGATTTGTTCAAAAGCAAAAGTCGAAGAACCCAATAATATTTTGATAAACATTTAAACGAAGAGTAAAAAATTACTTTTTCTACCATGAAATCCAATTTTAGGTATGATTTGGCAATCATCTCACTTTGATAGTGAATGATAGGTGTTTAATAAAGTAATAGCTGGGGAAAAGCTTGGGCTAAAAAACTTTATTGAAAAGTTATTGTCACAACTACAATCAGGTACGCTATCTTTTAATTCTATTCCATCTTATTGTAGACTTTCCTGCCCACTGGGACATAGTTGCCGGCTCCACCACATTCGAGAAAATTCGTCTGAGCTCTGCTACATCCGAATATAAAATTGTTTTGGGGAAGTTTAAATCAAGTGGAATCAAATTTACAAAAACAAGGGTAGAGATATTAATTTTGTTTTTGTGCTGTGCTGTAATCTTTACTATGGAAAAAATCCGGAGCATAAAACAATGCATTTATTTTAAAACATTGTTCGTTTTCTCGATTCACTTTACTTAGAAGTTTTTTGCTATGACACATACACATTCAACAGTTAGTCTCGAGTCTAGTTCATTCCCAGTAGATTTCAGACTTTAAATCCCTTTAAGTCAAATCGAGTCAAAAGTCGATTCAGAATAATTATAGATTAAATAAACAACGAAAAATGAGTCCTATTGATACAGAAACTGCGGCACTGTAGTAAATCATTATTAACAGAATTATTTTACTATTCCAATAGTTCGCCGAAAAAAATTTATCTAAGTTAGTCGAGTTCCAATGAAGACTTTTTAATTTAGATGACTTGAGTTACTTTATGTTTATAAAAAACGTGACTTGTGTGCGATTCAAGTGGGGTCTCACTGAGCTGAATCTCCTCAACACATTTATCTAATTTCTAATTTTAGTGGTTTTTGCAACCTTTTTTTTATTCATGTTGAAACAACTTTAAATGCATGTATTCAAAATTGTAAAAAATGTATTTGATATTTTAAAACAACCTCAATATTTAGCAACTGGTAACACAGCCCAATCACATAAATTCTGTGCTTAGCTTTAATGAGGTTTACATACTCAGCAGAGCCTGAAAAATGAAACGTACGTTTCAATTTAGATTTATAGAATACAAAATTCTTCATTATACAAGCAATACATTGCTAAACGGCAAGAAGTAAATCATAAACTCAAACGTTCGAGTTATCCGATTGAAAGGGAGTTATTCCATGGAACTACTGAATGGGAAAACATCATTCACCAAGGGTTTGATAAAGGATTTTGCGGTAAAAATGGTGAGTTTTGTATATTTTCTCTCAGCGTTGATCTAAAACTGACATGGGCAAAGTACGGCCCGAGGGCCAAAACCAGCCCGTTGGGTGATTCGATCAGGCCCGCCTGATGCTGTCACAACCAAACTAAATCCAAACTTTGATGTATTAGCTTAAAATAGCTCAAAGAATTTGTTGCGATTGCGACTAGTTTTAGTTTTGACACAAGCCTTATTGTTTTCCACTTTTGCTTTTGTAACACTGTAAATATTGTTCATAAAATGTAACTTTACATAACACTCACATGGTCCGCCAGTCCTGGAACCTCGTCCAATAACCTTGCCCGCCCCTGATCTGATAAAACATTTTTTTTCAAAACAAGAGAGCATGCTCAGATATATTGAAATGAAGGTTGCGCGTTAGTGTATGGTAAGGTCTGAAAGCACTGACCTGAGTCAAACAGAGATTGCATCCCCCATTAATTGAAATTAAACAGAAACATATTAAATGAAATATTCGCTCCAGTTAGACTTGATTGGTTTGTTACGCACAAAAAAGCAATGTTTTCCCAACAAAATAAGAATACCAACAAACGCGGAATTAGCAAAATCCATAGGTCCACTTTGTTTCCATTAAAGGATTTAGAGCGAGATATACAAAATATGTTAACGTACTGATGCGACGTTTTTTTGTAAAATTGTCAAACATTTCCTTTTCAGCAATCTCGTTTGGAAAAGGAGCCTATTTTGCTACAGAATCAGCATATGCGCATTTGTTTACAAAAGAAAATAGTAAACGATTTCGTTTCATGATTCTAGCTGATGTTATAACTGGAGAATATTGCCAAGGAAAACCAGAATATAAAGCCCCACCTCCGAATCCCAGACTTGGAAGTAAAACCGAACTGTACGATAGCGTCGTGAATAACAACCATTCTCCCTCCATATTTGTTATCTTCAAAGATGCAAGCGCTTATCCAGCTTATTTGATTGCATATACATAATGATGTTGTTTTATTTCATGTTTTTGTACACAGCACTATTCTTTGTTATAATTAAAACTACATAACTACCGCATGCGAAAATAATTGGTGGTTCTATCAATTAATTTCTGAATGAGGAAAGCTTTCAAGATTCCATTTCGAGATTGCTGCCGAGAATAGATCATCACAATCATCAAGTTCTATTTAATTGCCACATGCTGCAAAACAGTTCGAAGGTTTTTTTTTGTGCACAATGTACGTATACTTCTGCTTTGTACATGGAACTGTATATATATATTGTATATAACATAGACTTTTAAACCAATTACAAAGCGAATGACTTGGCTACCATTAATTAGCATAGTATGGCGTCCAGTCTAGTTTTCAGGCAATTCTCATGAAATGTGTTTATTTGCTGGAACGTTCTCGGCGTTGATGGAATTTATCAACTAAAGCTTCCTAAAATCTTTCATTTCTTGCAATATTACTTATCATGTATATTATTTAATAAAAGCCGTAATTAACAAATTCTTAATTTCCTTCATTACTCACTTTGCTCTCTTGATTTCATAATCAGTTTTCATTTATTTGATTTTTACCGATCGGTTTGTCGCCTTTCATGCTGATTACGGAGTCGAAATAAACTTATCTTATCTATGATACCGAGTGACCTTGAAAATCCCAATGACGTCATTTGATATTCTGGCGGATTTCGCAGTGATCGAGCAAAGGGAAATAAAATGGCTCATCGCACTTCTAATCACCCTGGGTGGGTTCGCAGGTTCGAATACAGTGAAGAATAATTTTGTGCGAGAAGATTGCTAAACTCCCCGCCATGGTAGGGTAATTTACGTCACCGCATCGGCTTCTGATTCCTCTATTACCATGTATACGAAGTAAATAATTCGTTAGCTGTTTCAAGACTCGACACGGACTAGTAACAACTTGAAGGTGGTCCGTTATGAGATTAAGCCTTCTGGCCGCCTTAGCTCTCCCTATTATAAATATGGAATTCCTATCCAAGATTGAATGGCGGGGCAATTTTGGAACGAAGATAATACGACTTAATTATACAACCCACGACTTACCAAGCCCGAGTGGGCATATTTGGACATGAACCGGTATTATGCGGGGTTTTGCTAATTGTTGAGGATGTTAGAAAATCGCTCTTCCCGCAAATAGTGATGTCAAATTTACAATACACTAGATGTCACCAAGAGTCCATTACTTTTATTTCATTCTTAGAATTCCTCTCAGTTTAGTTAGACAATATCAAAGAAGAGACATTTTTCATGCGTATTGCTCGGTGGTTTTGTATGGCTTATATGCCGATCTGCAAACTCTGTGCTTTCAAGTCGCACAGGACCGATTTACCACATCCGTGTCGAAATACTTGAGCATTGCTCTTTGTTAACTTGTTATTCATCCAAAATGCATGGTCGTAAATATGAAAAGAAGCCTCTTCTGACCGGCGACTGCCCCTCGACTTTAAAGAGCTATCACAATCAGCCCCCTCGAAGGGTAGGATAGGGTTTACCCCCCATATTCATATTTACCCCAGGGGAGAGAGAAATCGAGAAGACGGTCTATTCATATCCGGTTACCTGTACATGCCGGGTATGAGATTAGATATTTGTAGTATTCACTCGATATGGTAAGAGCCTTGCGGGGGAATGGATACACACATAATTTCCAGCCCACGAGATTCGAACCTGCGAACCCGCAAAGGATAATCAGAAGTACATGCGTATTCCGAACCCTATGCCCGATGCCCCATAACGCCGAGCTGGGTATTGTTAGGTAGTGGTACTAAGTAGGCCTACCACTTTAGTACGATTCGCCAACTGTGCAGATGAGCATACGGGCAGTGTTCAGTACAAGAACCTAAAGGCCAAGTCACGTTTTTTTTTTCGGTTCTTGAGTAGTCTGAAGACTGAATTCCAGAAGTTTAAATCTCCCGGCAGTACAATGAAGTTCATGCGTCCGGAAACAAATAAATGGCTAACTAACATCCCATACTCGACATGGACTGGTAACCAGACGAGGGTCCTGCATATAATTAAGCCGTCTTATTGACTTTCCTCGCCCTGGGATAAATATGTAAATCCAACCCAAACTAGTCCGCAATCAACTAATTACACCATAGATGAGAATGTTGATAAATATTCAACATTGAAAATATATCTTGCGACGCAAGTATAATTGCAGCTTGTTAAGAGTGAAGGCGTAAAAAGCTTCACAAAGGCAGTCCAACGCAAGAATCTTATTTTTCATTCTGTAAATTCAATCCAATTCGAAATTTTTGTTTCGCGACGCAAACATAAATGCGGATTGTACACGGCCTTGCTCGGAATGAATGTCTGAAACTTGTTACAAAATAATCTAAGGCGTAAATCTTATTTCAAATTCTCTACAATCAATTTATTCAAACAATACAACACAGGAAAGCGTAATTACACGCTTGTGATGAACAATAGGAAGTTTAGTCATCAATGCGACTTATGAAAACATGCATCATTTCGGAACCTCGTAAGATACCGCTTTAGCATTGCTTGGAATACAGATAACTAATGTCTTGTCTGCATATTTCCTATACTCGGCACGGTGTTGATTGTGTGATATTGTTTTAGAAATATAGAAGTCCTATAAAGGCTCCAGTTTCGCGATAGAGCTAGTGATGTTACTTGTCCTGAAGACTGTAATGCAAAGTATTTTCAACAAGTAATATTTATTTTTTCCAACCGGTGAAAAAATAAATCGTACATAAATTACAAGAAAATGATAATTGGGCAGTTTTTATGGGGAAGGGAATCCATGAGAAACCAAAACTGGGTATCTAGTAGCAAGAGCCAAGGTGCTGATATATATAAAAGTAGAAAGAACACACATGGAAAAGTTGTAAACAACCAGTGAAAAATTCAGAGTATACATAGGTTTGTGTTTGTAACGGGAAGCATTTTAATAAGATAGTTTTTGAGAGGCGGACGAAGTGTAAGCACTTTAGGAGTAAGTAATTTTTATCAGACTTTCGAACACGTCGGGATAGAACCTAATAATATGGTTTATCGTCATTAAAATACGTGGGATGATATATTTCAGACGAATTTACAACTTTTTCTAACTACTTTTATATTTAATGTATTCCTCGAAACTCTAAATTGAAAATTTGAGTGTTAATTTATTACCGCGACCTTTATTTATCTCACGCAATATTTCATATATTTTAATTGCCTCGATCAGGACTTTGACTGCTTCATAAGGGGCAAAGTAAATACATTGCGATCGCGTGATAAAAACGCAATAAACGTTTCATTTATAGAGCGAGGTAAACCCAACCAGGAGAACCAACCTAAATTTCGTGGGTTCTCCACCTCGATGTAAACCAAGTGAAGCGATATATTATTTTCTACCGAACGAAAGGGAAAGTCATTGATCGCCAAATTAGAAAATGATATATATATAAATCGTAACCTAGTTTATTTTGTATAAATTTTTGATTTTACAAAATACACGCAATGTATGAAATTAAAATGCTTCATATTTTGACACAGAGAGATGGTTTATTTATGCGATTGTGAGTGTTTTATGGCGGAGTGGGTCGATTCCAAACATAACTAAACCTATAAGTGTTTATTCTTCGTTGACTGCTGTTATCCATATTTGCGCAAAGCTAAAAATTAAAGTACAACATCAAGAAAGTGCATATTGAAAATTAGAGCGTAGAAAATTTAATGAAATAGATTCCAATTTGTTTAACACCAAGCTTTGTTCTGATTTTTTGTTGCTCAGTATTCTGAATTACATAACGCTCGTATTAGTTATATATAGCGAGAGCTATGGAGCCTCGTTTTATCGGAAAGTGACTTTGACCTGGTTGATATCAAGTGAACGTTCTAAAATATTTGAACAGTTACTGTGGTTTCTAAAAATTTATCGTGACGATTTATAGCCATTCGTGATACAGTACTACTAAGTTGATTATTCTACAGAAAATACCTTAAAATATGAATTGACAGATTTTAAGATCATCACCACGCGAGGATAAGTAACGACGATTAAACGTCGCAATCAACTTCATAACGCTGCTAAATCGTCAGTTTTTAGTATGTTTTCTTGAGCATGTTATATAGGAGTGACTCATTAAAGCTATTTTTCAGTTATTTAGTTAGATATAAAATATGTCTGAATCTGAAATTGGGAAAGTGGTCGACCTAGAAAATGGGGAAGACGGTAGCAACGGTAAGTTATCCTTTTTTTTTTATTCATTGAGGAGGCCTTAATGTTTCATTAGGAATTTGGCCAATAATAAGTTAAATAATTGTTTTAACGAGGCTGAATTATATTGAACTGATGTTATTATCAGTTATTTCATGCGCCACGTTTAATATTACAAAAGCCAACAAACAAACGCAAAAGAATAATAAATACATTACCGTGGATAAATTGAACAAATATCAGCCAATTTACTTCAAATTAATGTAGTAAGGAAGAATGGTATTTAGCGCAAACCTTTGTTAGCGGAAAAAAGGTCGGTGATCCCCTAGGGGCCTAGGACTAGGGGCGTTTTCTATAAATTTGATCGGTTGTCCGGAAAACAACAAAGTGGAGGGGAATTCCCTAATAAAACCTATTTAATTAACGTAGTTAGGTAAGATAACGGATAAAGTTCGCCACAATTTCTACACTGCAAAGTAATAATTTAACATTTTTTAATTAAACAGACCAAGAAAGTGAAACGGTTTTGGCGTTGGCAGGGTTTATAAGTTGAGGTTTAATGCTTACATTTGGTTAGTATGTTAGGCTTTGTGGCAAATAAACAATCTACTTCTCAAATTGCATGCATGTGACTGCTTGCTTAGAGTCTTGTTCAGAGCAGAACTGTGGAACACTCTAAACATAGCACAAATTATTACTTACATTCAAATTTAGAAAAGAAATTTTCTGCTCAAAAGAAAGTTTTTGAAAAAAAGAATATTTTACATTACTGAAAAAAAAAAATTATCTCGGTGCATCATGATTTAATTAGCTGATTATGCTTTCCAGATCCTCTGCTAGCTGATATTAAACTGCAAGATTCATTATCTCAACTTAAATTAAGGAATCAAGAAGAAAATGTAGTTGCAAATACAACCCCAAGTGAAAATACAGGTGAAACTTTCAAAATTTTGAATGGGAATTATCAATTTTTATCGAAACTAATTGTTGATATATCAGAAGAGAAAAATTATCATTTTAAATATTCATTTTATGATCATTTTGACTTTATTTTCCCTTCACTTCACATCCTAACTTTTGTTTGTGAATGCATGTTTATGTTAAACCTTTTCAGTGACTGTTAAAGGAGGAAACTTCATTCAGCCACAGTTGGGACCACAGTATAATGAATTCAAAAAACAAGGTTTGTTGACCTGGAAATATTGAAGTTATTTAGTGATGCATATTTATTCAACTGAAGAGGAAACAAATAAAGCAGCTTAATCATATGGTGCACCATGGTCAATCATGGTTACCAGTCATGTCGGGTTTGCGATTAGTTCGACAGATAACGTCTCTGTAATTCTGTTAGAAAATGACTGGTACAATGAAAATATGGGTGTCACATTAGTATGCGACCTCAGGGGTCTTTATGGGATAAACACATATTAAAACTAAAATTGGTGTCACTTTGATCTGTAGAAGATTTATCCATAAAATCGCTCGCCTGAAAAGATTCTGGAGTATTCCACCCAGATAAAAAAAGTCAACTCTAAGCACCATTAAGTGAGTCTTTGTAACAGTGGCTGCTATGGCCTACTGGAAGGGAGCGTTGGACCACTCAGTGGCGGCTTGAGGAGAGCCTTGTTCAAAGCAGATTGCATATCGATATGTCAAATATTGAAAGTGTGATAATATGTACATAATGTGCTATCTTTATTTAGTCAATTTCAATATTGGATTTAAATGTCTAGATATCATCAGCATCTAAATGATTGTGGCAAATCTAAATCAAAAATTAATCGTAGTTTAGTATTTTGTCCAGCTGAACACGGATTTGATTATTTTTCTCCTTTTTTTCCTACAGATGGCGTAATAGACAGTAACTTCCAAGGAGCAAATTTTGGAACACAAAATATAAAGCATGTTCATAACATACATATATTTCAGAATTCCCAAGGTATGATAAATTTTAGCATCAACAAAATGGTTTTTGTTTCTTCTATAAATATAGGCTCCTAAATAGAAAATCTCATTTCATAAATAGGGATGAAATTGTCAATCAAGGACTTTGTGGCTAAGCACAGTGACAATTAATGCCTCCTTTGAGTCAGCACATCACAATTTCCAGAGCTTTGAGCAGAACCAGCCTTGAGCCCCTATATGTGCATTAGACCCCATACTTCCATAGGTCCTGCCATATTTCAATGTAAAAAAATGAAATTTAAAAATTATTATCATAATGGTTCATCATATTAATTTTAAACAGGAAGGACTTATAAAGTATATCGTAGTTTCTTTTTTCTTGGTTTTGTACTAATGTAAAAGGTAGATCCGAATCCATTTCCTATTACAAAATCATAATTTTTGGTTATTATCCTCATATCTACCCAGATTGGACCATGTACAATTCGTTTTGCACAGGGCATCATATAGTTAGAGCCGGTCCTAGTTTTAGTCAAGCCAAAATAACTAAATTGAGAATAGGACTATGAATGTATACAGAATTTTTCAAAGCAAGTACTCATTTCCTCAATAAAAAGTTGAAAAAAGAATGATAGAATAGTAGTGACCTTAATTGTGCCGATATATATCACCACCAGTAAGGATATCTCCATTTATCCCCGGGGAGGAGAGAGTCAATAAGACGGCTTATTCGCATGGTACATTACGACCGTTAGTCTGGTTACCAGTCCATCCATGGTATGGGATGAGTACCAGTTATTAGTTTCAGATGCATGAACTCGATGGTGATAACTGACCAGTGGTTATTGGAACCACCAAACTTGTTTCCTAGCTTAATCATGTCGTAGTAATCTATTTTGATGTAATTTCAGGCTCTTCTGATAAAAATGCAAAACCAACCCATTCTAATAATGCAAAGCAAGTAGCAGAAGGTAAGCTGTGGTTATTTTTTTAAAGTTATCATAACAATAAGTAATGTGGGCTGAAAATGTTTTTACAAGGAAATACTCTTTGTTGCAGCCAATCTAGTTATTTTATTTGTCGTGCTATGAGTCATAAATTTTAATGCAATATACTAATAATGAATGATTAGAGAAGGGTTAGGCTTGCATATTCAACCCGGGGGACAAAAAGCCAGCATGACGACCTAATAATATGGCTCATCCACTGCCTCTTATCTGGTTACCAGTCAGTGTTGGGAATGGGGATTAGTTAGCTAGTTATCTGTTTCAGATGCATGGACTTGATGGCGGACAGAGTCATAAACGACCAGTGGGTATTTGAACTACCTTATGGCGTTAGGTAGTCAAGCAATCTTTTCACACTTAATTGTCCCCTTCATGATTCGAACCTACAAACACAGCCTTACCAAAAATAGAATCTCTTTACATATCTTTAAATATCAATGGCTGTATGTAACTTGTAAAGAGCCTTGTTTGGAGCAAAAGCCCAAGTACGTGTTGTATAAAAAATCAGAGATCTATTTTGAATAATCAACATATGATAACATTTATTCTAGTAGTCATCACTGTTATCATAATGTTATGATAACAAACCTTACTTGCAGTTATATGAGTCAAGTTCCACGGCACTCCACGGTTTCAACAATATAATCCCCTGTTCTGCAAGTCTACAATAAAAAACGAGAGCATATATTAATATATGTATATTGCTATAATATATTTAAATACTCATTAGCTTTGCAACTTACTCAACTTGCCTCACTTTAAAGATCATTTTGTTTTACTTGTATTAGGTTTGCTTCTGTACATATATTTATGGTTTATTCAATTCAGACTATTAAACAATTAATTGCACATGGGTTTTTTGAGCCTTCAAAATTTTTTATCGGGTTCAGCTCTACAGAAAAGATTTATACTACCATGTTTTCCCCCAAAATAAGACCTAGCCTTCTTTGGAATATGATTTTAATATAAGCCCTTTCCTTGAAATAAGACCTAGTCGAGCGTGAAAAAAAAATGGTACTTAGGTGAATTGATATCGGTTTTCATATTATGTATATTTGAAAATCTTGTAATCCTCTACTTTGTAATTTTGTTTTTAATCAAAAAAAATAAAAGACATCCCCCCAAAATAAGGCTTATTGTTATTATCGAAAAGAAAATTGAAATAATACCCTGTTTAATTTTCGGGAAAACATGTAACTGGAAGTTCAGCAATCTTTTTTTACAGCATAAATTTTCCCTCAAAATAAATTTTTCCATTTTGTCTCCACCAAATTTTTTATTTTTATTTAGATTGGGTTCAACTATCGAATACTATTGGGATGTTTTCATCTAAAAAGATTTCAAAATATGGCAGTGTCTACGAAGGGGCAATAACTAGTGACATTTGTGAACCAAAGCCTGTAGCTATAAAGTACTCAGAGTATAATGAAACAAATGTCAAAGAAGCAAAACTTTTAGACAAACTCCCCCCACATGAAAACGTTGTTACTATGTATCACTGTGATATACACTGTCAAGGACCAATGAAATATATGTACATAGCAATGGAACTATGCCACAAGGAATCATTGGGAGAATATATCCATACGCAAAGAGACAATGGACTACCTTTTAATGCAAAATTGAGTATTTCATATTCCAAAATGGTTGTTGATGGACTAGACTTCATCCACCGGCATGAAATAATTCACAGGGATTTGAAGCCAGAAAATATTTTACTTTCAAGGGATTGTTCTGTCCTCAAAATTTGTGACTTTGGACTTAGTAAGCAATTGGATAAAGGACGTTCTTTTACAAAACAGACAATGCTACGCCTGGGAACCGATGGATACAGGGCGCCAGAAACTTACAACTCAGGTGATATATCGCAACATGCGGATATTTACTCTCTCGCCCTCGTAATATATTTCATATGGAGTTATGGTGAACATCCTTTTGGAGATGACCCCGATGACTGGAATAGCAACATAAAACGAAACAAAAATCGAAACTTTGACCGCCTACAGCTGTATGAAAAAGTTACAGCCACTAAACTGCTGGAAAGCATGCTTGAGTTTGAGCCCAAGTCTCGCCCAACAACAGAAATCATACTGAAGAATATGATATGGTATGACACTCAACCAACTTATGGTATGGCTCCTCAGTCACTCACTCAACAAATAGGTAAGTAGATAGTTAGTTCTTTGTATTTTTAGGAGTTTTTTTGCACTTTTTAAATAACGCTTTGGGTAAGCAAGCACTGGTATGTAGAGAACTATTTTAATTTTTGCAAGGAGTGAATTCTATCTTACATATTGTCAGGTAATCATGGATTATTCATTATCAATGGCTGCTTGTACAGCGCTAAAGGCGAGAATGAACCTTTTCAGTTTAGATATTCAAATAAAAGTTGAAAATAAATCTAAATTTTGTATGTAATTAAGAAATGTTCACAACTTTCTCCAAGAGCAGGGGTGCGCACCAAAAGGTATGGAAAGCTGAATTTGGCCCAAATGCCGCAGTTTTCCTAACTCTATCTTAAATCATACTATTATCCTTGTTTTTAACATGCATTGATTGTAATACATATTACGGTATATAATCAAAATAAACCTATTCTTTTCAAACTTTGTTTTTTAGTTCCAAGACAAGAAGAACCATCGGTCAAACATGAAACAAAAATGTCTGAAACCACAGAAGTACAACATATTATGTATGATAATAACATTGGAAAATATTACAAATGTTCAGAAGAGAAAAAATTTCTTGAGTTTGTTGAAGAAGCATACAACTGTAAAATATGGTCAGCGTTTTCAATAGATGCAGTGAGTGTTTAAAAGAATTACAAGAACAACCTTACAACGACAACATTATTGCAATGACAATGTACATCATTGTCTCCCACTGGATTTGAATGTATCATTTTGTGAATAGTAATTGTGATATGGAACGAGTCTTTTCAAAACTTTACTGACTCATTTTAACTTTGTTACTGTAAATTACATGTTGAATTTGAAGTTTTGTTTCAAACCAGTGGTATGCTGCATTTTTTGTCGGTTGGCCATATAACCAACTTCAGACATCTGGCTGGGCCACACAAAAAATTTAGTTTTCCCATATACACAACTAATAATAAAAAATTCTCACAAACTTTTATTTATTTAAAATTCTAGTGGGACACTTGAAATTATTAGTTCTTGCTTAGTTTGTTAACATTAGCTTTGGCAGAAATTTAGCAACCCTAACTGATCAGTTATGCCCCTGTTCTAAACGAATTTTTTCATTTTGCAGAAATGTCAGAAAATAAGTGCAAGCTTTGGTCCTGTTATTGTGTCAATATATGAAGGAGATATTTTGAATGAATCAAGCGATGTTATCGTTAGCAGTAAAGGTAAAATTTCTAAGAATCTTTTATTTATTATTTTGTCTTGAAGAGCAAAACAAGATTATGTTCACAATATAGGTAGTAATAGGGCTGACCTTTACTATGGCAAAAATGAAAAATTACTTTTTATTACTTTCCATTCCACTTTATTAAGATCCACTATGGAATGATAATAACCCTGTATAGGAATATATATGTATATATGGTCGCTTTTACAAACAATAAGGTCTGGTTGGGGATTTATTCATGCAGAAACCATGAATTGGATCTGAAGCAGATTTGCAGATGTAATCAAACATGCGACACATTATTGGTGATCTTTTAAAATTTGTGGTCTCAGTTGCTGCAAGCTCTCAGTTTGGCCAGAGAAAATGTTAGTCTCATGGACAATTGCACTCTGTTCTTTTTGCTTCATAGTTTTAATAGGACTGCGTTGCTCCAGAAGTATGCACACCAAAATGTTGTACAATGTGAATCCTAACCGGTACACACATATCATTTTCAGGTTGTGCGCCATCCTGGTGCGCATACTTCTGAAGGTCCAGGTCTGCTATTCTGAAACTAAATTCAAAGTTCATTTGATACTTCAGTGAGCCAGATCATGGCAAGTAATTTTGTTCCCTTAGTCACACACTCCTTGGTATACAATATTGATTATCCCCAGGGAGAGGAAAGTCAGTCAACAATCCGGATCGAGTATGGAAATAAAAACCTAGCTAAAGAAAGTCGATTGCCATCCAGTTATCGTTTCATATAGGGTATGGGACAATTTAGTTTATTCCCAATGCATGTAGGAAGCGACCCCGTAATTCAAAACAGTTACAGAGGGAGAGATTTATTTTTCGTCAACCAGAAATAGAGAGTAACAATACAAAAATATACAATAACATACTCAAAGTTTTTCGGTATAGACTGGGAGGATACGATAATCAGAGTCAGATCCCCCCATAAACAGGCGCTACCTCGGTACAGAAAAGGGTTGGTTGTAACACTGCTTCAAAATATATCAACTGTTCTTTATTTAATTCCAATTACTAAAACTGGTGAATCCTATTAAGGAGTGATTGAAGAATCGATTACACGTAAAGTTGGAAAACAATTAAAGGAAGTACTTTGTCTTGCACCGAAGCCAATAACAATAACAACCAGCGGGACTTTACCATGCAAAAAAATTGTTCATACAGGTTAGTTGGAAATGGTTTTTGTATATTTCCTATATAGGGTAAGATTTAATTTTTTTCAAACGTTGCTTTTAAGTTCCCTCTGTTTATTTGTGGGAAATGGTTTGATGTTCTGTAGTGTAGTGTTGGCCGCTTTTAAGTCTCCACCGTATGCATCAGCAGAAACGTGCCATGTCATTATGTTTTGGCCTGTAAAAAAAGTTGGCTATAATAATTTTTTCTGGATTTCATCAAATATACCTTATTGTGTGATTCAAGGGGATAGGATTTACATATTTATCCTGAGAAAGACGAGAGCTGATACGACCACCCAATTATATAGCGAACCACAGCCTCTCGTCCGGTTGCCAGTCCATGTTGGGTATGGAATTAGTCAGGTATATGCTTTCGAAAACATGGATTTGATGGTTGAAAAAGCTGTAACCGACGAATATTCTTATATATTTAAACTACCGTATATCCTCCTCATATAAGCGAAGTTTAAAACCTCAAAAAAGTTGCCAAACTGAAGCGTCGGCTTATACGCACATAACTTTGATTGCACTAAAAATTCGGCTTGTACGCGTATGACTCTGATTGCACTTGAAGAAAATGACATTTCATGAATTATTATCACAAACCTAAACTGGACGACATTATCCTTACCGACGCCAAGCTAACAATAAAATCCACAAAAATACCAAATAATATTTAAGAGGTATTTCATGCATTGTAAATTGAAAGAAATGCAAAAATTTCCCGTTATGTGGGGTCACTAAGGAGGATGAAAACATTTAATTACGACACAATTTGCTTTTAAATTTATTGCCATGGTCGCCCAGGATATCTGGACTATGTTAAAATAACAATGATAGTTGTAAAATATTTCCAATCAAAAAAATCCTCGACGTGTTGAAATAACGATAATAATTATAAAATATTCGAAAACATCCTTCAAGTCGGTGCTGATAAATCCTCTCATGTTGGCAGTAAATAATTGTCACACAGCAACCAGCTGTCTTCGATTACGATAAAACATGATATGTAATAATTGTAAAATGTTTTCATGTGGATGGCTAGGATGTGTGCGCGATATTCGACTTTCTTATTAATAATAAAAACGATATCACAAGGTAGAGAATAGCGATACCAATATTACATTTGATTTGGACATTGGGTTGAATTGAATTTTTAATCCTAGTGATTCCACTCTCGCTTGCTGACCTTCCTGGAAGAATATTTGATATTTTGGAAGAAGTGGAGAGACTGGGACATGAATCAGTAAGCTTGCCAGCTATTGGAACAGGTAAGTTGTCAAACATATTTATTTTGAATTTTATCAAGTTCATGTATATGCACTAATAGGAATCAAACTAGCATGTCCAACGTATAAGCCGGAGTCTCCATTGTTGTTTCATTCAATATGTATGTCACTTTCTGAAATACAAGCCCTGAATTGGATGTCATAAGTGGTTACTAACTACAAGAAGCAACTCTCTCTTCAGGTCCCTATTAGGATTTACATATTTCTCTCGGGAAAGAGGAAAGGCGATAAAACAGCTCAGTCATATGGCATGATAGTTAACCAGTTATTTGCTTCACATGCATGGAATTGATGGTGGAAAAAGTTTTACCAACTAGCGATTACATGAATCACCCAATGGCTGCAATGAGTCAAGCAATCCTCTTGCCCATAATCACCCACACAGTGTAATCAGAGGTGCGATAGCAAGAGTATATTTGGTGAAATGACACTGATTTCATTCATATGAAAACTATTTCAACTAAACGGTGAAACTTTCCTCGACTTTTACCTTCTGCAGGATATGCTGGACTAACGTTCTCTGAATATGCGGAGGCAGTGAGGAAAACGTTACTAAATGTTTCCCTAACAGGAACATACTGGCACCACCTGAGCACCATTAATATTGTTTTACTTCATGAAAATGATGTCAGACTTGTTCAAGATATCATATTCAGTAAAAATGAAGGTAATTATGTTAAGCAGGTATTGGTGATGTCCCCTTGAGGGCGCCCCAGAAGTGTATTTACCAATATGGAGGTACGGTAACTAATTTTGTACGTCTACTTTACACCATGTTGTGTAAAGGGATTGATTACTATGGACATGGGGTATATTCACTTGGCTAACACAGACAGTCCCTGAACTCCCCGAACCACCTTGAGAACTAAACACTTAGGATAGTTAATGTTAAAGTATCATACAATTGGGACTAGACAATTGAAATCCCTATGTATTACTTGTAAGAATATAATTATGCCAATCAATCAAGATACATTATGCATATATTTGTGGGTTCAGGCTCAGTGCCTACTTGTTCTATGACACACAATTGGTCTCTTTGCACAGTGCTCATACACGATGTCGCACCATTTAAGATTTGAATTTTCGTTGTCACCGAGTTAGCACCTTGCTTATTATGTCTTGTGTATTGTTGCTAAAAAATCCATCCTTCATTTTGAGAACTCAATCACGAATGTAGGAATAACATTCAGCACATACCTTAACAAACCACTTGAAAAATTCTGGAAATAGCCATGTGGAAATAAATTAGAAATATTTATACATTATCAATTTGTATTTTAGAAAAGTCTGGAAGTGAGAAGATAGACTCAACAAGCTTTCTCTTTAAGTCAACAGACATTTCAAGAATTCACAAGGTCAGGTGAATGCTCTAAAACAGGGGTGTGCAATCTTTTATACAGGCGGGTCGGATGCAAATAACTGGGCAAAACCGTGGGCCTCATCTCTATCTAACATGGGATTTCTAGTAGTTTGCAGGCATAAAAGTTTTCAAGCCAGCTGTTGGGGCATTGAAAAGGTGTACGTATCAGGTATAGACTTTGCAGCGCTAAACGCATACCAGATTAAACTAAATTAAAAACTTGTTTCGCTGGCTGCACACTATTCAAAATTGGCACCCTCTTCGAGGGCCGCACAATTTTTTTTCGTGGCCCGCGGCCCCCTACTCTAAAACAGTTTCCCTAGCTTGGGTTTGCGATGTCTGGCTTTCCCATGTTTGGCATACTATATTAGATGCAGGTATGCTAAATCGTTCTTCCAATATTCAGACATACCCGTAGATGTTCAAACATTCTTACATTATAATTTCTAGCAGGGTAAAATTATGTTTTAAGCATCGTGCATAATTACGATATGTGCGGCAGGATTACTTGCTGTCATATCTTGGCTTACATAACTGCTGGTCAAATACAAATTTACTCCACCATTCACAATTTCGCTGGCTAACTATTTTCATGACCGGATTAAAATGGTTTTTGAACTTGAGGTTCTTGTAGAATGTAACAATCACATCAGTTTTCCTTTCCCCTAAGATAAATATAAAAATTGTATCTTAATATATACCAACATTTGTGCAGGCTATAAGATTTCTTGTTGATGAAAGACACAAAAGATTAGCAAAATTTTGGATCTACAATGACTCATTGCTCCATCTTTCTCCTGATACTAAAGAGAAAATCAACAAAGCTGGAAAACAAAACAATGTCAAGATTGTAATTGCATACAGGTATTATTGTTTATTTGTTTAGAATAGAATTTACATATTTATCCTGGGGGGAAGAAAGCCAATAACATGGCATAGTCATATTGCGAACCACTGCCTCTCGTCCGGTCACCAGTCCATGTCAGGTATAGGATTAGTTAGTCAGTTACTCGATTTCGGATGCATGGACTTGATGGTGGAGGAAGCCGTAACCGACCAGCGGTTACGTGCACCACCCTACAGTGGCGAGGAGTCCAGCAATCCTCTCGCACATAATTATCTTCCACGGGATTCGAACCTGCGAACTCACGCAATGCATTTAGAGGTGTGGTGGCAAGCGTATTCCTAAAGCTTAGCAAGATGCGCTACACTGTATGTGAGAGGGGCCACTTATTGAGATATATAGCTCACCTGTGGGTTATGTGGCTGATCAAAATAGGACTGAGCAGCAGTAACGTGAACACTCTTCGGCCATGAAAAGTTCAGCAATTTTCTCACACAAAATTAACCCAACAAGATTCGAACCCCAAACATGCTTATCAGAGATGCGATGGCAAGCGATTCCTAACGCTTGACATGATGCGCCAATTTTTAGCTGATTATATGATAGATTTAAACGCTTCCACTCTGAACAAGACTCTGTTCAGGAAGGGAGTACTAGATAGGGATCTACAGTGGTAAATCATGACTGGGTAATGATCTGTCTAACCTGGATAATTCCTTATTGTATTTTACCTGTTTATGCTCAAAGCAAGTAGGAAGCATCTAGGAAAACTGATAGAAGCATTGTGCTTGAACAATAAATGACAGGCTAAGATGCTTCCGAAGAAGGAGCTTCATCATTTTTTTTTTGGTTGAAGTCAAATTTTCATTTGTGTGCAGTATTACTAATGTTGATTCCTTAATTAGAATGTAATACATATTTAATGCTCACATTACAAACCTTAAAAAGTTGCGCATATCAGTAGTTATAGAGTTTTTGTTCATAGTGAGAGGGAATACATTAAAATAGGACCACTGCGCTAGCTGTATAGGTTTATTTTGAAGACAGAGATATCAGTGGATATTGGTTGACATACGATTTAATATGAATAACCTTAACACTGTTATTTGCTTGCGGTTCAAGATTGAAGAATACCATGCTGCTTGAAGGCCAGGCAAAAAATGTCATGAAAGTTCATAAAGTCATCAAAGAGAAACTTGGAAAAACCATCAGTAGAGGTAACATATCTATGTCGTAAATTTGATGGGAGCCGAATATGGTTTTTCTACAAAGGCTTATTGGTATATTAGAGTTCCTCTTGCTTTATGTTGTGAATGTTTACTTGAATATATATTAATATGAAATCTGTAATGCATTAGTTTTATATCGCAAATAACGGAGAACTGAAAGTCCTTAACTCAACTTTACAATTTGAATGAATTGGTATGATTTCTTAAAGAGCATTTTAGTGTTCCCAGCTAAATGTAATATTATTTTTAGGTGGTTCTTTCCGAAGAAATGCCCTAACCTCGAAAACATCAAAAGAGTTGCAAGAGATGTAGCCAGAAAATCTGACTCAATTAGTGGAAATTTTTACCTTCAGACTGCTGCAATAACTATCTAATCACAGATAACTTCAAGCATGCATCAAGACATTAGTTGCCCATTTTGTACTGTTAATAAAAGCCTATTTATTATCTTGCACTGAGAAAACGCCAATCATGAAAATAAGACTGCTGGTTTAATTTTCTCTAGTATAATTACGCAAAAAAAATTTGCTTGGCTCCACATGCTGGCTGTACAAATTTTTTATGAAAAACCAAAATCTTGAGTAGAGTCCTATCAAAGCAGTCATGTTTACTCTTCCATTAGTTTTATAGAAGTGATGGACTAGGCTATGAAATCCCAAAAACCCTGAAAATTATATGCCAGAAGGTTATGAGACTCCTTGCTGTCATGAGGTTGCTCACATTCTTCCTCCACACTTCAGTCCATGCATATGTAATGAATGAACTGGTAAACTATCTCATAATCAATATGGACTGTAACTAGACAAGAGGGCGTGGTTCATTATGTGACTAAGCCATCTTGTTGGCTTTCTTCCCCTCTCCATAATTCTCTGAATATATTCTATGCAAGACTGTCACGACAGCTTTAAAATTCATATTTTATTTTCTTTCATTGAACATTCCTGCAAGTCGAAACCAATGCTTATTTAATTAATGTTTTGCGAGTATTCCAGTATTTTTAGAAAAAGCATTTGAAGTTGTCAAGCGCTTATTGACTGGCAGTAAAGTCTTCAGACAATTTAACCCACTCTAGTCTAGTTTGAAAGTTGAATTGGCTCAAAAATAATTCAATATTAGCAAATGAGGCTTAGCTACAGTTGAATTTTCCTATACAACTATGGTCCCAAATTCTAATGTGAGCTAGTAGTAGGACTGTGCATTTTCGAATACCCAATAATTTTAGAATCGAATCTCGAATACTTGGAACTAAGATATGCAGTTGTAACTTTTTATTGCAATGGGTCCTTCAGACACATAAATCATTGAAAACATAGAATCCATCACTCAGTTAGCTCAGTGATCGTGTTTCGTCGATCACCTATTTCGACTAAAAGAGTTGTATGTCAGAATTGCATTTTTAAAAATATAGATTCAAAAAAATTGTTAAGAATTATTGACCTTTTGAAGCACGAAACGAAAAAAAGATAGCAGCGATTTGAAATGACCAACCCTAGTTCCCCAAATATGGCTTCATACCACTCTTGCACCACTTACTGTTTTTTTATTTACTCTGACGCACTTCATTTAAATTATGTCTTTTCAGAAATTGCTGAGCATGTTAAAACTTTCACTTTCTAGTTTACAATTTCGCTTATCCATTAAAGTTCATGTTTTTAGGTTCCTTTATTTTTATATTTGAGTTGAAATAAATGGAAAACACCATTATACACATCAAAGTATTTAATTTGAAGCTTAATATGTTAGTGTGGGAGGATGTCTACGTGGAAAGCAATTTGGATTTCACTATGCTGTAAATAGAATATTGAAAAGTTGCACTACGCTGGAGACAGTATCTTCGCAATGAGGGCATAATAACATACATCCGATCCGATAACACCACCCGATGCAGGTCAAAACTCCTACCTCCAACCCCCCTGCGGGGTCAATTTTCCTACCACAAGGAAGCCCTGCATCACATCATTTGTATAGCTAATAGGTTACTTCGTCCATACTACCAAAAAAATCGGGGGCATTGTGGCAGACCACAATGGACTTTGCACACACTGGATCATTAGTCACTGTCAGATGAATCATTTGCTTTACTGACTTTCTGTCTTTTCTTTCGTCTCCTGCCCACAGTCTCTTCATCAGAACTGCTGTTTGAACCCGAATCGGATTCATTTTTATATGATGGCTGCGTTTGTCTGAGTCTTGCGGTGACACCACTGGTTCCAGATCGTGATGCGGTAGATTTTGTGCGCTTCCTTGCATGTCTTAAATCTTTAACTAAAGTTTCTTCTTCAGAGTCTTCAACAACGAGAGCAAAAAGTTCGCTAAATTTTAATTTGTCACTATCATCGCAGTGCGATTGAACATACGTTAATGACGCAATTAAAGAGTCTTGGGTGAAAAGTCCGCAACTTTTGGGTAAGTTGTTTTTCCTCAATTCCTCCAAATGACCTAAAAGATGCAGTGTCGTGGGTTGCGTCGTTTGAAGTAGTCCGGTTTGAGAAGAACGCACACTTTGACGTAGTCCTTTTCTAGGAGGCGTACTTCTTGGTTTACTCTTATTCAAAAGTGTACAAATATGTTCCGTTATTTCATTCTCATGGTGCAAAACCCAATGCCGTAAAAGGGATAAAGCAAAATTATCATTATCACGATAATTTCGAGCAGTGATGTGTCGGACCATATCAAGAGTTGGTTTCTTGTGGCGAAAAAGCAAAAGAAACATTGTTAAAGCTTCCGGGTGCTTTCTATGTGACAAGTTAGCCACTAATGGAAGGGCTACATCAGGGGCAATATCATGAACAGCTAATAAGTGCCAAGTGCTATACTGCTCAAACGTTTCCCATTCTAAACTTTTCATGAGAACATTCAAAACAGAATCTTTTTTCATCATAATTAATTGGCCAGTCATGGCCAGACACTGCAAACGTTGCAACTGCTCCGAATCCAAAACTGCTACAATCATATTCAACAATTCGGCGTTGTCTATACAATGTTCGGGAAAATGTTTATAAACATGCGGAACTAGGTATATCAACATATTGACGTCATCGTCTTGGCAATGCTTCATGTCCATCATAAGACAATTATACGTTTCTGCGAGTTGCGTTGACTGCGCAAAAGATTCGTAGACCATCCAATTACTTTCTTTTAATGTAGGGTTTGGAACTGCTAAATAAAACAACAAATGATAACCCAACCTTTGTTGTAAAGTATACATTTCAGCTAAAAGTGAAAGCAAAACACTGAAAGAATCATCTTCTTCTCGGCCTTGGCATAATTTACGGAAAATTACATACAGGGGTTGTTCAATACACCCCGCCAAATATTCATCTGATAGTTCATCAGGCAAATTTGAACGACTGAAATTTTCAGAAAAAAGTTCAACCAAACATGAAGCAAGTGGAGTGCAAACTTCAGCGTCAAATTCTTCAAGGGACAAAAGGTGGTCGATGATGTCCTCAACACGTTCGCATTTTTCTTCTGTGTCGCTTGTAGTTGAGTTCTGCATTTGTGTAACGAGGTCTTTGAGTGTTTCGTCAAGTTTTTCAATGTCCTCGGTAATATCTCGATGTTCTAGCTTCGGTGAATCTCCCAGCGGAAATAAATATGCATCTTGATGTTTGTTAGATTCATCCTCTTCATCACTGAATATTGCGAGACTATCTTGTCCGGAGGAGTCCGCTTCTTCTTCTGTATCACCAATGTTACTGTGACCTTTGACCTCATCAGGGTCATCTTCAATTATCATTGGTTCTTCTCCAATGATGTCGTCACTAGGTGGCGGTGGAGGCATCGGACCAGAGTCCGGTGGTAACGGTGGTTTTCCATCTGTACCAACAGCACAAAACTCAGGAAATGTGGAGCGAATTAAATTTAACAATTCGGGGTCAAATTTGGGGTTATCAAAAATTGGGGCAAGGGAAGCAAGAACACGCTTCTCGAGAATTGTTTTTAATGCAGTACTGACGCCAGCTCGTACTTGATCGAACATAGGGGGATGAAAATTTTTGACAATACGACACAAGAAATCTAGTAGGGTTGTTGTAATGGCTGGATGATTTCTTAAACTGTTAAACATCACTAATACTCCAGCTTCGATGTCCATGACACTGTTTTTATCTGGGGCATAGAAAAGCCAATCCCAAAACAAAGCTAAATAGCTATATGATGACGCCACTCGAGATGTACAATTTGACAGAAGCCATCCTATAACGGCCCAACGTGGAATTATATCAGAGCATAGTATATCATTAGAAGGATGTACACATCCACAAATATAACGAATCAAATCGCCACGTAGTAGTTGACTTTCTGGGGTGGATAAATATTGTCTCTGGAACCAGTCTTGATAACGTTTCTGTTGACCAAAGCGTACTTTCAATAATAAAAATGCAACCTTTGATTCCATGTCAGATGTGAGTCTTGACACTAAGAATTTTCTTGATGTACGTGTTTGGACTAAAGATGGTAGGCCGGTGAAATTTGGTGCCAAACTTTGCGGCTTGTGTATTAAATCAGACCATAATCGCTCAAACTCTGGAATCCTTGCAACTCCCATTAGGAGCCTCACCAAATCACGTCCGATTGCTCTGCATTCGTTAAAGTGTTCTCTGAGCGTCGTAACACAAACTGTCACTTCTTTTTGGCGAACAGCTGCGAATGAAGGATGAAAATGGTCCTGAATTACACGCAAATATGTAAAAACCGTTGTTTGAATCAAAACTGGTGATTTATCCATCCACGCTCGATTGATTGATAAAATGTCAACAATATTTTCAGCTAACCATACATTTTTTGGAGTAGTATCACCACCAATTATTTGTTTCATTAAAGATATGAAAAGTCCATCAGTGCCATGAATGTTAATTTTAATCAATTCGTTCATGAACCATAAGATTTGTGCTCGAGCCACGTCCTCAATTTTTATAAACTTTTCCAAAATTAACAAACTCAATCTTGAGAGTACAACATTCAAACTGTCTCGGTTCACCATCATGAGCTCTTGAGTAGCCTTCGGGCCGAGATGCCTATCGACTAATATTATAGCAAATAGTCCAAGGCATACGTCATCATGTTCTGCATTGCCTTTGGAGACTTGATTTGTTAGGATGTCATGCCGTTCTCTTTCCGAAGTAGCGTTTGACAATAGATTAGTGATATTCGAGTGGCATGTTTCCAGTTTTTCTTCTATTTCATCTTTAGCATCGATTGAAGTAGATGAGAAAACACGAAACGTACGAACAGGTGAGTGTGACATTGTTGAATACAAGTCGCTCCCAAAAAATCACATAATTTTTATAATGCTGTAAAATAATTTTAATTCATCAAAGGAAACTTTGAGAATTGTGGTCTAGTATAGTTTAGTACCACATGCACTTCTGATTGGCCTGGCTCAACAGTTTTTGCATATATGTCATTCCTAACCCCCACCTGACTATGTCACCAGAAAATTATGTCACTACGACGACCCAGTAGCGTATGAACCCCTCCAAAGTGTACGGATGAATGCCGAAAACGCACAGACAATTATCCGAAATCGAGCAAGCTATTTCTCTTGTTTTCTCGATGCAACAATCCCGATATGAGAGAAATCGCTGGCTTTTGTGATCGTAGCTATAATGTACTTTGGCGGCAAGATCTATGACGTGATTGTGACATCGTAGTGACGTAGTCTTTGGATGACATAGTCAGGTAGGTGTTAGGGAACACGTATGCAAAATTCGTTATACTACGCCCACCGGAAGTACTTGTGGTGCTAAACTATACTGGGGTCTAATGTGGTTCAGTACCACCAGTACTTAGTACTGGGTTTATCATGACCATTTTTGCATACGTTATTCCCAACCTCCATCTGACTACGTCATCCAAACGTACATCACTACGACATAACAATCACGTCATAGAGCTTGCCAAAGTATACCTACGATTGCCCGAAATGCCATTCCAGTACGGCACACTATACAGATCAAGCGACATTGTCTGGTTTCAGAGAAACCCATTTTACCGATGATCAGACACCCCTCCTTCAGGAGACATCTGAACATTGTTGTCCCCCAATATCGATAAATATAATAACGTCATCATTGAACTTCTCTGGAAAATGAATTATCCAATTCAACGAAGACAAAGATTTTTACTGTGGCATTCGAGAGTTTTTAGCAAAAAAGGGCAATTTTGGTCATATGACGGCCGTGATTAATTTAGATTACTAGTGAGACAAGCATGGGGCGATATGAAGCATCTGACGTGGTGCCAGACGTCCCTTGTTTGTGAGACACATGGAGTGTTTGTTTTATTGAGCAAAATTCTTGGAATTTGGATACCGGTAGTGTGTCATACTGCATTTGCACCGACGACAAATACCTCACTAACAGCAGCGATCTCTCTAATATCGAGATCGTTGTGACGAGAAAAATAGTTTGCTCCATTTTGGGTGATCGACTATGCCAGGGTTTCCCAAACTGGGGTCCGCGAACTCCTGGGCCCTGGGGGTCTGTGATGACTGCACAGGGGGTCTGTAACGATATGCAAAGTCTGATTGACCCTTGATGATTAATATCAATCAAAAAGGCATTGCGTTTTTTTGGTTGGGCGTTACAGACGAAAATCGATTGATGTCAGAAAAGGCAATTGAAATTTTGCCTATTGCAATGAACTACATGTATAAGGCAGCATTTTCAGCTCTCAGTGATATGATGACAAAAATACAGGTCAAGACTTGCTGTAGAGATAGGCTAAATGTAGCAGTGCGAAGCAACTCAATCCATCATATCAATGTCGTTTGCATTTTTGTGTTGCAAATAAAATATCAAGCTTCCTCGTATCGTAGGTTACGTACTTAAATTGATACTGCAGTACTGTGATACGACATAGAATGGGGGTCCGTCAAAACTAAGATTCTTGAATACGTGTCCGAGGCCCAAAAGTTCGGGAAAGCCTGGTCTATGCGTCTTGGATGACTGCTGGTATAGTTTGAAGGGCCATGCGACATCGCAGTGATGTAATTTTTGGATGACGCAGTCAGATGCGGCGCGGCGGTGTGGCTCAACGGGCTAAGCGTTAGGAATACGCTCGCCACCGCACCTCTAACTAATCTGCGTGGGTTCGCAGGTTCGAATCCCATGCAGGGATGGTTATGTGCGAGAGGATTGCTGGACTCCTCGCCGTCGTTGGGTGGTTCACGTAACCGCTGGTCGGTTACGGCTTCCTCCACCACCAAGTCCATGCTTCCGAAAACAAACAATACAGTAAAACTAATCCCATACCCGACTTGGAATGGTAACCGGACGAGAGGCAGTGGTTCGCCATATGGATAAGCCGTCTTATAGGCTTTCCTCTCCCCCGGGATAAATATGTAAATCCTATCCTAAAAGGTAGGAGTTATGATTGACATAGACTATGCTGATATGCAGATATGCAAAAATTGTTAGTGCCAGCTTGTCTTGTTAAACTTTACTTAGATTGAGAGCGGCGACACCCGTGATAGAGGCCTAACTTCAATACATGTAAAATAGAAAGAAGTCGAACAAGTATATGAGATCAAAAAAATTAATGTCGAAAATACCGAATCCGTTACAAAAGAAAAGAAATCATTTCCGCAACTGCGGTACCGGTACCGGTACCGGTACACCTTGCACACGAAAATCACCGGCAAACTGACAATTTTGCGAAGCGCAACCTAGTGATGGAACATTAGTTTCTGTTGGACACATGGCCCTTCTATTTGTTACATTTGACGGCTGTAGCTAAGTTTAATTCGAATTTCAATTGCAATAAAACGTATTGAACTGTTCAATTTGAAAGGCACAGTGAATGCCAATAAATATTTTCTTCGGATGTCTATGGTAATGTACGTTTAGCCGACCTTTCAACCCACTCTGACATTGCACCCATTTGTTGATTATCGAATGCCCATTTTGGGATTTTAGATGAACTTACTAAAAACTAGTTGACCTGACCTATTCGAAATTACCATATTACTTTCAAGTACGAATCACAAATTAGAAAGCAAAAACCAACCTAATTAATTAAAACTATAAAAGACTATAAGTGTCACTGAGATATGGACAAAATCACGGGTACACCCAGGACCGGATTTAGACGATGAAAAGCCCCTAAAATACTCCATGAAATCTATTATGACGGCATAATTGAAAACATTGTGTTTCCTTTATTGTCAACTTCGACTTAATATCATATTTCGATTTCTTTCCACAAGTTTCCGAGAGAATAGTCTTACGATTTCATTGAAGACACCGGAAGGCGGCACTGTTGGGTTGAAAGCAACGAAAAGTCAGTTGCGCTACAATATTCTCAAATAATCCAAGTTCAAGAGAGAAACTTTTTTTGTATTCCTTAGTAAGTAATCTGTGCAAGACTAAATTAACCATAAGCAAAATAAACACGTTCGTAAAGCACCAAGAAAAGGAGGCATCACAGAAATTTTTATTGACAAATTTTCGATGGTGCCTCAGTTTTTGATAAAATAATTCGGGGTAGTCAGAAACTCAGACCTCAATGTTGACTCGATAGGACCAAATTTCTATTTTGATAAATAATATTTTGTGTTGTTTACTGTGTTCATATTTTGAATGGCACGTATTGAGCACCAAAGTCTCAAGTGCTCAGGGTCTCTGAAAAACATGACCCGACCCTGATCTGTGGTATTTTTAACAACTCAACAGCAAAGCTTGGTATACAGATATATCATTTGCAAAGACGGGTGATTGAAGCACATTCGTGTTTTCGTCAAATCTCCGCATCCCCAAGAGTGATAATTTATTTCTTGAAGAAATAGTACCACAGATATACAGAGCGGATCAAATTAAACAAAATAATGCTTGGGCTCTCGGTTTATTCTGTCATTCTACCCTCATACAGAGTTTTTATATCATCTTATCAAATACGGACTCTCCGTTGCGTTTTTCTAGGCCTGAATCACGGACTGCTTTTTTCAATTGGACATTTCGAATCCCTCACTTCAGCTTGAATGTCCCTGTTGGAATATATTTTACTAATTTTATATTAGGTTGCTAACTTTCTAAGACCATCGCGAAGATCGCAATACTAGACAACCTAGCATTTTGTGTGTTCCCAAAATTATCACTAACACATTTCCTCCTGTGAATGTCTCACAAAAAAACACTCGACTAACAAAAGTGAAATTATAATAGAAGATTCGGTTTGAATAAGTTAGTTAATTGTAAGCAGCCTACGCCATTCGGGCACAATATAAGAAAATTTGTTGCCAAAAAGTCGGATTTACCTTGCAGTCTTGATGTACAGAATAGTATTGGATGTCCATTAAGTCTTAAAAAAATTCAAAATTGCAAAGGGAATTTTTCGATATCATATATTGTTTTGGTCATCACAGATGTATTGAATGAAGTAACAATTACTGATTAAAAACAACAAACCTGGTTAGGATATATTGAGAACTGACTTCATAACAAATTTAAAATTATAATGAGACTTTATGGTCCTGTATATCTTCGGTAAAACGCAACATATTATCCATTTGCTGATAAAGATATAAAAATAAATGAGAGAGGTAATGCAATCAATCAATGAAGTAGCGAGACTTTCAGTTAATATATTCATATAAAAAAGACACAGTAAAATTCAACTGCCTGTTGTACAGGGTTTCTATTTACTAATAGTTCTTTCTTTTGCTGGTTCTTTCGTAGATGGACAAAACACTACGAAAAATGTAATCTAAACTACCACAAAATCACTCGTATCGTTATTTTTTCCTAAAACAAGACTTATAATTCAGGCAAAATGGCAACACTACACTTAAACCAATCGCAGCTATGAACACTATTACGGCTATGACAATAAGAGCTATAATTCCTGCTGGCAAAGTTCCGCTCTCCCGTGGGCTCTTTGCGATACTGATTGTCCCAGTTTGGTTTGAAGACGCCGATAAAGTTGTAGTTTCTGGAGGATGATTGACGTACATGGCATAGGTTTTTACAAGGAATTGTACATGGGAGTACAGGTCAAATGAGGAATGTAAATCTTGTGAAACTCCGCCGATTAACACTACATCATCATACTTCATCATCTTAGCTCTAAGTATATCATCACCGATTTCCGTTGTTATCTGAAGAAATGATTAGAGTATTTTCAACCGGTAGATGAGGCAGAAACTGCATAGCTAATTATTGTGCGTTTGGATACGATCGGATTTTCATATTTATGCGAGCTTGCCCCGAGTATTCTAAAACCTTGACCCCGACTATATTTGATGATTTCGCTTCAAATCTGTCAAATATTTTTATTTTTAATTAGCTTCACACCCCCTCAAACAATTGTCTACGCCCCCCTTGTGGGTCGCGCTACATCGTTTGAGAACCACTGGTCTAAATCAATAACGGACTCGCTTAACGGGTTTGTACAAACCCACTTCTGTCCACTCCATGTCTTTAACAAATATTCCTGTACTCACTGCTCCATCCCCGAGAGACAGCGCAATTATAATTTCTTGTTGGCACTCCGTGTCGTTAGCTTTCCACCAATGTTCTTGGAGTTGTTTCGCGAAGTCTCCGATTAATTCATTTTTACGTTTGTTATCTCTGTATTATAAAAGGAAGAATCCCAGTATGAATAAGGTATAAATAGCGTGAATTATTTAGTTTTCTTGGAGGAAATAAAGTATCGTTTTGTATTACTATCACTAAGTTTCAACAAGTTATTTAGTATTTATGAGTTGGGTTGCGCAAAACCAACTCCTTATCCTTCCTCTATGCTAGTGGTTGCCAACCTTTTTTGCGTCGTGACCCGCTTGGGATAATTTCCAACAAGACGTGACCCCTTTCAAGATATATATATGCTGAAATTAAATTAGTAAATCTTGAAAAAGAACGGATATTAAGCTTTGATATGTTTCTGCAAAATAGTTATCTTGGATCAATTCAAATACTATCGATCATTTTATTATCCCGTTATCCCAAAAAATAATTTTTTTTTTGAGTGCACTATCTCTGCTATTTACTGAGTACCGTATTTCCGGCCATTACGCCAATTTTGAAGACTCATTTTTTACCCAAATTTACTGGAGTTGGATTATTTGAGTGAATTTGATCAAAAAATACCGGGAGTCAAAATTGGTCTGGGCGATACAGGAAAATACAGGGACCTCCTGGAGTATGCTCACCAAGATGGCGCACAACCTGAACTCGGGTTGTGTACCAGATTAGGGTTCAGGTTGTGCGACATCTTGGTGCGCATACTTCAGGAGTACCGAATACAGTAATGGGAATGCATAACTCGTACTTTCATGTTACTCATTTCATGGTAAGTTTACCTTCTATACTATATAGACTTTAATTTACGGATTGTCATTTGAATTGACATTGAAAGATGAACACGAGGGCCCTTACAGTTGCAAAATTTACACGCAACACTTAAAATTGAAAAAAAAAAACGAAGAGGAACATACTTAGATTAAATTTTGAAGCTGCGACCGCAAAGTTTTCCTTGAGGGCTGCATTTGGCTCGCGGGCCGCATGTTGCACACCCCTGTATAGAGCCTTGTTCTGAGCGAAAGACGTGGACAATCGTCGTAGGGAAAAATATCAAAATACACTCACGGATTTTTAATTTTGTTGACAACTGCCACAAAAATGACGACGTTCCAGGTGTAGCATTTCCCATTCATGCATGGACACACACTTTTGTTTGCTGCGGTATGCAAATCTCGGTTCAGCTTATTTGCAGCTTCTGGACCTAAATATAAACAGATTGTATAAAACTTAAAAAGGGTAGGTCCTAGAGTACTTTCGTAGTGTGTGTACCAGGTTAGGGTTAGGCCATAATTTTATTCTGATTTCTTTTGTTTTAGTTTATTACGAGTTCAGGGACAGTCTGTGTTAGCCAAAGGAATATGTCCATTCCCTAACTGGATAATTACAATTTTTTTTATTGTAAAGCGTGACGCGAAAGAAACCAAGACAACAAGCAGCAAGGGCCAATAAAAAAAAGGAAAGAACTGAGTGGAAGCATCTAGCGCCCATCAACAGTCCAAACCTAAATCTGCCCTTCTTCAAATATCCCCTCGCTTTTTTACATCAGTGGCGGGGGCTTTGTGCAGGAGATCCATTGTTTTTTAAAGCTATAAGTTTGGTATTGTTTTCTGAATGAGGAAACCCGTTGTTAATGAGTTTGATACAAAAAAGAACCCATCACTGCCTGTAATAGGTATTGTCTTCAAGTGTTGCTTGTTTTCATGATTTTAAATCAAGTGTAAGTCGAACTGCATTCACTCAGCAATGAATCATACTTATTCTCCTAATAGTATTTTAATATAAAAGTGAAAATAAATTGCACTTTTCTCTGCTCTCTTTAGACAACAGATCGATGCGCACATGATTTTCTATTTCCAAATTCAATTGACTGAATTGGTTTTTGATTGATGGAGATTAAAATTTCAAAGAAATGAATTCTAAAATTAATCTTCAACGCTGCATATTGTTCTAAGTCACCCGTTCTCAACCAGTGGGCCTGCGGGAATGGAAAAAAAAAGGTAGCAGCACAAAGGCAGCAGCACATCGCAACCAATGGACCAAGAGATTAAAAAAAATAACATTTGATTATAAAAACTTTATAATCGGGCAAAACTTTTCGGACACCCTGAACAAGTCTCTTTGAACTTGATGAATTTATATGGCATTGCTATGAAATAACATTTTTGAAGAACTATCCACCATGAAATTTAACCAATTTGATCGCAGAACGCTTTCTTGATATTCCAATCACGTCTTGTCAGTTATTTCAATTCTTATTTTAATTTTTTATCAATTTCTTGCGAATTTCATGCTTTTTAAAGATAAATGAAAGCGTCTATTTTTGAATTTATATTGCCGAAGCACAGCGTTCATTTTATACACCGAGATTAGAATAAAATCGATATTAAGCTTACAAATGTATGGGGTCAGATTTCAAAACGTGAGAGGACAATTATCGAAGAGTTACTTTTCTTGTATATGTTAACCCCTTAAATTGCTTAAAACATACATTTTTTGATTGCTTCTACGAAAATGAAAAAAATTTATTTAACACTCGAACTTCTTTCTGTGCATGATTGTACCCACAATTTTCAGTAATCTAATAGGCTACGCCTGGCACGATAGTTATGTTTTCTCTAGAATGTGTTACATATGACCTAGGTTTCTGGGCCAGCCTGTATACCATATTGGTAAATACCAAAATGTATTTTGCACACATCGTCTTGTGATATTTTAAGCAATTTTAGAGCATAAACCAAGACCCGAAACCGCCTCGGCGGACAGTGGAGTGAAATAAGTAACGCCCGGGCTATTATTATTAAACACTGATATATTACCCGATTTCTCTAGTTTATTTAATTTTATACCCCTTTTAACGAGGTAATTGACGTTGACGGGTCACAACACTTAAAAGCGATGAGATGAGAGATCATGATTTTGAGATATCAACATTTTTAGCTGCGTGCTCTGAAAGCTATTATGCCCGTGGTGCTTTAGCTTTTTTAGTTTATTTATTATCATTATTATCACTTATGAGTTAATTGCTTTATTGGACACGAAATGTATTTATGACTTTACTAAATTGTTATTGGATTTGTTAAATATTGTTAGTAATGAAATCTTTTTGAAGCGACTAGAACAGGGGTTCTCAAACTTTTGGTGTTGCGGAGCCCTTGAAAAGGTTGACTATTATTCACGGAGCCCCGAAATAAATGTTAAAATTGTTACTTTCAGATTAATATCCCTGAGCAAGTTAAACGTACTTTACTTAATTTAAATGCTGAACCTTTTTTAATAGGGTTAATGCAAGTCATAAATAAATCTCAATTTCAAAGATAAATTATATATACTCTTACTAAAGCTGTAAATTTGACACTTGACAAACATATTAAACTAGGGGTCGAATCTTTTCCCTTTTGACATTTTCGGAAGGCCGCTAATAACGTGCGCGATTGCATTTTGTCACAATCACCGATAGTTTTCGTCAGCATGGCATGTTTTTAAACATCTTTACGCCGGTGTTTATTCTCCCTAAATCAAAAATTTTCTTTGGCATAAAACATGTATTGTTCCACAATGACGACGATAATTGCTTTTTTGTTCTCGTGGGGAATTATGAGTTTTATGTGAAAAACATGTTACCATATAGTCATCGGCGACGAAGTGCTAAAAATAATAATTAATAATAAAGAGGTAAATCCGCAACCCAAATTTCTTGATTGAAAAACGGCATTCTAAAATATTAAAACTTAAAATAAAAGATCACACTATATGTTTGGTTTTAGCAGACTCACGTCAGATTAAAACGCTTTTATAGGCATTGTAAATCACAAATTTTGGTGTTATGTTAGGTTTTCTTCAGTTATTCATCGTATAGTAACTGCGAAATCGAAACAGAGTCAATTGTGTGCGCGATTTATCTTTTTTTATTCTACCGACGGAGCCGCATGCGTTAAAATAAATTTTATTCGTTCGTATTTTGCCCAGATCTTGTGAGTTTTTAAACGGCGATATCTTGCTTAATTATAATCTCAAGTGCAAAAGAACAAATCAAGTTTGACAAAGTCCAATATCGCAAAAATACGACTCCAATTTATTTATAGTTGGCAGTTTATCACGTATTTTATGTTATTTTAGAATAGTATTCTTTCATTTCAGTAATCCTGATAGTAATCTCGAATGAAACGTGAGTAACTATGAGTACAATTGAAATATTACGACAAGACACTTTAACGGCCATGCATTGAATATTTTACGCAACAGAAATCTGGTTATCCGTTTTTTTATAATCGCAAAGAATGTTGCGCGGAAATTTCCGATTCAAATCCCCACCTCTAAAGAATCCTGGCTGCGCTCCAGCTTATAAATAATGTCATTTTTTAATTCCGCATCTTTGCCATTTTTCGAGGCAATATTGTTGTCAAATTTTATCAAAGCTGTTATTGCTTCTTTGAGCAGTTACAAAATTAGCCAAGTCATTATTTTGAAAAGTAATCGAATAGCTCGCGGAGCCCCTGGGTTTCTCTCGCGGAGCCCTGGGGCTCCGTACGGAGCACTTTGAGAACCTATGGACTAGAAGACTATTTGACACAATTCTCACGGGACCCGATACACATTTTATCCAAAATTGTGCTGTTCTATTTTAACTCGTGGAAGCATTTTTGACATTACGTATAGATACATTTATATTTGGCATCTGACCTCTTCCTGTTCATAAATTTAGGCATTGCTATTTTGTTATTGTTTATGATCAAAACTCGTCTGCACTTAACGTATCCTATTTATAACCATATGAATTCGAAATAGTGCCGACTAATTCCATACCCGACTTGAACCGATAACCGTAAGACAGGCCGTGGTCCATACCCCAAGAATAAATATGTAATTCCTACGCTTTCCCTTGGCATGCGATCTCAGTGGTTTTAGTCTGACCCAACGATCGTGGGGTAGGAATTGAAATCTATTAGAATGTCCTCATGAGATTAAATCAATACCAAAGTGGCACCCTAATTGGTTGAGATCATGTTAACCAGTGAGATCACGTACCAAAGTGGCGCTCAATGTTTAGGTATTGAGGGTGTAAGATTCCCCCATTTCGATTTTGAAAAACACGAATTGAGACTTGATCCACCATATGTCTTAATTTGTAGAGCAAATTTATTCGGACAATTATTTCCTAGAAAATCTAAAGCATTTAGAATGACGGAAGCAAAAATCAATAATTCCAAGCTTCATAAAACAATTACAAAGCTGTGTATTTTATCTATATCATGAATATTAATGAGATAACGATTGTAAAAATTTCAAACAGTTTTCAGACAATTTCATCAGCTTCGCGTTTCGCTATCGTCTCGTACATATTAATCGATATATTTATATACTAAGAATATGCATAAAAATATTTTTTTTGATCCAAAAGTCTTGTCGAACACTAGCTAGGGATCTATTATAACTAGTAATAAAACCTTATTTTATATGTGGAACAAAAGGGTCTTGCTTGTCCCACTCTGCTCAGTCTACAAGTGGTCGTTACATTTACATATCTTATTACTTATCGATTTTAATCGGTAAGTATGTTGATAGGTATTTTTCTGTCTGTCTGTATGTCTGTCTGTTGGATGCACGCGATATCTCACGATTGAATCTGCTCCAGATTTTGCATGTGCATTCATCATATGTCGGACCAGAAGCCTATTGATTTTGGATGAATTATGTCGTTTAATTAGCGAGTTATTAATTAATCAGTGATGGGACACAAGGTGTCACTATGGAGCTAGAGCGTTTTGGGGATCCCCTAACTTTCGATCGATAAGTCTTCGGTCTCTGACCGATATTCTCGTTTTTATTTTGGCGTATATACGAAACTTATACAAACATCCGCTCGAATTATATCTAAAAGCACAAACATCAGAAAAGAATTAATTTGCATGTTTTGAGCAAGTACTGAAAGTATCAATTTGACCTAAACTAAATCACACGAAATAAAATATGTTTTTCCGTCATTAAAACCAAACTTTCACATCGAATTACCTTACGTGATCATTGATTAGTTTGGTCAAAAAGCGTATTATGTCAAATTTTCTGACCCACAATGATATATTGAGTCGTAAATAGAGGCGTGATTTTCGTGTTGGGGTCAAAGTTTAATTCAAAGTGGACTAAAAACATTATAATTATGTAACAGATATTCACACATTAGAATCGATGATCATTGCTGTTTTA